TCAGTTAACTGCTAGTAGTCTGTTGTTATTTATGTATTATTGTCATTTTGTTTATTTTCTTTGGTTACATCTCCTGACATCAGACTCGGACTTCTCTTGAACTGAATTTTAATGTGCGTATTGTTATGCGTTTACTTTTCTACATTGGCTAGAGGTATAGGGGGAGGGTTGAGATCTCATAAACATGTTTAACCCCGCCGCATTTTTGCGCCTGTCCCAAGTCAGGAGCCTCTAGCCTTTGTCAGTCTTGTATTATTTTAAATTTTAGTTTCTTGTGTACAATTTGGAGTTTAGTATGGCGTTCATTATCACTGAACTAGTATATATATTTGTTTAGGGGCCAGCTGAAGGACGCCTCCGGGTGCGGGAATTTCTCGCTGCATTGAAGACCTGTTGGTGAACTTCTGCTGTTGTCTGTTCTATGGTCGGGTTGTTGTCTCTTTGACACATTCCCCATTTCCATTCTCAATTTTATTGTCATGTAATGTTGTCATTTTAGTGTTAAATTTAACATTGCCTTTAAAGCGGGAGGTTTGTCTAGCCACAAAACTAGGTTCAACCCACCATCTTTTTCTTAAAATGTCATGTACCAAGTCAGGAAAATGGCTATTGCTATCTTATTGTTCTTTTCTGTGTGTGTTGCATTTTTTGTGTTCTGTTGTGTCTTTGTTCTCCTCTTATATTTGATGTGTTTCCCTCAGTTTTAGTCTGTAACCCGGATTTGTTTTTTCTCTATCGATTTATGAAGTTCGAACAGCGGTATACTACTGTTGCCTTTATTTATACCCTAGAAATGCTCCTTACAATTCTACCCACGAACAATTTCTATCAGTTCTAATCTTGAACAGTTCTGGGATATTTCCCTTACAGTTCTGATAAGAGGTTAGAAGGTTAGATAGCAGTTCCAAATAAAAGAGAGACAAAATCAGACAAAATAAAACTATATCATAGGAGGAAGCGAGTTCAAAGTCAATTTCTGTAAATTAATATCGGAAAAAAACAATGTCAATTTTGTTCAAAAATAAATTTAAAAAAATCAAATGGACCCATCTCTTGGTATAAGCCATTTTTGAAGAAAGTTATCTAATATAATCTCTCAGACATATATTTGCCCAATATTAGATTTTTTAGGCAAAATGTTCAAAGTAAAAAAAAGATATATTATAATAGCTTCTATTTTCTTAGACTGTCCATGTAACAAAGTACATAGTACATACAGATATTTATATCCCTTTACAATAACCAAATTAATCTTAATCAGAAACGGTTATAATAAAAAAAATTATACAACCAAATTTTGGGGTCTGAGCGTTCCTGATGAAGTTATATCCAGAAAAATGATTCGAAATGCTGTTGGGTTTTAACCAGTTTAACATGCGTAGAATATATATCGTGAGGTAAAATATACACTTAAAAGTGCTGTTTTGATCATTAATCGACATCAGCAAAACGTAAGGGACATACAAAGGACGCAACAACAACCGAAAACTGTCTAAAGTCTGCTTGCAATCAGCTTTTGTCCATTAACCCCACTCACATTCCTAATGGTACCCTCGTACCGATGGGCTAAGTTCGTAGGAAACGAGTTTGCGTTAAATCTTGTATCTTTGACATTTTTCAACGTACAACAGTTGTTAGGGGCTCATATCAATACTCTATATAACAGCGTTGTGATTCATTGTGCCTTAAACTTCCATTATGTACTGTTTATTATCGAATCCCCTCTTACTGACAAGATTTTCTCCTGTGAAAACAGTTTTTTTTAAAATAATTTTAATACAATATTTCAATAGAGTATTGTAAAGTATTTGATTTTGGGGGTACTATGACTTTTTTTATTAACTCTACCGTGTTTTTTGGAATAATACTATTAAAACTATGAATAAAACTTATACACAAGTTCATACTGTACCAACGAAATTATAAACTTGATATGCACTCAAAATTCTTCGTCATTTCTTACAGAATTTATTGAAAAAAAGACAAAACATCCAAAAATATCATGAAAGTATTTAGCGAAGTTGAAATAGATGTAAACAAAACGTTGCTTCTTGAGTGATTGCTTATAGTAATGTTGAAAACAGCTTTGTTTAAATGAAGGAACATGTATGTGTTAAGAAAAAATGGCAGAATAAGATATCATATCCTCCTATTTTTGCTTAAAATGATGGGATTGGCAACAATTAAATATCATCTCAACACTTAACTTTTAAACGAAAACAGGCTGGATTTTTTTCTCTCACTTCTTTGGCGGTAGACGTTACTACTAAAATTTCAACAATTTCTCCAATGATCCCAGTGGTATAGTGGAAACATGATCCAATGCAAAGCATGAAGATTGCGTGTTCGAATCTCTAGCCGGAGGTGAAAAAACTATTTCCTATATTAAATGTATTTTAACTTAACTTTACTTTCATTTTCAAAAAGAATCCTCAATATATGCAAAAGTCAGATTAAGAAAGATTTGTGTTTGTTTCAAAAGAATTTGTGTGCCTAATTGAACCCGCTCTTTTTCTCCACTGCTACGGGCCAGAAAAATAAGTTATTATTGGTAATTCATTGAATTGAAAGGCTAAATTTTGTTTTCTGCTTGAATGAACATGATTTAGCCAGAAATTTTTGTCAGGGATTAGATTATCACTAAAAAACCTTCTGAAGTCCGTTATTGTTCATGTTACGGGCATCTACATTTGGAGGCATATATCACGTATTTCCTCTTTCTATACCATTGTGGCAACCTCTTAGTTTCAAACAGACTTGGGTCATTGCTTTTACACCAAGACTATACCCTATTATCGCAAAAATATGTCTCTCCACGACTTTTCCGCAAGAATTGTGTATTTTATCCCACATTTTTCCCGCAAGACAAGTGACTTTTGGAGAGATACCACGTGACCAGAAAAGACAGTTTTTTTTCAAATTAAATTTTCTGAAATGTCCTATTAATTATTTTTCAAATGAGTCCAATATGGCCTTTGTATGAATGTTCTATTCAATTGAACTTGGAAAGTATATTTTCCATAAATAAAGGTCTAAATTGCCTTAACGTGAAAAGGGTTAAGGTGGCTCGGCCCTTTTACAATGCGCATCTTTCAACGCATGTTTGTAACGACGAGCGCGTGGTAAAAAATTGCTATAAGGGGTATTCTCAAAAATAATTTTGACGACATCGGAACGCGGGCGTGTCTGGGAGCACCCTTACTCGATGTCAACAAGCGATGCAAAACTTATGATCATGACGTATCCACCAATAAAATGTACTGCCTTATACTGTAGGGGTTCTAATTCACATTAGGCCATTTATACTCTTGTCAACAAATTCAACAATCATACTTTTTGGCACCGATATTTACCACCAGGTATATACTAGTCCAAATAATTATGACGTTTTGAAAGGCTATTTTATTTTTTTGCTTTGACGCCTTCCTGGCGTCATAATTATTCGAACTAGATATATACATGTTTACAATTTGTCGTTTTAAGGTCAAATAATATGAACTAATATGAAAGATAGTCAGCCATTACGAATAAACCATGTAAAACAAGGAAAATACATTTAGAATACGTTGGGCAAACACCATGTTTTAACCCATGGTAGTTTTCAGCCGCAGATATTTTCTTGAGCAGCGATTATTTTGAGATAACCCCCCTATTTGTATTTTTCGTGATACTGATAACATTTGGCTGCCTTAAATATCAACTTCCATGTTTTAATATGCAATAACTCTACCTTCAACTTTGTATATTCGCCACTATGTCTGTTATTCAAGTACATGGTCGTATTCACCAGAAGTGTATGCTGCACGACAATGGCGACCCTGAAATATTTGTTGTTCGATTTTGGCGCCAAAATTAATGGAAACAACTCGCGCCTGATAAAATTACCGTATTTCACCAAAATAATCAAAATTTCGCTTTGTCGTTACTAACAATCGTACGTTAAATAAATTTATATAATTCAGATATCGTCCATTAATATAATTGCAAACACTATTTTCTTAAAGCAATCAATAAAGAATTTACAACAAAGTAATAAATGGTGTGCATTGAAATTAGACCTTATGGGATAGAGGGGTAAAACAAAAGCCCGTAACGTTTTTAAAAGTCTGGTGACCCCCATTTTATTTTTACCTTAAAATCCTCGAAAAGTTCATAGCTTTGATATATCCGTTTTTTTTTCTAAATCTACCGGGGAAATTAACGAAAAATCGATTTAACCAATATTTTTAGCCTTAAACTGAAATAAGAATATGGCAAAATTTGAACATAAATCTATAATTAAAAGGAATTTTAAGTCTAAAGCAACCAAGGGAAATGTTTACATTTAGAATTTTAATGTTTTTGCACATAGTAATCATACTGACTTAGTTCTATAAGTCTTTGAAATTGATGTAGCTCTTATTGTTGACAGGCTGGAAATGTTTGAAAATAGGGTCAAAATCGCACAATTCGCTTTCGTTTGAGGAAACTACGAGCCTGGTGACCCGCTTTTTTCTTTGCATTTTTGGATTCAGCATACAAAGATCTACAAAATATGTGAAAATAAAAAGATTCTACCGGGTGTCCTTATTGGGGTGATCCACCTTAAGGGTTCTACTTAGGTATCTTTTAAAAGTGAAGTAATATTATGAAGTGTCAAATTGATTTGAAAATTGTTAGACAATGACGTACTGATTGTATGGAAAAAATCGATTACTGACATTCAAAGTTACTACATGTACGTATACTTTACATTTGATACCAAAGCAATATTACAAGAAAAAACACCTGTTCGGTCAAATCTTTTGAAAATGAATTGTTGCAAAAGCTGATCGCTTGACATTTAACTGGAGTTTCCAAAACAAAAAGAGAAAAGTTGAGAAAAAAAGTGTTTTCTGTGTTTTCTTTATGATTGCAACACCATTTGTAAGATAATTCTGAGACAAATTAATTAAAATGAAAACACAATATCTATGTGTGATTTTTGTCTAAAGTTATTGCAGTTTTTGTCTGTTTCAGGAAAGAGCAGTACATTTGGTGGTTATGATTCAATAGCTAGATCGTTTTCAGAAGGATTTGTGAGAGCAAGAGTTTGGAGAGCATGCTCACTTCCGAGACCTCAGTTCATCTCTGAAGAACTTCAAATGAGCTCAGGTTTAGTATATAAGATATGAAAACTTTTTAAGATTTATCAAATGCATAGACATTTATTTAGAATTTTGACTGAACAATTTTCTCTTTTTCGAATAATCCCCAATCAAATAAAACATATTAACAGAATATTAACTCTTTTTGATACATAGTACATACACGACATGTATCTCAAGTGACTGAAATCAAAATTTCTTCTTATTTCAAAACAATTACCAATCAATCTTGATACTGAGATATTGACATTTTCAGACTCACTAGCATCAGCCAAATAAAGTGCCTCGTTTTGAACATGTTAAAATATGAAGGATTTTTATTTTTACATTCAGTACATGCTTCCTCAAGAAAAAAAATACTTTCCTTTTCATATGCAGTGCATTCCAACAAAATATGAAACTCGTCTTCAACCTGCATTACACAGCCTTAATAACACAAAAAAATTATTTATCTTTATCGATTCTTTTATATCGATTTTTGTCAATTTTTAACTGATGAACCTTTATTCTAAGTTCGCTTTTGAGCTTTTGAAGATGATTTTAAATTTAAAATGAGTATGCAAATTTTTTTTTAATGTTTGCATTATCGTCTGTAGTACTAAATTAAAAGATTTTAACCTTTTCAACGTCATTATTTTCTATATCAACATCAATAAATCTTTAAAAAATTACAATTCTAGAATACCAAAATTTTTTCAGTTTGATACCTTAGCCTATATTCAAAGATCTTATCCTCTAAAAAAAGTATTTATATAAAAAAAATGCAGTTTCGATAACAATATTTCATAGTAGTCTGTATTATTAACCTTATTTCGTGGCGAATAGGAGGAGGCATAGAGACATTTTAACCATAATGGAAATTTAGGTTCCTGTAGCCGTCCCTGTTGTTTATTGCATTTCTCCAAAGATGCATGTGATGAGGACTATTTCATGCTTCTATGTAGTGTTGTGAATAATCGTATGATACCTAATTCCATAGTCACCTTCTTCAATTATGGGTCATAGATGCCTTGGGCATGAACCCACTTTTAAGTTAAATTTTCTTTAATATTTCAACTTTTTTCGCTTATTTATGTGTTCTTGCTCCCATCAATACAATCTCACAATAACAAAATATGATCGAGTCCATGGGCGGCATGTATGAACTAGATTTATTGTAAGAGTGTTTACAAGTCGAAGAAAAAGAGATAACACCATAACCAAAACGAAAACAACAACGAAAAGAAAAAAGTCCACAAAACACTGCACTGAAAACTAAGATTAAGCAACACGAACCCATCTTAAATCGGGTACAAACTAATGTACTCTGGTAGTTCCTACTACAAAAAATTGGCAATCACATGGCAAGTGAAAAACCCGGCGACAGCATGCATTCGGTTATGTCACAATTAGGTAAAAGATGACGGGACTACGCCTACAACAAGTGGAACATAGACGTGCTCATTTGTGACACATTTATTTCTAATGCTCTCAAACGTTATATATTTTGAGTTTCCAATCTGTTTGTCACGATCGTACCTTTGACGGAGATTGACAGTTTGACCAATTTGAAAATTTACAAAAAATGCCCAAATGTATATATTATGAGTTGCATACTTTTACTAATACTTACATTCCCGAAATTTTGAGGCCCCTTGGTTATAACCAGGAATTAATTGCACAAAATTTAAAGCATATTTTCTATGCCTCCCCGACAATCATGATAATTTGAAATGAATGTAACCTGGTACAAAATTAGTCTAGAAAGGGCACTTATGGTAGATCAGATGTCTTTTGCCTTCTTGGATTGTAAAAAAGCAGAACACAATCGGTCTAGATCTTTAATAAAATATGCAAATTTTTTGAGAGAAATGCAGTTCATTTGTAAGACTTCATCTAAATGAAGAAACTTATATCTTTAACAATATTATTTTGACTGATTTTACAAATACAGAATTTTTTGTTTGATTCAATTTTTCAAACTTAGGCCTTACTTTGTGCATAGCTGCTAACCTTTACGTCATTTTGGCTCTGCATGAAAGTTGTCTCATTGGAAATCATACCATATAATTTGTATTCTAATAAAGCCATATAAGAGGAAATAACTCAGATAATCTAACTTTTAGCGTCACTGGTGACATATTTTGTTTTATAGCAAAATCAAAAGTCCCGTGGCCCCAATTTTTCTGTTTATTTTCTGAAAGTACATAATAACAGTTATCAACGAAAAAGATCAACATATATTTGAACCTACCGCAATCGACTGTTTTTTAAAGAAATTTGTCTTTTATTTAAAAGTGTATAAATATGTCGAAGCTCCATACTAGGATTTAAGTAAAAACACGTATATAGGATGCATAAAATTCTAAATTATGCATCTAAATTAAACTTTTATAAAGCCCATAGAAACAGATACAAAACATTTCAAATATTCCAATTCAAACAGGCCTTTCTTACCTTCTCTAATACAGAGTTCCATTTCTTTTGGATAATTTCATAATAAGCATGAATCTTTTTATACGTGAGATCGCAATCTTTATTTATGTGTTATTCTTATTTTACATAAGGTGACTTCAAATCTGTAACAAATGGACATAACACAACGTGGGTTATTGTAAGAGTACATATTGAGCAAGGCTGGGTTTATGAGGCACAAGGTAATGTATTGTCATTGATAAGTATCATATTGTCACATCATACATGTACATGTACATCTATTATAAATGTTTTCGCCATCTTGTCTAGTTATTGATACATTTGTCGACAAGATGTCATCGCACTGAAACCGGAAGCACGTTTTCCAACAACATAAGGATCATAAGCGCTACAAGTTGTGAACTCATTGATTCTTGCAGGTTAATTGTTTGTATTGCGGGGGAAATATTGGCCTGGCAGTCCTATTATGCTTTACCAGCAAATACCATAGCATAGCTCAACCAAAAACTAAGAATGATGAAGTTCTAAATTTTTTGTATTGTTTGTACATTTAATAAATATATACCACCGACTTATAACAATCAGTGTAACCACAATATCGACAATGTCGATGTCAATGCATACATATATTGTAAAGTTTGGCAGTGTCTATAGAATATGATTATAAACATAACATTAGGATCGATGCAAACAAACGTGTTCCCTCTTTTAATTTTGTTGTTGTATGAAGTGTTTATAAATGAATGAATAAGCAGCAATAGAAACTAGCTTGTCTGGCTAAGTTAAATTTTTAATAACTTGTTATTAGGTATATAAAAATCCAATAAAAGCTGTTTTTCGTGTTGTATTATATATAATAATTGATTGTCCTGTGAGGGTATTTCTATAGCCTGTCAACACTGAGGTTGTGAGTTCGAACCCTGCATGTGGCAGGTGCGCTCGACTCCAATCTTAATTGACAATGATTGTCAGTTTTCCTGTCGAAGGGCGATGGTTCTCTCCGGGCACTCTGGATTCCCCACCAATAAAAACTGACCACTGCGAAATAACCAGTATTGTTGAAAGTGGCGTTACACACCAATCAATCAATGTTAAGGTACTTATTAAGGTAATCTTTTCTTCTAAACAACAGGTAGCGTCTTTTATGAAACATCCAGTCATCCCTTTGGAGGAGTCGTTTTTGCATTTAGTGATAGTCAAATCAGATTATGGGTTCCAAAAAGAGGAGCAGGATCGTCGAATGCTAATGGTAGGAATTATTGTTGATAAGTCAAATAATAAACTATCTCTCTTTTGAACGAATTAAATCAATAGCATTCCGTTAACAGCCATTCAAAAAGATTCGTTTATATGGTCATAACAATGGCATAGGAAAAATCCAAGCATGCAGACGTTAGATAATCCTAAAAAACAGCCTTCTTTTTTTTTACATTTTCTTGTCTAAATCTGTAATAAGTTTATTTCATACTTCAATTGGTTTATTCCAATAGGGATTGACTAATAAGGAACAATTTTCACTTACTCAAAACAGTACCGATTAAACATCTACACTTTTTCAGAGTATGAACAATATTTGATTTCTCAACATGTAAAATAGAATAAAAAAAACAAATATATATATTAGCTGGAAACAAAGTCGATGGACTCTATCCATGCCGAATCAAACACAAGACCTCAAAATTAGTATTTGCTTCTTCTCTAGCACATAGCATTTGTGAGTAAGATCAAACGGTGGGCTCGATGTGTGTATATTGTTTCCGGATTGGGTCACATGCTTTTGAGGACTCCTTATTCGTAATCTAACACATAGAATATAAAAATAAGGGGATGAAGTTTGAATTAGAAGTTTGCATTAGAAGTCCGGTTAAGAATGTCAGACTAGTTCACAGCAGGTTTTACATACATTTTAATATCATATCAACCTGTTTTCGTACTTGAGGTGAAACACCAATCCATCTATAGAGAGCGTATCACCAGATTTTCTACATAAGAAAATGCCTGTACCAAATCAGGAATACGACAGTTGTTTGATGCGTTTGAGCTTCTGATTTTGCCATTTGATTGGGGACTTTCCGTTTGAAATTTCCTCGGAGTTCGGTATTTTAGTGATTTTACTTTTTATCATACTTTACCTTGAAGAGTATGACGAAATACAAAATGTTTACACGAGGTTTTATCGCAACTTTTTTTATATGTACTTGACAAAACCGAAGTAAAACAATAGCGCTTTTATTTATTTTCTTTACCTTCAAGCCACAGTTAGGAAAAAGCTATCACCACAAGACGAGTTCCAAGTCAATGAGTCAAAGTCATTACCACAAGTGAAAATCTCATATACATTTGTATATAATTCTTTATCAGTAAATTGTTTTTATGTTAATGATAAATTACTTGTATGCTTTACGTTTTAAATGCAGGTGTTCCGTTTAATGCTATGCATGGTTGGGGAGAATTTGGTGATTTCGGATACAGCAAGACAGTTAGAGTGAGGGCATTTGTATGGGATTTTAAAAGTTTTGACCATAATCCAATCGTCCTGGAGCAAACTTCTTACATAACAAATGACAACTTTATATCTGTTCCACCTGCGTACTCTTTTCATGATAACAACTTACTTCTGTTTTCGGTAAGCGAAAATAAACTATTTCTTTACCTATTCGATTTTCTAAAACATAATTTGTACTTACGGGTGCCATATGTGAAGCAGGATCTGTTTACCCTTCCGGGGCACTCTGATCAACCCCGGTTTTTGGTTGGGTTCGTGTTCCCCAGTCTTTTGTTTTCTATGTTGTGTTTGCAAGTTTGTCTTCGACTTATGAGTTAAAATATATTAGTATCTTCCTTTTCTTTTTTATTAACGGAACATTCTGTATTATTTACGTATACATTGAGACTAGCTCTTTTAATTTTATTTTTGGAAACAAAGTTTTTACCTTCAGTTTCGGTATTGATTGGGTTTTTATGAACGAATTTTAGTTTTCATTGTAATGATTTGTGTACACCTTATTGTTTCTTGGTCTTGCAGTTTTGCTAACTCTTGTCGTCCGTCGTAAAACAATTTCAAAGACGTGGTCTCAAACTACTGAACCAATTTCAACCAAAGTTAAAGTGAATATTTCTTATGGTATTTAGTATGAAGTTTATGATTTTTATTCCGGTTATTCAACAAATATTGTCGCCATGGCTGAAAATAACATACAGGTAAAATGCATTCATTATCTTATCTTGAACACCATAAGAAATAGAGAAAACTAATAGGGTAAAAATCCTAAAAATGTCCATGACTTTATTGTTTACTTTCTCAAAAAATTATCAGATGACTCCATCAAGGAGTTATTGCCCTCAATTGACGTTTTTTGCCAATTTTTGTCTTTTATCTTTTTATAACTTTTAATGGCAACAATGATCATCAATATAAGACCTACACAAATACCAATATGACCGAAACCATTGTCTTGAAATGACAATTTTTTATTAATTTTCTCCCGTCGTCCGGCTTAAACTGCTTTAAAGATCTTCTCCTTTGAAATTATTATTAATACTAATTTCAACCAATGTGTTTATGAATGATCTTTAGGGTGTCCAGAACACAATTTAAGAATTTGATCCGTGCTGACCAACCCACATGACCGGAATGGCTAAAATTAGAAATAGGGGTAAAATATAAATAAGAAGATGTGGTATGAGTGCCAATGAGACAACTCTCCATCCAAGTCACAATGTATAAAAAGTAAACAATTATAGGTCAAAGAACGGCCTTAAAAATGCACGTTTTGTATATCATCTTTAAAACCTTTTCAATAGAGAAAATCTAACAAATGCAGATATTTTCAAAACGTCAAGATCTATCTATGTCTATTTTGACTAAAACTGTCAGACGACTCCTTTAGTAAAAAGTTTGGCTTTGTATTGCACTTAAATGGCTATTTTGACCATTTTTTATGTTTGCCTATAATCTTGTTTTAACAATTATAGATACAGGAAAATGTAATAGCAAAAAGCAGGACAAGATCTACGAAAAAGTCAACATGGCCGAAATTGTCAGCCGACTCCTTATTGAAGTTGTTGCTGTCCTTAATGACGATTTTTACCCTTTTAACGTTTTTGGAAAAACCATAGTCGAATGATAGAAACAGTAAACTTATAAGTCAACATAGTCGTAGGCTCCTTATAGGCGTTATTGCCTTTTTGTTATGAATTTTTCCAATGTTTGCATTTTGTGACCAATTTTGACCAGCAAAGAAATAAAAATAAGGAGATTTGGTTTGATTGCCAATAAGACAACTCTCCACAAGAGACCAAATGACTTATAAGTTAACAACTATAGGTCACCGTACGGCCTTCAACAATGAGCAAACCCATACCGCATAGTCAGCTATAAAAGGTCCCGAAATGACAAATGTAAAACAATTCAAACGAGAAAACTAACACCCTGATTTATGTACAAAATAATGAACGTAAAACAAATATGATATACAGCAACAAACGAAAACCACTCAATCACAAGACTCCTGACTTGGGACAGGCACATACAGAATGTGGCGGGCTTAAACTAGTTTGAAAGCGCAAACTCTCCCCCTAACCTTAGACAGTGGTGATACAGTACGATATAAGAACAAATTATAAAAATCAGTTGAAAAGGGCTAAACTCATCAGATCGATACAAAGCAGAAAGACATCTAACAAAAACACAGACCGGGCGTCTGTCAAACATGTTTAGATGGATAAGATTTGCAAACAGGTCAACATAGCCAAAATTGTCAGTTGACTCCTTATAGGAGTTATTGTTCTTGCATGACGATGCTTACCCATTCTTTGCGTTTAAGGCTAAAACCATATAATAGATATTTTTTCCTAAGTTCGCGCTTACTGAGGCATGTTAATAATACAGTTATTTATTTACCCGGAAAAGAGGTGATAAAACTGCAGACATGAAAAGGCTAACTTATCTGTTTCAGATAAAAGCAGAAAGTGGAAATAATCAAGGCTACCAGTTCTATCCAGCAGGTTCCTCCATGACAGACGGGACAACAGACAGTAATAATACAAAGTTTGGGTCATTTGTTTATGGCTTTACTGATGACAAACTTTACTATTGGACACCTAATGTCAACGCATCAGGGTGTGTTTTGTTATTGGATGGTTTATGGGGTTCACAGAATCAACAACACTGTCTGAGTGAAAGTTCAAATGACGTGGCACTGATGATAACGTTCAATGTGCTCACATTAGGAGGTATGATAAACGATTTGTAGCAATGAGTTCTCTCTTTCGGTGCTATGCATTTGAGCCAATTGGCATTTTTTGGCACCACAACCCGTATTTCATTTGCACAAAGTTATACAGTACATTACGATTGTTCCAAAAATACAAGTTAATAGTAGATTCAATATAAATATAGTTTAACAAATCAGGTTATATTTATATCAAAATGATTGCATTAATCTCTTCCGTTTGCCTATATTACATATAGCACCATATCTAGGCCCGAGTACAGGGTAATTCTGTAGTGCATTTCTTTAGAACAATAAATACAAAAAAAATTACAAAAGTCCTTCGGCTGGTGCGTTTTCTCAATTAGAATTTTTACAGTGTAGTGTGGTGTAGTGTTTGGGACAAATTAAATCAAAATTACAGAAAATTCTACCAGTTCTATCTTAAAAAATAGACAATTTTATGTTAAAATGGTCATTAATTCAGTTTGACAGATTAAGACATACATGGACTTTTTTTTTTAACTGGACCAAAATCTTGAAATTTATAACCCAAATTTTTATAAATTATGAATAAAAAATTTTGGAAGGTGTTTGCAAATAAATGCAAGTAAAACAATGTCCAATATATATAGATATATAATCGCCAATGGCAGTCAGCAGGGTTTAAGAACATCAGTTGTTCGACCTGTTAGTCAAATGCGTTTTGTTAAAATATACTTTTTCACTTTTTTGTTCTTATGGAAAATGTTGTTTGTGCTGTATTTAGACCCTTCTACTAAGAAATTTGTTTTGCATGCACACGTATAAAAATTGCGGTTTTTATCCAACGCAATCATAGGTTTGAACGTTGTTTTCAATTTAGACTTGTTTTTATTTTTTCGTTTTGGCTTGTATTATATTTGCCTTCGGGTTTATATGATCCGTTCATCCTATTTCGACTCTTTCAAAATTCAAGAGTCTATCCTAAATTGAGGTAAATTATATGGCCTTCCAAATACCGTTTCGATTCCTAACATCACTGAAGAGACATTAATTGTCGAAATCTGGATATGGTGTACAAATGTTTGCACCTCATGTTTGCGGTATACCATCTTTTCCGCAAGTTTAGTGTTTTCTGTTTGGTAATAAATTAATTATAAGATCCATTTTGTTATATCTTGTGATCCGTTTATTTGGCAATCGCCAATGGCAGTCAGCAGGGTTTAAGAACATCAGTTGTTCGACCTGCTAGTCAAATGCGTTTTGTTAAAATATACTTTTTCACTTTTTTGGTCTTTTGGAAAATGTTGTTTGTGCTGTAATTAGACCCCTCTATTTAGAAATTTGCTTTGCATGCACACGTATAAAAATTGCGGTTTTTATCCAACGCAATCATAGGTTTGAACGTAATTAATAATTCAATACCAAACGGAAAACAATAAACTTGCGTAGAAGATGGTATACCGCAAACATGAGGTGCAAAAATTTGTTCACCATATCCGGATTTCGACAATTAATGTCTCTTCAGTGATGTTAGGGATCGAAACGGTATTTGGAAGGCCATATAATTTACCTCAATTTAGGATAGACTCTTGAATTTTAAAGAGTCGAAATAGGATGAACAGATCATATAAACCCGAAGGCAAATATAATACAAGCCCAAACGAGAAAATATAAACAAGTCTTAATTGAAAACAACGTTCAAACCTATGATTGCGTTGGATAAAAACCGCAATTTTTATACGTGTGCATGCAAAACAAATTTCTCAGTAGAGGGGTCTAAATACAGCACAAAAAACATTTTCCAAAAGACCAAAAAAGTGAAAAGTATATTTTAACAAAACACATTTGACTAGCTGGTCGAACAACTGATGTTCTTAAACCCTGCTGACTGCCATTGGCGATTGCTAAATAAATTGATCACCAGATGTAAAAAATGGATCTAACATATTAATTTAAAACCAAACAGAAAACAATAAACTTGCGGAAAAGATGGTATACCGCAAGCATGAGGTGCAAACATTTGTACACCATATCCGGATTTCGACAATTAATGTCTCTTCAGTGATGTTAGGGATCGAAACGGTATTTGGAAGGCCATATAATTTACCTCAATTGAGAATAGACTCTTGCATTTTAAAGAGTCGAAATAGGATGAACGGATCATATAAACCCGAAGGAAAATATAATACAAGCCCAAACGAAAAAATATAAATAAGTCTAAATTGAAAACAACGTTCAAACCTATGATTGCGTTGGATAAAAGCCGCAATTTTTATACATGTGCATGTAAAACAAATGTCTTGGTAGAGTGGTCTAAATACAGCACAAATTTTCCAAAAGACCAAAAAGTTAAAAAGTATATTTTGACAAAACGCATTTGACTAACAGGTCGAACAACTGGTGTTCTTAAACCCTGCTGACTGCCATTGGCGATTGCCAAATAAATTGATCACCAGATGTAAAAAATGGATCTTACATATTAATTTATTACCAAACAGAAAACAATAAACTTGCGGAAAAGATGGTATACCGCAAACATGTAGGTGCAAAAATTTGTACACCATATCCGGATTTCGACAATTAATGTCTCTTCAGTGATGTTAGGAATCGAAACGGTATTTTGAAGGCCATTTAATTTACCTCAATTTATATATATATATATATATATATAGACAACGAAAATCAAAGGTCGATTACTGCTTTCACGGACCATCACCACGGCGACAAAATGTTTTATTACCTCAAAGTATGAATATGGAGCATTGTATCAGAATAGGTGACCATTGATAAAGTGTAGATGTCTTTTTTTTTTATTTTTTATTTAATATTAGATATGCATCCTAACAATTTCTTATTGTGTCTGTAAGTCTGTGTTCTCATGGAATCGATCGAAAATTCTGTTTTGAATAAACACCAATACTTGTAAATGAACATATTGATGAAAAGTTGCAACTTACGAGGACTAAATTTTTTCAAAACTGAAAAATAAAAATATGGTTCTGTAGAAAAATTGTTCCGTTTTCATTAATGTGTTTTCAGCTATTTATGTTCTTCATTTTAATAAGTCAGCCCTAATTGAGAATTGTTACTTTATATAAGGAACTGTTCTCCATTTGATTGGATGGACTGCCACAAATTTATCATTTTCAATAATATACTACTTCGTTTCCATCACTTCGTCTTTAAAATGTATATATCATATTCTCCATGGACACTTTTCGGAAGTGCCATAAGTAGTAGTACAATATGATGATTATTTTCATTATTTATTTTTATGTTCTTTGGTATAGAAATCTTTCGCCTTTTCACCTATAGTACGTGCGATTATCTAGATTGAAATCCTCTATATTACTGTGTCACTAATTAACCAATTCTTCCTTTCAGCATCCCATTATCGTCCACTTGAATGACCTTTTTTAACTAAGGGCGTATTTGTTGCCTAGAAACTGATTTCGGTTTCTGATAGGTTTGATAAACCTCCTACATGTATTTGATGTTCCATACCGGTTCCAAACTAGTTCGAAGCTGAAACTGGTCTTGAAGTTACATTTGTTTCTTGAAAACCAAAACAAGTTTTCGAAACTTATCAAACCTCCTCGTGTGATTTGAACAGTTTGACAACCCAATATCACACACACACACACACACACATGCACACACACACACACACACACACACACACACACACACACACACACATATATATATATATATCATGCTGCACTTAACAAAAATGAAGTTGAAATATTCCATAACTTATCTAAAATTGTCTAATTAAATGTTAATACTTTACGTAAATAATAATCATAATTATCCTGTAAATAATTAATAGCTTCCTTTTGGAGAAAACTATTCTATATCATATTCGGATGTGGGTATTATCCATATATGTTGAACGCTCATTTATTTTTTAAATATAAGGAAATATGCGGCTCCTAAATAGATGACAACGTATACACCATTGTGAGCAATCAATGTGTTTTCTATTTCAATGTTCTCCATCGATGCATAGTTCATTTCATTATTTTGATTTTACTGAAAAGAATTATGATATTAGATGATACACTTCTCCAGTGACAATAATATGTATAAAAAATGTATGATTCATTTATATGTAATAATGAGTATCAACTCTACTAAACTATTCTTAGGACAGATCAATAAAATACTATAATCTATATATATAGCCGATATCCCAACAAGACTATACTATCGAACTTTTAGTAATTGTAAATATCTAGGGGTATCGAAATTCGATTATGTTGTGCTTAGACAATCCATAAATAACTTCGGTCGGATTTATGACTTGAACTTTTCCTTCTACCATTCAGTTGTTGATTATTAGTTCTCGTCTTGTATATGCATGAACTAGTTCTACAACTAGGAGTGAATCGACACCCATTATGCATTAGATAATCATATACAGGTGTTGGCTTTTCAAAAGATTTGTCTGATCTCAGAATCTGCGTTGCTAGAACGAAGTGCGGAGTCCGGTAGCCTACCGTTTGATATATATTAATGCATTCTTTAAAGATCAATCTCCGCTACGTTTCACAAATATCCGGCCAAGGAAATGTTTTCCTACACAAACCTACACAAACACACCGACAAAAAGAAAATATACATTAACATTAACAAAAAATAAACCCGAAAGAAAAACCGAACACATATGTATTGGTACCAAATCTTAACCTAAATTAGAAAAGATTTAACACACCGGTGATTTAGAAAACGCCTCATTTCGAAGGTTTATATAATATATCGCCGCAAACAAATCCTCAAAAATACATCAATCGTTTTGCTTAGCCTTCTTTTATGACTCGACTTCAATTTATTTGCGGCATTGACTACTTAGTATTCTGAATGGATGAAAAACCAATGCCAAAAATACCCCAAATAAACTGTAGATATATAATTAAATGTAATATTTTCAGTAATTGGTATAATTGCTTGTCCTAATATTACAAGTTCCTTTTGGGAAGCTTTACAACATGACCCACATTTTTACTGCTTTTTACTGGACAGACACCCTGAGTTAAAGTTTTAACGTGCTATTTCACAATGAAGACATTTTATCCTACACATTTTCTGAAATCGAGCGAACCAATCTTTGCCCTTTCTTCTTTGCCACGTGCTTAGCTGGGAAGCAGCAATTACCAAATATACGACTTTGGTTCAACCCGGTCGGAGACTGAACTCACGATCGACCTTCGGCACTCATGGCGAGCACGCAACCTACGAACCATCAAGACGGTACAATACCTATCAAAATATTAAAGTTATGACTCCTGAATTCCCCCCTAACAAATGTAGTTTTTATCATGTTTTTTTTCAAAAATATAATAAAAAGTATGGGTCACGGGACTCTTTTTACGCTACAGGTTGTGCAAAATTGTCAGATTATGCATGGAAAATCCAATTTTGTGGGATAAAAAGAAAATTAAACCATAGAATTTTAAGATAAAATATGCTTTTAGATAAGAAAAAGAAAAAAATGGGGTCACCGGACTCGTTTGGTTGCTTCATAGTAAAAAATGGTAAATTCATAACACATTCTATTATAACAGTTACTTTATCTGAGTTATCTCCCCTTATATGGCAAATTGAAAAACAAAAAGGAATCAAAAAAAATATTCTGTTTTTCGTAAAACACAGCCGAAAAATATGATAAAACACTTACTTTTCTATATTAACATGAAAAGTCTTACACCTGAATTACATACTTATCTCGAAATTTGCACATTTCATTTAAGATCTAGACCGATTGTTTTTTGCTTTTTCAAAATCCAAGATGAAGGAAGACACCCCAGCTACATTAAAAAGAAATGAACGTTCATAACTTAATATTTTAAAGTGTTCATTCCGACTCATAAAGATTTTCTTGTTTTCATAATTTGTTTTATTCAGAAGAAATAATATGCAAAAATGCTGACATCTTATAAATTATATATGGTCCGTCCTTTGACCTTTGATAATAATGATTTGACGGAAATTGCAACGTTCGAATATTTGAAGACCTGGCAATTATCATCCAGCTATAGCTCTCATTTACATGGTGGAAATAACGAATACGTAGATTTCAGTTACAAATCAGCATCTTACAATTCTTCGAGTTAACTTCAAACATATATAACTGTATACAAAATAATCATACAGTTATTTTTTTCGGTTCATTCAAAAGGTCAAACATTGAACAGAAACATAACGGGTACCATCACGGAACTTTGCGTAAAGTTGTAGTAACTATTGTAATGGTTTATTATTTTTAGATGGAGAGGGTTGATTACAGTATCTCTGCATTTCAACAGTTCAATCAAACTTACCGTAAAAGTATTTAGAGTGCATCATTTTTAAGTTCCCTTTAATAGATTATATACAATTGATATGTACAGTTGAATATGTAAATGTCTCCATTGGTTTCACGTTTCTCTGTAGAACCAGCATGTGGAGTGTTTCCATGTTCAGGTACATCAGACAGAGGACAAGAATGCAACTGTACGGGAAGTGAAAAGGGAGAACAGTTCTGTGATAACGGTAATGATATTATAAATCTATATAGAACACTTTTAATCATTCTTTAAATGTCAAAAATTCAAACAAGATAAAAAGGAATTCGTAACTAGTTATCATGCAAAAACTCAGATTATTTAACAAAGCAAATCAAACCATACAAAATCATTTTAAGCATGCACATTCAATGATAAAGGTATTATTAGATCTAACAATTTCAGATATTAATAAAACAAAAACGGGAGTGAAAAAATCGGATTTAAATGAACATCTAAAATTTCCCCAGAGACAATTATTTGTACTCATTTACAACATATATTTTTATACTTAAAACAGAAAATACAAAATGTCCGATTGAAAAAGGATAGGCTCATATAAATATTTGGCGACAAATAAACAAAAGTATATTTTTCATGCACATTACGTCTGAAAACATAATTATATCTGAAACGTTGACCTTTTTCAATGCAAGGATGACCTGCAGTCGTTTCTTTTGGGACATTTTGAGAACGTGCGTAACAATCACTTGTTTTCCCCATATCTAAGATACAACAAATTTTACAACAGTGGAAAGGTTGTCATCACCAACCATATCACAAAGTGACGGTATGTTCGATTTCATATATGCTGATTTGAAATCAAAATACTGTTTTGTAGTCACACTAGACTAAATATGGACAAAGGCCTTTCTTTAGTGTAAAATGTACTTGCTCGAAATTTTGTTAGCTTTCAGAACAGATCCCGCCTTTCATCATTGTAGTATAAATTGTCCCCTTCGGGGCTCAAACTTATTTCGGTGCTTTGTGACAATATGACGGAGAAATAAAACAATCGATATATGCATCAACCAATTAGTGTTTAGCGGCGAAACTGAAAAGCTGCGTACAAGCGACAATTTTATAGATTTGAATGTGATACACATAAAAAAAATTTAAAAAAATTTGATGACTGACCAAAAGCATCAGGTGGTACTATAAATAGAACCATATTCCTCTACAATGATATACAAAGGGGATGCCCAAAGGCCTTTCTGTTATATTTATCAAATTTAACAAACGGAAATGACCTGAAGTCAATTTGTGTTACTAGTCCTGAACATGTTAAACAAAGGAGATGACCTCTGGTCAGTGAGGTCTGCTTAGGTATACAAATGTATACCGGAAGACATTGTTTTCGCAATGAAGGCCAAAGGGTATTTAAACAAGTTTGACACTATTTTAAAATTTATACTGAGGCTGGTTTTGGGTTTTTGTGTTTAAGCAATTTATTATTTTATACCAATTTTATACTACTAGTACTTATTTTCAACTTTTCTTAATAGCCTTTTTTCAACTCCCTTTAACGTCGATTAAAAAAGGATAGGCTCATATCAATATTTGGCGACAAATAAACAAAAGTATTTTTCTCATGCGCATTACGTCTGAAAACATAAATTATATCTGAATCGTAGACCTTTTCAATGCTTGGATGACCTGCGGTCGTTTCTTTTGGGGCATTTTGAGAACGTGCGTAACAATTAATCACTTGTTTTCCCCATATTTCAGAAGCAACAAACTTTACAACAGTGGAAAGGTTGTCATCATCAACTTCATCACAAAGTGACGGTATGTTCGATTTCATATATGCTGATTTGAAATTTAAATACTGTTTTGTAGTCACACTAGACTAAATATGAACAAAGACCTTTCTTTAGTGTAAATAGTTATCAAAGGTACCAGGAATATAATTTAATACGCCGCGTTGCGTCTACGTAAGACTCATCAGTGCCGCTCAGATACAATATACTTGCTCGAAATTTTGTTAGCTATCAGAACAGATCCCACCTTTCATCACTGTAGTATACATTGTCCCCTCCGGTGCTCAAACTCATTTCGGTAATATGTGACAATAGGAAGGAGAAATAAAACAATCGGTATATGCATCTACCAATTAGTGTTAAGCGGCGAAACTGAAAAGCTGCGTACATGCGACAATTTTATAGATTTGAATGTGATACACGTAAAAAAAATTAAAAAAAAAAATTGGATGACTGATGAAAAGCATCAGGTGGTACTTAAAATAGAACCATATTCCTCTACAAAGATATACAAAGGGGGATGCCCACAGGCCATTCTGTTATACTTATCAAATTTAACAAACGGAAATGACCAGAAGTCAATTTGTTTTACTAGTCCTGAACATGTTGAACAAAGGAGATGACCTCTGGTCATTATGGTCTGCATTGATATACAAAGATATACCGGAAGACATTGTTTTGGCAATGAAGACCAAAGGGTGTTTAAACATGTTTGACACTATTTCAAAATCTATACCGAGGCTGGCCTTGGGATTTTGTGTTTAAGCTATTTATTATTTCATACCAATTTTAGACTACTAGTACTTATTTTCAAATTTTCTTAAACACTTTTTTTCAACTCCCTTTAACGTCGATTAAAAAAGGATAGGCTCATATCAATATTTGGCGACAAATAAACAAAAGTATTTTTCTCATGCGCATTACGTCTGAAAACATAAATTATATCTGAATCGTAGACCTTTTCAATGCTTGGATGACCTGCGGTCGTTTCTTTTGGGGCATTTTGAGAACGTGCGTAACAATTAATCACTTGTTTTCCCCATATTTCAGAAGCAACAAACTTTACAACAGTGGAAAGGTTGTCATCATCAACTTCATCACAAAGTGACGGTATGTTCGATTTCATATATGCTGATTTGAAATTTAAATACTGTTTTGTAGTCACACTAGACTAAATATGAACAAAGACCTTTCTTTAGTGTAAATAGTTATCAAAGTTACCAGGATTATAATTTAATACACCAGACGCGCGTTTCGTCTACATAAGACTCATCAGTGACGCTCAGATACAATATACTTGCTCGAAATTTTGTTAGCTATAAGAACAGATCCCACCTTTCATCACTGCGATATACATTGTCCCCTCTGGGGCTCAAACTCATTTCGGTACTTTGTGCCAATAGAAAGGAGAAATTAAACAATCGATATATGCATCTTCCAAATTGTGTTTAGCGGCGAAACTGAGAAGCTGCGTACATACGACAATTTTATAGATTTGAATGTGATATATGTAAAAAAAATTAAAAAATTTGATGACGGATGAAAAGCATCAGGTGGTATTTTAAATAGAACCATATTCCTCTACAATGATGTCATTATGGTCTGCATTGGTATACAAAGGTATACCGGGAGACATTGTTTTGGCAATGAAGACCAAAAGGTGTTAAAACATGTTAGACACTATTTCAAAATTTATACCGAGGCTGGCCTTGGGATTTTGTGTTTAAGCAATTTATTATTTCATACCAATTTTAGACTACTCCTACTTATTTTCAACTTTTCTTAAAAACTTTTTTTCAACTCCCTTTAACTCCGATTAAAAAAAAAATAGGCTCCTATCAATATTTGGCGACAAATAAACAAAAGTGTTTTTGTCATGCGCATTACGTCTAAAAACATAATTATATCTGAAACGTAGACCTTTTCAATGCTTGGATGACCTGCGGTCGTTTCTTTTTGGGCATTTTGAGAACGTGCGAAACAATTAATCACTTGTTTTCCCCATATTTCAGAAGCAACACACTTTACAACAGTGGAAAGGTTGTCATCATCAACTTCATCACAAAGTGACGGTATGTTCGATTTCATATATGCTGATTTGAAATTTAAATAGTGTTTTGTAGTCACACTAGACTAAATATGGACACAGGCCTTTCTTTTGTGTAAAATATACTTGCTCAAAATTTTGTTAGCTATCAGAACAGATCCCGCCTTTCATCACTGCGGTATACATTGTGCCCTCCGTGGCTCAAACTCATTCCGGTACTTTGTGACAATAGAAAAGAGAAATAAAACAATCGATATATGCATCTACCAAATTCTGTTTAGCGGCAAAACTGAAAAGCTTCGTACATGCAACAATTTTACAGATTTAAATGTGAAACACCTAAAAAAAAATTAAATACTGTTTTGTAGTCACACTAGACTAAATATGAACAAAGACCTTTCTTTAGTGTAAATAGTTATCAAAGGTACCAGGATTATAATTTAATACGCCAGACGCGCGTTTCGTCTACATAAGACTCATCAGTGACGCTCAGATACAATATACTTGCTCGAAATTTGTTAGCTAAAAGAACAGATCCCACCTTTCATCACTGCGGTATACATTGTCCTCTCCGGGGCTCAAACTCATTTTGGTACTTTGTGACAATAGGAAGGAGAAATTAAACAATCGATATATGCATCTACCAAATTGTGTTTAGCGGCGAAACTGAGAAGCTGCGTACATGCGACGATTTTATAGATTTGAATGTGATACATATAAAAAAAAAAAAAAAAAATTTGATGACGGATGAAAAGCATCAAATGGTACTTTAAAAAGAACCACATTCCATTACAATGATGTCATTATGGTCTGTATTGGTATACATAGGTATACCGGAAGACATTGTTTTGGCAATGAAGACCAAAGGGTGTTAAAACATGTTCGACACTATTTCAAAATTTATACCGAGGCTGGCCTTGGGTTTTTGTGTTTAAGCAATTTATTATGTTATACCAATTTTAGACTACTCGTGCTTATTTTCAAATTTGCTTAAAAACTTTTTTTCAACTCCCTTTAACTCTGATTAAAAAAAAAAAGGCTCATATCAATATTTGGCGACAAATAAACAAAAATATTTTTGTCATGCGCATTACGTCAGAAAACATAATTATATCTGAAACGTAGACCTTTTCAATGCTTGGATGATCTGCGGTCGTTTCTTTTGGGGCATTTTGAGAACGTGCATAACAATTAATCACTTGTTTTCCCCATATTTCAGAAGCAACAAACTTTACAACAGTGGAAAGGCTGTCATCGTCAACTTCATCACAAAGTGACGGTATGTTCGATTTCATATATGCTGATTTGAAATTTAAATCTGTTTTGTAGTCACACTAGACTAAATATGAACAAAGACCTTTCTTTAGTGTAAATAGTTATCAAAGTTACCAGGATTATAATTTAATACACCAGACGCGCGTTTCGTCTACATAAGACTCATCAGTAACGCTTAGATACAATATACTTGCTCGAAATTTTGTTAGCTATCAGAACAGATCCCACCTTTCATCACTGCGGTATACATTGTCCCCTCTGGGGCTCAAACTCATTTCGGTACTTTGTGACAATAGGAATTGAAATTAAACAATCGATATATGCATCTTCCAAATTGTGTTTAGCGGCGAAACTGAGAAGCTGCGTACATGCGACAATTTTATAGATTTGAATGTGAAACATGTAAAAAAAATTAAAAAAATTTGATGACGGATGAAAAGCATCAGGTGGTACTTTAAATAGAACCATATTCCTGTAAAATGATGTCATTATGGTCTGCATTGGTATACAAAGGTATACCGGAAGACATTGTTTTGGCAATAAAGACCAAAGGGTGTTAAAACATGTTCGACACTATTTCAAAATTTATACCGAGGCTGGTCTTGATTTTTTGTGTTTAAGCAATTTATTATGTTATACCAATTTTAGACTACTCGTACTTATTTTCAACTTTTCTTAAAAACGTTTTTTCAACTCCCTTTAACTCCGATTTAAAAACAAATAGGCTCATATCAATATTTGGCGACAAATAAACAAAAGTATTTTTGTCATGCGCATTACGTCTGAAAACATAATTATATCTGAAACGTTGACCTTTTTGAATGCTAGGATGACCTGCAGTCGTTTCTTTTGGGACATTTTGAGAACGTGTGTAACAATCACTTGTTTTCTCCATATCTAAGATACAACAAATTTTACAACAGTGGAAAGGTTGTCATCATCAACTTCATTACAAAGTGATGGTATGTCCGATTTCATATATGCTGATTTGAAATTAAAATACTGTTTTGTAGTCACACTAGACTAAATATGGACAAAGGCCTTTCTTTAGTGTAAAATATACTTGTTCGAAATTTTGTTAGCTATCAGAACAGATCTCGCCTTTCATCACTGCGGTATAAATTGTGCCCTTCGGGGCTCAAACTTATTTCGGTACTTTGTATCAATATAACGGAGAAATAAAACAATCGATATATGCATCAACCAATTAGTGTTTAGCGGCGAAACTGAAAAGCTGCGTACATGCGACAATTTCATAGATTTGAATGTGATAGACATAAAAGATAAAAAAAAAGCATCAGGTGGTACTATAAATAGAACCATATTCCTCTACAATGATATACAAAGGGGGATTCCAAAAGGCCTTTCTGTTATATTCATAAAAATTTAACAAACGGATATGACCTAAAGTCAATTTGTGTTATTAGTCCTGAAGATGTTAAACAAGGGAGATGACCTCTGGTTAGTGAGGTCTGCATTGGTTTTCAAAGGTATACCGAATGACATTTTTTTCGCAATGAAGGCCAAAGGGTATTTAAACATGTTCGACACTATTTTAAAATTTATACTGAGGCTGGTTTTGGGTTGTTGTGTTTATGCAATTTATTATTTTATACCAATTTTAATCTCTGCTAGTGGACAATCTGTCCCCGAGGATTCTACCAGTCCGGTAGCCTAACAGCATGAAAACTAGTAGAATAAAAATTATTATACTGGATGACACGCTGCCCAGGATAAAAAGGTGTCAATCGGATGTTGTCAAGGACACAACAACACCGATTTTATCAGGTGTCCCCAGGATCATCTTAAATGATGTAATGAAAATGACACATGTGCAGTCTTCTGAATCCTCATTGTACTATAAAAATTCAGACAAGTTTGTTTATATTCGGCCCTGTACTGTTCAACTTTCAGATATTTTAGATTTCAATGACAACCACCAATATTGCTCTATTTCCAAATGCAACCGTAAAAATTGTAAAACCTGTGATATACTAATATCTGATACCCACTTTCAAAGTAATTTAACCACCAAAAGTTACAATACACACAGTCATGAGGATTTGAATTGCACTGTTTCCAATATTGTGTACGGTATTGAATGTACTCTTTGTGGATTGATCCACGTCGGGGAAACTCGACAAAGACTCAATTTTAGAATGAATGATCATTGGTCTAATGTAAATGATCCTAATAACAACAAATTTCTCTATAAACATTTCAATCAGCCTGACCATTCTATTGTTTCAATGAAAGTCCGGATTATAGAGAAAATATATCATTCAACAAATGACCCCATATTGAGTACACCATATTGTTTACAAAGAGATGACTTTTGGATAAGAGAGTTGGGAACAGCCATTCCCTATGAATGCAATGACAAAATTGATGTTGTAGGTATTTTGTCTAGTCCCAGGTGTAGTACTGTCAATACATTACAATTATTTAATACTTCTGCTCGACGAAATAGAAGTCATGGTCACAGAAAATATATACCACCTGCTGTGCACACCGTGACAATTGATAGTCTGTTAACGTTTGTTCAAAAACCTTTCGGAATTCATCATATCAGAACTAAATTATACTCCATTCCATTGTCAAAACTTTTTTTACTATTTCAAGCGGCCCAAAATACTTCCGTTACTAATTCTCGTTCTGTTTTGTATAGATTAGTTGCAATAATCATGGACATTGCTAGCCATAGACTATTCAAACCCGTATCGACTACATCCAAAAATGAGGAAAAACGTAATTTTTTAAGGTAGAATTCGCCAATAAAGGTTTAGATGCTGTAAAAATAAGCAATATTTTCCACCAGAAATCTGTACAAAAAACTATACCTGGTTACTTCAAAACTTAAAGCTACACCTGTTATTTCTTATACTTACACCAAGTCTATTGCATCCAAGATTTTCAACCACAAGAGGGTTTTAGAGGCCTTTAACCTCAAAGATGTGAAATCCAAGCCCTCGGATTGCTCATGTGCATCGTCGCAATACAATTATAGTCCAGCTGGTCATGTTATTACTGGCGACCTTGGCATCGTTACCAATGAACAACTAAGAGGGTTGTTAGCCAAGGGACCAAAATATAGAATTCCCTAGCCCATCAACTGGAAAAAGAACTTCAGGTTACTGATGGATGCAGTTGAGGACTATGCAAGAGAATGGGTAAAGCGCAAACCAGACGAACCAGAACTGGACACTCTGTCTGAATGGATCAAAGCTATTCGATCATGCATTCAGAAGCGCATTCAAAAACTACGATGTACTATGAGCACAAGAGTTATTAACCCTTTCAAGAATCCGGATGTTGTGGATGCTTTATCCTCTTTGCATGACAAATATGTCGTTGTTCCAGCAAATAAAGCCTCCAATAATATTGTCTTCATATGTAAAAACCATTATTTGCAATGTCTCACAACAGAGCTTGGAATAAATAGAACTACTGGTAATCCTACATATTCTTTAACATCATTTACCAAGGAAGAAATTTTACAAAATCACAAATCTGTCCTTCTTTCTTTTGGTATCAACATCAAAGAAAACGAGGAAAATTTACCATCATTATACTGGATACCAAAACTTCACAAAACTCCATATAAAGAACGATACATAGCTGGGTCATCAATATGTTCGACTAAACATCTTTCTAAAGTACTGACTACTATTCTTTCTACAGTTAAAGATGGGCTTCAAAAATATCGTGATGAGATATATTCTTCCAGTGGTGTTAACCAGATTTGGATTCTCAAAAATTCGAAAGATCTACTGCTTAATCTTCGATCACAATCTTTGCAATTTTGCAGCAACATAAAGACTTTTGATTTTTCTACGCTTTACACTACTATTCCCCATGCTCAGTTGAAAGATCGACTTCACCATCTCATTAAACAGAGCTTTTGCTTTAAAAAATGGGAATCGTAGATACAAATTTCCTGTTTTGTATTACAATAATTCATATTTTGTGAAGAACAACACTGAATCTACCAGAAAATATACTGAAGATGATATAATCAAAATGCTGGACTTTTTGATCGACAATATATTTGTTGAGTTTGGAGGATTTATATTTCAACAGACAGTCGGTATTTCAATGGGTACTAATTGTGCACCCCTACTGGCCGATTTGTTTTTGTACTCGTATGAAGCAGAATTCATTCAGAACCTTCTAAAAGACAAAAAGAAAAAGCACCTTGCGAAATTCTTTAATTTTACTCTCCGATATATTGATGATGTCCTATCATTGAATAACCCATATTTCAGCCAATACTTACATCTCATATATCCCAGTGAACTAGAAATTAAGGATACTACTGATACTAGAAGGACTGCTTCATACCTTGATCTTTTCCTTAATATTGACACAGATGGACGACTTCACACGAAAATCTATGATAAACGGGACGATTTCAACTTCCCAATTATCAATTTCCCATTTCTCAGCAGTAACATACCCTCTGCCCCTTCGTATGGTGTTTACATATCTCAGTTGATATGTTATGCTCGTGCATGTTCACACTATACGGACTTCATATACAGGAGTGTGTTCCCAAAGCAGAAACTGCTCCAACAAAGTTATGAGGAGTAAAGATTAAAAATGACTCTCCGAAAATTTTACGGACACCATCACGAATTGGTCGATCCATACGATGTGTCTTTGTCCAAACTAAGGACTTTTTTCCACGTGTTAGATTGTGGTTTGACATTACGTCGTCTGATCTTTTAATTACCGAACGTGACTTATTCCCGATTGTGACTGTTTTGCTGAGTGTGAATTCGCATTGCTATAAGACGTGTCACGGTACTTTTCTATCCAAAATTCATGTATTTAGTTTTGATGTTATATTTGTTATTCTCATCGGATTTTGTCAAATGTCCTATCGTTTGTAGTTGTAAATCTTATTTTTTTCTGTTGTATTCGTGTGTTATGGTAAAGGTAATTAATCACCCAGTTCATTAATTAGATTTAATTTGGGTCAACTAAATTTATACGATATATTTGGTTTACAGTTTGATTTAGAAGAAACACCGACATAGCTAGATTATACTATTAATTATCTAATTACTACCACATTTTATTTTAATAAGTATTGTAATTTTCATTGTTATTAATAAATGTTATATGAGTATTTTAAATCAAATCTTGAATTCTATCCTAATTCTATCCTATTTTGGGGAAATTTCAGAAATTCAAATGTGACGTCACCTTTTTTTTGTGCGTTGATCTCTTTGGCTAACTCGGCTGTGAATTTTTATGTGCTGGTTTATGTTGTTTTATGTATTCGTTTTTATTCTGTAGTTAGTCACCACTTCGGTGTTATCATGTATATCTATTATATAGTCATTTGTATAAATTTACTGTTTGCAAAAGTATGAATTATTCTAAATACTAAGGATTTTCTTATCCCAGACATATAACCTTACCCGTACTTGGCACAACTTTTTGGAACTTTTGGTCCTCAATGCTCTTCAACTTTGTACTTGTTTTGGCTTTCGAATTTTTTTTATCTTAGCGTCATTGGTTAGTCTTGTGTGAACGAAACGCGCGTCTTAAATTTTAAACCTGTTACCTTTTGTTAGCTATTATTCGTATGTTTCTCAGTCCTATATGTTCTCCCATTTATTTGTATTGTAGTCCTGTCATGTAATGTTGTCATTTTAATGTTATATTTAACATTGCCATAAAAGCGGGAGGTTTGGCTAGCCACAAAACTAGGTTCAACCCACCATTTTATCTTAAAATGTCCTGTACCAAGTCAGAAAAATGGCCACTGTTATATTATAGTTCGTTTCTGTGTGTGTTACATTTTAATGTTGTGTTTCTGTTGTGTCTTTGTTCTCCTCTTATATTTGATGTGTTTCCCTCAGTTTTAGTTTGTAAACCGGATTTGTTTTTTCCTCAATCGATTTCTGAATTTCGAACAGCGGTATACTACTGTTGCCTTTATTTAGACTACTAGTTCTTATTTCCAACTTTTCTTAAAAACTTTTTTTCAACTCCCTTTAACTCCGATTAAAAAAGGATAGGCTCATATCAATATTTGGCGACAAATAAACAAAAGTATTTTTGTCATGCGCATTACGTCTGAAAACATAATTATATCTGAAACGTAGACCTTTTCAATGCTTTGATGATATGCGGTCGTTTCTTTTGAGGCATTTTGAGAACGTGCGTAACAATTAATCACTTGTTTTCCCCATATTTCAGAAGCAACAAACTTTACAACAGTGGAAAGGTGGTCGACATCAACTTCACCTCAAAGTGACGGTATGTTCGATTTCATATATGCTGATTTGAAATTTAAATAGTGTTTTGTAGTCACACTAGACTAAATATGGACACAGGCCTTTCTTTTGTTAAAATATACTTGCTCAAAATTTTGTTAGCTATCAGAACAGATCCCGCCTTTCATCACTGCGGTATACATTGTGCCCTCCGTGGCTCAAACTCATTCCGGTACTTTGTAACAATAGGAAAGAGAAATAAAACAATCGATATATGCATCTACCAAATTGTGTTTAGCGGCAAAACTGAAAAGCTGCGTACATGCAACAATTTTATAGATTTGAATGTGAAACACCTAAAAAAAAATTAACAAATTTTGATGACTGATGTTAAGCATCAGGTGGTTTTATAAATATAACCATATTCCTCTACAATGATATACAAAGTAGGATGCCCACAGGCCATTCTGTTAAACTTATCAAATTTAACAAACGGAAATGACCTGAAGTCAATTTGTTTTACTAGTCACGAACATGATAAACAACCTTTTCAATGCTTGGATGACCTGCGGTCGTTTCTTTTGGGACATTTTGAGAACGTGCGTAACAATTAATTACTTGTTTTCCCCATATTTCAGAAGCAACAAATTTTACAACAGTGGAAAGGTTGTCATCATCAACTTCATCACAAAGTGACGGTATGTTCGATTTCATATATGCTGATTTGAAATTTAGATAGTGTTTTGTAGTCACATCAGACTAAATATGGACACACGCCTTTCTTAACTATAAAATATACTTGCTCGAAATTTTGTTACCTATCAGAACAGCTCCCGCCTTTCATCACTGCGGTATACATTGTACCCTCCGGGGCTCAAACTCATTTCGGTACTCTGTGACAATAGGAAGGAGAAATAAAACAATCGATATATGCATCTACCAAATTGTGTTTAGCGGCGAAACTGAAAGGCTGCATACATGCGACAATTTTATAGACTTGAATGTGATACATGTAAAAAAAAATTAAAAAAAATTGATGACTGATGAAAAGCATCAGGTGGTATTTTAAATATAACCATATCCCTCTACAATGATATTCAAAGGGGGATGCCCTCAGGCCATTTTGTTATACTTATCAAATTTAACAAACGGAAATAACCTGAAGTCAATTTGTTTTACTAGTCCTGAACATGTTAAACAAAGTAAATGACCTCTGGTTATTATGGTCTGCATTGGTATACAAAGGTATACCGGAAGACATTGTTTTTGCAATGAAGACCAAAGGGTGTTAAAACATGTTCGCCACTATTTCAAAATTTATACTGAGGCTGGCCTTGGGTTTTTGTGTTTAAGCAATTTATTATGTTATACCAATTTTATACAACTCGTACTTATTTTCAACTTTTCTTAAAAACTTTTTACCAACTCCCTTTAACTCCGATTAAAAAAATTGGCTCATATCAATATTTGGCGACAAATAAACAAAAGTATTTTTCTCATGCGTATTACGTCTAAAGACATAATTATATCTGAAACGTAGACCTTTTCAATGCTTGGATAGCCTGCGGTCGTTTCTTTTGGGACATTTTGAGAACGTGCGTAACAATTAATCACTTGTTTTCCCCATATTTCAGAAGCAACAAACTTTACAACAGTGGAAAGGTGGTCGACATCAACTTCACCTCAAAGTGACGGTATGTTCGATTTCATATATGCTGATTTGAAATTTAAATAGTGTTTTGTAGTCACACTAGACTAAATATGGACACAGGCCTTTCTTTTGTTAAAATATACTTGCTCAAAATTTTGTTAGCTATCAGAACAGATCCCGCCTTTCATCACTGCGGTATACATTGTGCCCTCCGTGGCTCAAACTCATTCCGGTACTTTGTGACAATAGGAAAGAGAAATAAAACAATCGATATATGCATCTACCAAATTGTGTTTAGCGGCAAAACTGAAAAGCTGCGTACATGCAACAATTTTATAGATTTGAATGTGAAACACCTAAAACAAAATTAACAAATTTTGATGACTGATGTTAAGCATCAGGTGGTTTTATAAATATAACCATATTCCTCTACAATGATATACAAAGTAGGATGCCCACAGGCCATTCTGTTAAACTTATCAAATTTAACAAACGGAAATGACCTGAAGTCAATTTGTTTTACTAGTCACGAACATGATAAACAACCTTTTCAATGCTTGGATGACCTGCGGTCGTTTCTTTTGGGACATTTTGAGAACGTGCGTAACAATTAATTACTTGTTTTCCCCATATTTCAGAAGCAACAAATTTTACAACAGTAGAAAGGTGGTCGACATCAACTTCAACTCAAAGTGACGGTATGTTCGATTTCATATATGCTGATTTGAATTTGAATAGTGTTTTGTAGTCACACTAGACTAAATATGGACACAGGCCTTTCTTTAGTGTAAAATATACTTGCTCGAAATTTTGTTAGCTATCAGAACAGACCCCGCCTTTCATCGCTGCGGTAAACATTGTGCCCTCCGGGGCTCAAACTAATTTCGGTACTCTGTGACAATAGGAAGGAGAAATAAAACAATCGATATATGCATACCAAACTGTGTTAAGGGACAAAACTGAAAAGCTGCGTAAATGCGACAATTTTATAGATTTGAATGTGATACACGTAAAAAAAAATAAACAAATTTGATGACTGATGTAAAGCATCAAGTGGTACTATAAATATAATCATATTCCTCTACACTGATAAACAAAGGGGGATGCCCACAGGCCATTCTGTTATAATTATCAAATTTAACAAACGGAAATGACATGAGGTCAATTTGTTTTACTAGTCCTGAACATGTTAAAAAAACTGGTTAGTGAGGTCTGCATTGGAATACAAAGGTATACCGGAAGACATTGTTTTTGCAATGAAGGGCAAAGGGTATTTAAACATGTTCGACACTATTTTAAAATTTATAACGAGGCTGGCCTTGGGTTTTTGTGTTTAAGCAATTTATTATTTTATACCAATTTTAGACTACTAGTACTTATTTTCAACTTTTCCTAAACACTTTTTTTCAACTTCATTTAACTCTGATTAAAAAAAGATAGGCTTATATCAATATTTGGCGACAAATAAACAAAAGTATTTTTGTCATGCGCATTACGTCAGAAAACATATTATATCTGAAACGTTGACCTTTCAATGCTTGGATGACCTGCGGTCGTTTCTTTTGGGGCATTTTGAGAACGTGTATAACAATTAATCACTTGTTTTTTCCATATTTCAGATGCAACAAACTTTACAACAGTGGAAAGGTTGTCATCATCAACTTCATCACAAAGTGACGGTATGTTCGATTTCATATATGCTGATTTGAAATTTAAATAGTGTTTTGTAGTCACACTAGACTAAATATGGACACAGGCCTTTCTTTAGTATAAAATATACTTCCTCGAAATTTTGTTAGATATTAGAACACATCCCGTCTTTCAGCACTGCGGTATACATTGTGCCCTCCGGGGCTCAAACTCATTTCGGTACTTTGTGACAATAGGAAGGAGAAATAAAACAATCGATATATGCATACCAAACTGTGTTTAGCGACGAAACTGAAAAGCTGCGTACATGCGACAATTTTATAGATTTGTATGTGATACATGTAAAAAAAAAAAATTTGATGACTGATGTTAAGCATTAGGTGGTACTATAAATATAATCATATTCCTCTACACTGATATACAAAGGGGAATGCCCACAGGCCATTCTGTTATACTTATCAAATTTAACAAACGGAAATGACCTGAAGTCAACTTCTTTTACTAGTCCTGAACATGTTAAACAAAGGAGATGACCTCTGGTCATTATGGTTTGTATTGGTATACAAAGGTATACCGGAACATTGTTTTGGCAATGAAGACCAAGTTTAAACATGTTCGACACTATTTCAAAATTTATACCGAGGCTGGCCTTGGGTTTTTGTGTTTAAGCAATTTATTATTTATACCAATTTTAGACTACTAGTACTTATTTTAAACTTTTTTTCGACTCCCTTTAACTCTGATTAAAAAAAATAGGCTCATATCAATATTTGGCGACAAATAAAAACAAAAGTATTTTTGTCATGCGCATTACATCAGAAAACATAACTATATCTGAAACGTAGACCTTTTCAATGCTTGGATGGCCTACGGTCGTTAACTTTGGGGCATTTTGATAACGTGCATAACAATTAATCAATTGTTTTCCCCATATTTCAGAAGCAACAAACTTTACAACAGTAGAAAGATGGTCGACATCAACTTCACCTCAAAGTGACGGTATGTTCGATTTCATATATGCTGATTTGAAATTTAAATACTGTTTTGTAGTCACACTAGACTAAATATGGACACAGGCCTTTCTTTAAATTAAAATATATTCAGTGTAAACAATATTTTATTATGAATTAAACAATTACAACATAAGTTTACATTCACAAAAGGATTCAGAAACAAGCTACAAGTGCTTATGTCAATCTGTCTTTTTTTAAATTAGATACAATATACACAGATAAATCAAATATACATGCTCTGTTACATAATAAAAATAGTAATAATGTCAGCTGAGTTACGTAACATAATGAACTGAAAAAGAAAAGAAAAATGCAACTGATAAGATGAAATGCTTACAGGTATATTGTGTGAATTATTAGTTTGTAAACCTTTTAGATTTAATAATGAACCTTTGTACCATGAGAACTAAACTAATGCTTTCTTCATTTGAAATCATATTTGAGCATTTAAATAGTAATTCGGTGTCAATTGGTACTGTTAATTGTAGGCTACCAAATAATATTATCATTTCTTGTCTTATGTCCGAATATAATGGGCAAAAGAATAAAAAAAATGTAAAATTAGTTTCCAAGTCACCACAGCGACAGTGAGGAGAAGAAACTAAGTTTCTAGGAAACAAGTGACAGTTTAAAGAACTACTATTCATTCTTAGTCGCGCATGAAGAATTTGGCCTTTTCGACATCCAGCATAAAAGTATAAAGGGACTCGATCGTTTTGAAACAAATATGTTTCTTAAATACAGAGAGAGATTCACAATTTCTTACACCTAATGGTAAATGATTCCATAATTTGATGGAAGATGGAAGATACTAATCTGAATAAAGTTTTGTACGGGTTTTCACCTCTAATAGATCATTACTTTGTCTTGTACTGTGGTCGTATCTACCACTGACATAGCCAGGCAATAACTCTTGCAAATATTTTGGGGTTTTGTTATTGACAATTTTATGAAACAGTATTGATTTGTGGCTACTTCTTCGATCTGAAAGTTTCTCCCATTGGGTTTCTTTATATAACATCGAAGTACTTGTGAGTTTGGTCCCCCTGTAACTATACGAGCGGCGTCCAACTGGATGTTTTCGAATTTATTCATTAAAGTTTTTTGATTTCCTGAATCCCAGATAATATCAGCATAATTAATGATAGGTCTTATAAACGATATATGTGTTTTTTCCAAGGTCATTCTATCTAAAGTGTGTTTTATTTTCCTTAAAATATTAAGTCTTATGTAAATTTTCTGTACAATATAATCAACATGTACAGTCCATGAACCATTATTAGAAAATAATACTCCTAAATGCTTGTGCTTTTCGACCAAGTGTAATTCTTCGTTATTCATTTTTAAAGGTGGGTGATAAGTTGTTGCATTTTATTTGAGAAATAATCATGGTTTCAGTTTTGTTAGGGTTGAATTTTACAAGCCATTTCTGGGATCAAATTTTGTTCAAATCGCTATTGAGAATTTCAGCAGCTCCTACTGGATTATCAACAGTTAAAATTGACTTAATTTGGGCTTTGATATCAGGTACTATGTCATTAATAAATACCAAAAACAAAAGAGGACGTAATATAGAACCTTGTGGAACGCCAGCATTAGTGGACAACCAGTCAGAATTTGAACCAATTTTCTATCCATTTAAGTAAGTTTCCAGATATATCATATCTCTGTAATTTAATGAGAAGACCTTTATGCCAAACTCTATCAAATGCCTTACTTATGTCACAGAACACAACACGTATTTCTTTGCCACTATCCAAAGCTTTTCCAAAATCATTCGAAATATCTAATAACTGATTTACAGCAGAGTCCCCCCTGGTGAAGCCGGACTCGTTTGGCCTTAGAAATTTATTCTGTCTTAAATAATTATAAATATGTTTATACATACAGCGTTCCATGCATTTTGATAAAACACTAAGAAGAGAGATAGGTCGGTAATTTTTAACTTCGTTTGGTGAACTATGTTTAAGGACAGGTATGACATTAGCTTTTTTCCATTGACTCGGAAATTCAGCTTTCATTAACGACATATTAAATAATTTACAAAGAGGATATTTTATAACTAATGAAGTATCTTTTAATAACCTTGGATTTAACATGTCAAATCCAGATGCTTTAGAAGGATTTAGAACATTCAAGGCATCCTCAATTTCTGTTTCATTTAATTCAATTTCGTTTAAGTTGTTAACAGCATCGTTAAGGTTACTTAGGTTATCGGCCTCTATATGTCGTCTAAATTAGATTGTGAAGCAAAGTAAGAGTTAAATTCATTTGCCTTTTCAATATCATCAAACATTAATGTTCCGTTTCTTTGAATGGGTGCTATACCAGTATTGCTAGCCTTAATACCAGAAAATTGTTTAACTGTTTTCCACCAGTTAGTGCTAGACAGATTACCATTCATAATTTTGTTTATAAGGTTATTATTGTAATCTTCTTTAGATTTCCTAACTAGTCCAGTGACTTTGATTCTTATTTTTTAAAATTTATTCCAGTCAGAATGTTTATTAATTTTTTTTTTGCCTTTCTGTGAATTCTATTCTTTTTCCTAACAATGTTTTAAATATCATTGTTTTGCCATACAGGACTGTTTTTCGAACTGTGGTAATTTTATTGGGGATACTTATAGCAGCTGCTTGAAGTATCGTATTAGTTATGTTCTCGGTTACTACGTCTACACTGTCAGATGCAATTAGCGTGTCCCAGTCCGCTTCACCTAGAGTATTTCTAGATATATCATAATCGCCTTTGTCATATCACCATATTTTACGTTTAAAAGCCTTAAGTGGAGTTTTTAAGAAATTCAAAAAGCCAATAACTGGGCAGTGATACCGAATTTAGTCAGTCAACGGTGGACCAACACAATAATACGAAATCTCAATTACGTTACTTGTCATTGTTAGATCTATCAGTGAAGTGGAATTTTCGGTAAAACGTGTTGGTTCATCTATTTAAGTTAGGCTGAACTGGTTTAGTAGAGCTTTGACTCTAGAATTAGAGATGTTAAGTTGGTTCTCGTTAAAATCCCATGAGACTATAATGTTGTCTTTGTTGTCATTTAAGGCCATATCTATGCTTGTTTCAACTGTATCCCTTGTTTCGTGTCCGTTATTCGGGGGAATGTAAAAAATACCAAATATTTTTTGTTTTGTTTTGTAATTTAAGCTCTAACCAAATGGCTTCAAGCTCGTTAATTTTTAAATCAGGGCGGCGTCGTACATTCAAGTTATTTTTGACACACACTACCACTCCCCCTCTTGGGTTTTGAGGACCTCTGTCACGACGGAAAGGACTATGAAAGGTTAACAAGTTTATTGAATCGTCAGTATGACTAATATTTAACCAAGACTCAGCAAATGCTAATATATCGAATTCTTCATATTCAGCAATTAGATCTAACTTAGGAGCTTAACTCTGGATGTTTAGATGCAGGAAAGATAATGATTTCGGGAACAAATCGTAAAAGTTAGACAAGTCGTTCGAGTTGATAGAACTATCTGGCGAGGCTTCGTAGTCGGACGGACCTGGATTTGTTTCAATGCCACCAAAAATCAGTAATATTTGTAACACTAGTAATATAAAAGAAATGCCGAGTATTTGTGCGCTTTGTTGGCAAGTTTCAACAATATATTTTGTATTATTAGATTTAGGTTGTTTCCCTTGCGGTACTTCAAAAACGAGATGAATTAATAAAACGAGTGCTAACGCTTGGGGTTTGTTCTTCCTGGTAGCTATCAGCATGACACAAAAAATGTCAAGTAAAGAGAGTTTTCCTTTTAGGCCTATACTATTATTGAAATTGCCGATTCGCATGCGATACTACTCCATGCTCACTGTCATGGTTCTGTGTTACTTCTGTATCAGGGATTGTGTCGCAATGAGAACGACAAAGTCGTGAGAATATACCTATCTGCATTTCATCTTTAAAAAAATATATGTACGAAATAGAGGACAAAATTTAACAAAACTGTGAGAAATAAAAAATACAACAAAGCAAGGTAATGTTATATACAGGTACATGATATGTAGGGGAAATGGGTTATATTGAAGGAGGTTTAATTATTATACAGCGGTATTTAATTAGTTTATGACATTGTACAGTTAATCAATACTATTCAGTGTTTTACCTTGAAATTGTTGATAAATAAAATTGAGAATGGAAATGGGGAATGTGTTAAAGAGACAACAACCCGACCATAGAACAGACAACAGCAGAAGGTCAAAATGTTTCGTCTGGTTGATGTGTTTTACTACATTGGATTGTAGTATATAGTAGATATACAGAGTGAACAGTATAAAACCTACATGAAATATATTTGCTAGAAATTTCATTAGCTATCAGAGCAGATCCCGCCTTTCATCACTGCGGTATACATTGCGACAATTTTATAGATTTGAATGTGATACACGTAAAAAAAAACACAAAATTTGATGACTGATGAAAAGCATCAGGTGATGCTATAAATAGAACCATATTCCGCTACAATCATATACAAAGGGGGATGCCCACAAACCATTCTGTTATACTTTTTTACTAGTCCTGAAAATGTTAAACAAAGGAGATGTCCTTTGGTCAGTGCGGTCTGCATTAACGGAAGACATTGTTTTTGGCATTGAAGGCCAATGGGGATTTAAACATGTTCGACACTATTTTGAAATTGATAACGAGGCTGGCCTTGGGTTTTTGTGTTTTAGCGATTTATTATTTTATACCAATTTTAGACTACTAGTACTTATTTTCAACTTTTCTTAAAAACTTTTTTTCAACTCCATTTAACTCCGATTAAAAAGGATAGGCTCATATCAATATTTGGCGACAAATAAACAAAAGTATTTTTGTCATACGCATTACGTCTGAAAACATAATTATATCTGAAACGTAGACCTTTCAATGCTTGGATGACCTACGGTCGTTTCTTTTGGGACATTTTGAGAACGTGCGTAACAATTAATCACTTGTTTTCCCCATATTTCAGATACAACAAACTTTACAACAGTGGAAAGGTTGTCATCATCAACTTCATCACAAAGTGACGGTATGTTCGATTTCATCTATGCTGATTTGAAATTTAAATACTGTTTAATAGTCACACAAGACTCAATATGCACACAGGCCTTATCTTTAGAATAAAATGAATTTGCTCGAAATTTGATAGCTATCAAAACAGATCCCGCCTTTCATTACTGCAGTTTAAATTATCCCCTCTGGGGCTCAAACTCATTTCGGTACTTTGTGACAATGGGAAGGAGCAATGAAACAATCGATATATGCATCTACCAAAATTGTGTTTTGCAGCGAACTGAAAAGCTGCGTACATGCGACATTTTTATAGATTTGAATGTGATACACGTTAAAAAAAATAATTTTTTTATGATCGATGAAAAACAGTTGTTCTGATATTAGCCAATATAATTCTCATCTTAGTTCTTGATGTACTGCGGCTCTTTTCACAAAAAACCTTAAGAGTAAACATACTCGTAAGTTATGCACATTTTAGTATGACTTACGATCCATTTTAATCGTAAGATTTTTGGTGAAAAGAGTCGCTGTATTGTAGTGACTATTTATTTCAACGAAAGGTCAGCAGTGTTTACATTTCCATAAAAATATAAAAAATAAATATTATTATGAATTAATGTTAGGATATATTCTATCAAGTGAAAACATTTGGAAATTTATATGCAGAAAATGATAAATTTGGAAAAAAACGTAAGATGGCAAAAATAAACATATACCACACTAACACAAATTGCAAGACTTAGTGTAAAAGTAATTATCATACTTTCAAATAATAAATTTTATAGTTGTTTATGCCACTTTAACATAAGTTAGTTCTATTTTGTGGGAAACCTTTGTTAAGCACCTAAGGTGTCCACATTTGTCTATAGGTATTTCTTCTATAAAATCGGATGTCGGTGTGTGTGCTGATCTAACGGTGAAAGTCTTATCGCATTGTACATTTTTGAAATGTCACCATCTAAAGCTATAGATTCTTGTCTGAATTGAATTAAGACAGCAAACAAGTCATTGATCACATTTGACCCTTTCGCCCAATAGTCATTAAGAGTGTGTCACATATAAGATGACGAAGAGTTAAATACAATCCTTAATAGTGTCGATTTTGATTCGTGTTTAAACACATCGGAGTGTGGTATGTAATGCACCGGACCACCATGTTTCTCCATCTCCTCCAACGTCAATTTCCTTGCTATGCCATGTTTCACCATATCCCTAATCTGTTCATTGTAGGCACTTATATTCTAATGAATTTCAAAGTAGTTGTTTTTCAGTAGATCCAAGTCTTGATACCGCTCAGTTGACGTTGTTTGGAAGGTTGTTTGGATTTTTTTATCCAGGGGTAATGTACTATCCATTCCTGCGTTTTTTCATCATGTGTCATGCCTGATTTAATTATATTTAATTCCCTCTCATCTCTTATACTGTGTTTCGATTGTCTTATAGCATATTTGCCACATTGACAAGAGCCACATTTAAAGGTGGTTTGTTTCTCAGGCCCTTCTATGTGAAAAAGTGAATCCAATTTGTCCTTTAATACTGTCTCTGTCCAATACTTAATTATCATTTAACGGAATTATATGCCCGGAAGCCCAGTAAATACGGACATGGTTTGACGATTTTGGCACTTCTAGCAGTGGAAGGCTGCCACGTATGCAGTACTCAAACTGATTTCTCATCAACTGTAGATTTCCAATTTGTTCTTCTTAATTGGGCATCAACATGCAACAATCTGTGCCGATCAATATGTCCACTTGGCCAGTTGGTCTTTTAATGTCCTTTTTACAAATGTATACCTTTGAACAGTTGTTCGACCCTACTCATATCAACTCTCGCAACCTCGGTTGTAACTTCCTCCATGCCATATGCTTTTATTGTTCATATTTTACCTTCAAGGTCAGTCAATGTTAGTACATACTCTTTACTTTGTACGTGTTTGTTTACATTTCTCACCTTCGTCACAGATAATGTTATTATATCTTGTCCAGATAATCCTAATCTTTTAGCAGTTTTGTGCGTAATCAATGACATATTCGCTCCAGGGTCCCTAAGTGTTGTCAATGATCGGTCCTTACACTGAACTGAACTGATCATTGATAGTTCTCCATTCTTGCTTTTATCGTCGTTGATCACCTGTGTAGAGTTATGAAAGGATATGCCATCCATGTGTGCAGTGTGAAATTTTTGTGATGCATTTTCCCACATGTTTGATGAAGCTCATTTTGTATGTCACAAGGTTTACGGCTGAGGCAATGCCTTGACAAATGTCCTATCTTTAAACAACTAAAACATCCACCATTTTTTCTCACCAAATCAACCTTTGTCTGACTATCTAGTCTCGCAAGTATAGAACAATCCCTTATTTCATGATTATCAGATTTGTGATACCAACACTTAAACTTCCCTTCTGTATTTCTATTGTTCCGGTATATTTGTCTAGATTGTATCGGTTTGTCGGTTTTTTCGACATGGCTTGCGCTACCTGTGCAAGACCTTCAACAACCTGTTTCATCACTTGCTGGTTCTCTTGTAATTGTACTTGTAAAGGATTTACAGCCACATCATTTTAATTCTCGTCATTTTTGGATTCATTTGCTTCACAAGTATGTATCTTTCCCTTTGCGGTTTCATAATCACGCAAATCAGACTCCATGTACTCTAAAGCACTTTTGTCCTCTAACAAAAACAACTTTGGGGAATACTTTTCGATTCTGTCTTATGTTTACATAAGCCCATTCACGTTTTTGTATAGGCGGTAGTAGCTTTTCAATCTGACTAACATTGTTGGTGTGTTCATCTCTGCTTCGACGTTCATACGTTTTAAATCAAGCCAACATTTCTCGACAGTTTCTACCACCGAAATAAACTTTATGTTGTTACCTTCTTGAACTTTCTTTAGTCTTTTCAATTCATTTAATATGTGATCGACCAATTTCTCTGCTCTGCCATATTTCATATCCAGACGCCGAAACATTTCTTCGAAATCATTGTCAACACCTTTCACGACAGTTAGGGCTTCACCACTAAAACATTGCTTGAGAGCATATGGATCGTTATCGTATGACGATAGCATGTGTCTTTCATAATCAACTTTGAAACTATGATAATCACGAATGCTGCCAGCAAAAATAGGAGCCTCTAATTTTTTCACCCTTATTGTCATGTTCATGTTTTATCTTTTGTCTTAGATTCTCACATAATGATCATGATTTACAAAGTTCTCTGTACATGCCAGTCAGATCATGATTAAGTTCATTTATCTTTGGTTTGTCGTCTTCACTTTCAGAATCGAATGTTTTTAAATATACCTCATGTATTGCCTTTAGTTCTGTATATGCTGTTTCCAAATCTTGAAGTATATTTTCAACCACAACTCTCCCTAACTCATCCTGTATTCCTTCTAGTAAACGACCATATATTCTATGAAATGTCCCTTTGGCTGTACTTCTTTTCTTCTGTGTTACCTTTATGTTATCTGCATCAACAGACATCTTGCCTTGCGTTGAAATGTATGAATATAATTCGTCAAAGGCTGTAAACTTTTATTGTAACTGATGTTGAAACCTAAAATGCACAATATGACAATATTCAAATAACATACAAGTCACAAGTTTCATATGTTGACATCTCGATTGATAATAGTTAATTAGACACAGTAAGCAGTTCAAACATCCACGAATCAATAATGTTACATATCTGTTACGCATTGACGGCCTATTTTATATCAGTCATTCGCTATTAACTTGGTTTTCCAGGATGAACAAAGCCAGTTCAAAAACCAGTCCAGGGTTAATCGAGAAAGGGGAAAGAAACATGTGTATATAATGTACTTTTTTCATATAATTTTATCCCCATTATTTGGAGTACCACTGCTTTTTATGTAGACGAAACGCGCGACGAAACGCGCGTCTAGAGTATAAAATTATAATCCTGGTACCTTTGATAACTATTTACACCACTGGGTCGATGCCACTGCTGGTGGACGTTTCGTCCCCGAGGGTATCACCAGCCCGGTAGTCAGCACTTCGGTGTTGACATGAATATCAATTGTATGGTCATTTTTATTAATTCCCTGTTACAAAAATTTGAATTTTTCGAAAAACTAAGGATTTTCTTATCCCAGGAATAGATTACCTTAGCCGTATTTGGCACAATTTTTTTGATTTTTGGGTCCTCAATGCTCTTCAACTTTGTGCTTGTTTGGCTTTATAACTATTTTGATCTGAGCGTCACTGATGAGTCTAATGTAGACGAAACGCGCGTCTGGCGTAATTATTTATAATCCTGGTACCTTTAAAATTAATGCTAATATCGGAAAACGTTATCAGATTAAAATAAATCGCCGTACAATCCAAAATTAGTTATCAATCAAAGTTGTAATGTTTATTGATCCGATACAAGGGATATGGAATTATTTTCCAGGAAAGAAGTATTTTACAAAATATTACATAATATTAGTTTTGAATGTTTGATTGAAGAAAAGTTAGGGATAAACTTCTACAAATTGATCATTGGATGGGAGAATTGTGAATGTATATATATTTGTTATTGTTGGGGGATGGTACATGTACGAAGCTTTCAATATAATACATGTGTAGATAGATAACTCCTGTGGTCCATCGTTATTATTTGATTAACTTTTTTTCAAATATATTCTTCCTTGAAACATCTTGGTTTTAGCATATTCTTCTTTGAAACAACTTTGTTGCAGCAAACTATGTTGTAGATGCAGATTTGGGATATACTACTACATCCTTTTATATGGAACCTGATTGTTTTGATATCAAAACTTTATTCGGTACTAGTTATAAAGATGAAAACAGTCCATTACCCATGCTGATAACTAATGATAATACGGTATGTACAATTTATCTTTATTCGCATTTAGTTAGGATCAGTTTATGGTTAATATTTTGTTAGTCTAATCTATACGATTAATATGCATATAATCTACCACGGTTGATATTCTACCTCTAATCTATGACTTACCAAATAAATAAGGTCCTGGTCTGCAGAAAGATGCTTCCTGTTTGTATTTCAAGTGGTCTTTTATTGTTGGAAGAGAAAAATATAATGAAGTTATTAGTCCCCTCCCCCCAACCACCACAACAAAAAAGAGATTTGAATCTAATATCTGTCTTAAAAAGTAACCTGCAAAAATAAAAATTTTCAAATTATACATTTTAAATCATATATACATAATTTATGTTTGAAAAAATTTTCTCTAATTTTCTACAATTTACCAAAATAATCAATTATTATTTATCATCACTGATTTTTTATCAGGTCATTTGAAAGCAAGGGGCTGTCACATAAAACCAAACGCCACTAAATCGTCAAGATCAGACTTGACCTCGGGTAATCCATTTTGTCCAATATTGAAATTAGAATAGCAATGTTTGAACGGTTCTCAAGTTATTGAAACAGTTGGTATTTACAGGTACTCCGTCAACCCACTCATCATTCTGTTACTAGTTACTACCTTAACATATTGTTAAGTGCTCAAGGCTCAAACGATCTCTTGATTGGTTTTATTCAAGAATTAGATTCAGTATCAGTGCAATGTTTATAATAAAGGCATAACTTCCTTTTTTAGGCATTTCATTTATATGATAGTCTTAGTGATGTAATGGCCCCAAGGGTGACTGGGGAATAGAAGTATGGTCACCATTGATCTTCCTCCGACCGGCAGTAAAACCCTTGCTAAAGTGGGGCGTCCGTTTGGCTGTTCTGGATGTACAAATTTGCAGCCACGTCCGGTCAGAATGGGGACGTTAAATCCGATGATTCGTGTAAAGAGAGTGCCACGCTCTTTGCACGTTAAGAACCCTTGCAACAACTCTTTAAGGCCTGTTGCAAGGCTAAATTGCTGTCCCTATCCAATATACCCTCATTTCCCGTGGCAGTCTCTCCGACCTTAATCTCGAACGCCCCTATTACAGAACCTACCTATTGTATTCATTGTTATTTTGTTCTCGTCCTGAATGTGCATGAAATATTTGCCACTGAATGTTAAGCAACTAACAATCAATCAATAGTGATGTAATGAATCACTATAATTTGGGAAGATTTAATAAATTTTGTTGTAGACATTAGCTGTCAACACTGAGGTTGTCAGTTCGAATCCCGCAAGTAGCAGGTGCGCTCTACTCCAATCTTAATTGACTAGGATTGTCAATTTTCCTACCAAAGATCGGTAGTTCTCTCGCGGCAATTCGGCTTCCTTCTATAATAGAAACTGACTGCCACCAACTAGCACAATAGTGTTCAACAATCAATAACGATCAATTGTTGACATTAGATGACACAACAGTACGATGAGATGGTAGGAATTGTATAAGTTTGCTATTGTGAGTATGAATGTATATCATGTAATATTTAAGTGAGTAATTGTCGTTTTGTTAATTTACAGTTCAAATTTATAAATTTAAAATTTGAGTTACAACTAAATTGTTTTCCTCAGCCAACATTTTATCTTATCTCATTACATCAAATACTTCTTCATTGTGTGGGGTATTTAACTTTAATTTAAATGTTCAAATAAAATGCCTTCATGTAAAATTCAAAAGTTAATTTTAACTACCTACTATGATTGTATCAGAATATTGAAAATGTAATTTTCTTACCAACTACAGATCCATTAATCTGAGTTTTGGTAAGGTACTATCTGAACATTTAGGTTATATTCAATTTTAAAACTTTTTCTTTTTTTCAACATTTTGATCAAGTTTATTTTTTTTAGCAATTTTGAAGTAATTTATATTCACAAAATAATATGAATGGTACCCACTGGTAAACTTTTCGTTTGTTTCAAAATTCAACTGTTAGTCAGTTTGAATCAGAAATCATTTCAAGCTGATAAATGTGCTTCGTGGCAGTTGTAACTCATTTATAGAAATTCTGTGTTTGGATCTGTAAGTAGTCCTTAACAATAGTAAAATCCCGTACTGAGAACATGAATTACATTCATTCTTCACAATAACAAAATATCAAATCCTACAATTTCATTGGTCGAGAGCACTTTGCTATATTCTAAATATTTTTGTTTATTAGGTAGAATATCGTAAACACATATCAAAAAGTTTTTGACACAATATGTGGTTTTCAGTGCATTATTATTATATGTATTCAAACGCGTCTTGTGCACTTAAATCGGTATCATTCATTCATAAATTGACAGACTCGTTTCGATTGAGAGCTTGACATTGCTCATTGTTTAGAATGTAGCTTGTCCTCCAGAATGTATCTGCAAAAGGTTACAAAGAAAATGTGTATCATACGTTAATCTAAATATACAATTGATCTTTAGGAAAATATCTATCATTGTTTTCTAACTGTATATTTTTAAGAAAAATGGGGTGTTGCCAATAGTGCAACTGCTTTAAAAGAATTTGTCAGTTCAGATTTGCAGTCGGTTTCTTTGGTCACCTTTATGAATTGGTTGACAGTTATCATATTTTTGTCTAGCAAAAGACCCCGAACAGAAAAGTTTGTCAAATTTTCGGTTTTCATCTTTCTAAGAAAGATAAAGTTTACTCGAGTAAATCTAACTATTATCGTGATTAATGTACAACTGAAATTGTCAAGATTCGGAGGCATTTTAAGTTTTTAAGTTTGTAATCGTAACTCTGAATGTCTTTATATCTTCTTTACATCTCTACATATGGAAATTCCTGTACCAAGTCAGGAATATGACAGTTGTTTTCCATTCGTTGGATGTGTTTGAGCTTGATTTTGATATTTGATAAGGGACTTTCCGTTTTGAATTTTCCTTGGAGATTGGTATTTTTTTATTTCACTCTTTAAAATTTAAAAGAACAATATGTACGTATGTATGTATGTATGTTTAGGATGGATGGATGGAAGGGAAAAAAGGTGCATGGATGGATGGATGGATGAAAGGAAAAATATGGATGGATGGGTGAATGAATGGACGAACGGACGGACGACTGGATGGATTAATAGATGGAAAAATGGATGGATGGATGGATAGATAGATGGCAGAATGAATGGATGAATTGAAGGATGGAATGATGGATGAACAACATTGCAACAAATAGTCCTTCGACTACTGTTTTTTTTTCGAAGAAACACACTTTGGTAATTTTCGTAAGAATCCTATTGTTTTTAAAAAGTGAGAAGCAAATTTTTATTATTGGACTGACCATTTTAGATATTCTTCATGGTTCGAAGAGGGTCTTTTTGTGCTTTTAGATAACAAGCAAAGTGGTTGTAACAAAAACCTGTCAAAACAGTCAAAGGAACTACTACTGGGAGTTAAGGCAACAACTTCAAAAAGCAACCAACAATCAATCAATCAATCAAAAAGGGACATATTTTAAAAACCAATATCATACTAATCCTGTAAATCAACCAAAATCCGCTGCAATTTTCTTTGGAAAAGAGTCAATAGCAGAGGGAAAATATTTGATTCGAATGGTTGTTAATCTAACAGATTCAGATGAATGGTTGGAGGACGAAATGTATGTTGAATTTAGATTACCGCCTATTGTAACAAGTATTCAAGGAGGCTCAGTTAGATATATAAACAAAAATAACGATTTGGTTATAGACGCTGGTCCTGTAACATATGATAAAGTACAAAAATACAAAAGTGTACCTTTTACCTATGAATGGTTGTGTCGCAAAGGTCTTAACCAGTCACAAGTGGACACAGTTCTTGGGAAATTTGGTTTACCCGGAGCTCCTGACATCATAACTATTGGAACAAGTTGCAATGAACCTTCATCAGGAGCAAAGTGGACAATACCATCTGAAAACCTTAGTGTAGATACGTGGTATTTATTACAGGTAAAAACCAAGAAAATAACAAACATAATGGATGAAAAATTATTAGGAATTGCAGACACTATCAGATCAGCAACTGCTCTTCAAGCTGTAAAAGTGCATATTGGGGACACCCCAACGATTAACATACTGTAAGTATTAAAGGTTATATTAGAGTGTCTATATGCCATTTTGTTTTTCTTTGATGATATAGTTGTTTGTTTTTACAGTGATTAAGATTAATATAAGACAGTGTTGACTGCTGTACACCAATTTTTGACATTTGTACCTATTATGTCTGTTTGTTTTGCTTACACATTGTTGTCAATATAATGGAATTATATGCGACTGTCATACAAGTGAGAGGTTTATCTTGCTATAAAACCAGGTTTAATCCACCATTGTCTACATAAGGAAATGTCTGTACTTAGTCAAGAATATGACAGTTGTTTTTCATTCCTTTGACGTGTTTGAGCTTTTGATTTTGCCATTTGATAAGGGACTTAGTCACTTCTCCGTTTTGAATTTTCCTTGGAATTCTGGTGATATTTTACTTTTTGATACATATAAACTTTGCAATTTACGATAAAATTTCACTTTTTCTTGTTCTGTTGTCTTCAGGTACACATGTCTTAATAATTTGAAATAGTTTGTTATGAAAATAATTTTATATAAAAAAAAGAAATGCGGCATGATTACCAATTAGACAATCATCCAACAGAGACCAAAGGACATGGGTGTAAGCAATTATAGGTCACCGTATGCCCTTCGACAATGAGCAAAACCCATACCATATACATGTAGTAAGCTATAAAAGGCCCCGACATGACGAAATCTGAAAAACATCAAATGAATAAACCAACAACCTCAATTACTTCAAATTTTTTTAAAGTTGAATAAATATGACAGACAAAAACAAACAACTACTACTGAATTACAGGATCTTGACCTCGTATAGACACATAAAGAATGTGGTGGTTTTAATATGTGTCTGAGCTCTCTCCCTTTACTTTGGACAATAGTGTAAGAGCACAACATAAGACAAAACTGTTTTGAAAAGCTTGACTCATTAGATACGAAGTACAATAAAAAAAACAACAGACAACAACCAACAAAAGAGAAAACAGAAAAGACACAAAAGTACATGTACCAAATTAAAAGAGAGGCGAAAGATACCAAAGGGATATTCAAACTCATAAGTCGAAAATGAACTGACAACGCCATGGCTTAAAAAAAGACGAACAGACAAACAACAGTACACAAAACACAACATAGAAAACTAAAGACTGAGCAACATGAACCCCACCAAACATTGGGGGTGATCTCAGGTGCTCCGGATGGGTAAGCAGATCCTACTCCACATGTGGCTCCTATCTTGTTGCTCATGTTAGTAGAAACCCGGTAATAAGTCTAATTCGGTAGGTAACATTCAAGGCAAAGGGGACGGAATTGTAGTTACGACATTTGGAACATATCAGCTATCAGTTGTGAAACAGATATTCCATAACGGCCAACCAACTCGTGATGGCGTCCGTAAAATTTACAAATGGATGATTTCAACTTCACCACTTGGGTCTCTTGGTTTAATTTAAGAATACTTGCAGTTACAGAAACTAGTTTAATGCCAATTACAATAAAAATAATCATGTTTACACAGAATTATATATCATTCAGTTACTGTACACAACCAACGGATTTAATGTACAGACGTCATAAACAGTCTGAGAAAATCAGAATATTGTACAATTCCGAATACACGTATAAGTGCAATGTATGAAAAGAATATGGGACCATACGATTACATAATTGTATAGTAATACATAGTTATTTTTTAATTTATCAAAGACAACATAATTGTTAGTACCGATAAAGAAAATATTCAAAAATCTCAAACAGTGTTAAATTGATAACCTTAAAGGATAAGTTTATTTAATAGGATCAACAAGTTAGTATTGATCGAATCTAAATTTACGGGCTCAATAAACAAAATTCTCGTATAACCAAAATTCTAACTAAAAATTAAATCTTTGTACTTTTGGAGGGGTCTTCTTTAAAAGGATTTTAAATGATTTGTTGCAATAAAACCCCTGGCTTAATTATTTATCAGTTATATCTACATAAGTTTCATTGAATTCATAAACGTAACTGTATATGTAGTAACAAGCAAAGCGAGCGAGTTAAAAGACGCAATGGAATGAAAGCGTAACACTTTGCCTAGCGGACATAGCTACGAATTTATACATCATTGGCAGCAAACGACCGACCCTTACGATGATGGATAATTTGGGAATTTCGGAATTTCTATAAGATAGAGTACCTTCTGAAGTTTTATTTCAGGTGCAGAAAAAACTGTCTCCCAAAGTTGTCCCTCAATTCTTTACTGATCCTTAATGCAGATTGTCCAGAATGTAGTTTATCAGACATCAATTACGAGTGGTCAATACTCGTGTACAATTCCACAACAGAAGTATTCGACAGTTTGAATTCTGTACCAAGAATCAACCAGTCACGACTTATAGTAACCAGTAAGTGATTATGTATTATGTTTGTAAAAACTTATTGCATTACAGACATGCAAAAACATGTTCGTTGTGCTAATTTATAGTACAAAATGTAATGAAATTTAAAATAAATTGTACTTATTTACAACCAATTACGCTTTGAATCATCCTACATTTCTTCGTTTTGTTTAACGGTTCTATCTTGTTGCCATTTACACGTGCTCGATGTTTAAACTGTGTTAGCGCTTGATACTTGTACAGACTAATGAGCTGAATATACATCATATAACATCATGCTATAGCTTATCAAGTCGTTAGTCGTTACAGTTGTACAATAAACTCTTCTTGTAGTATTATCGATTGTCATATGCAATTTTATAAAGCACAAGCCTTTTGCGATTTCTCATTTAACTTGCATTGGGTGAACATGTGATTGTTTCTACTAATTAGTTTGAGGAACTATTCAAAAGATAATCCTATACGACCAGAATTATTTTAACTGTAAACGACAATTTCGAATTATACTATATAAGAAGGACGAAAGATACCAGAGGGACAGTCAAACTCATAGATCGAAAACAAACTGACAACGCCATGGCCCAAAAATAAAAAGAGAAACAGACAAATAATAGTACAGATGACAGAACATATAAAACTAAAGACTAAACAACACGAACCCCACCAAAAACTGGGGGTGGTCTCAGGTGTTCCGGAAGAGTATGCTTGTCAACAAATTTTTGAGAAATATACAATCCCTTTGCAACTGTTGTTAGAGGTTAAAATAACATCGGAGGCAAGAAAACATGTTGGTCAGAGAAATACAAAAAAAGAATAATAATCAAAAACACAACAGTACACAAACTACACATGAAACAATATTTTGAACACCATAAACCCCAAAAATGCTCCGGAAGGCATTACGCTTCAAGTGATTGTTTTTATTGTTATCTGTACCACCACCTTTAAGTAATGCAACGTAATCAAAATTTTAAGCAAAGCTGTATAATTATAATGTATGCATGAATACAGTGATGATCAGTGAGTTGTATTTATACTCTAGGGAAATAAAATAAATTGAAATACACATGTTTCTATCTAAAACTATTGGTAACCGGACGAATTATTTCAAACAAGACACAGGCTAAAAAGATCAGCTTCTTTTGATTTAAAAGTTTTCGTTTTGATAACCGCACACTATTTAATAAATCATAAGCTACACATGTACACACACACACACACACACACACACACACACACACACACGACATTGCATTATTACAACATTTAGTACATCACTATCAGATCTGAAAAGTTGCGGTTGCCAATTTGTTTGTTTCCGTCAGCGGGAGTTTAACCTATGCACCCAAGATAACATGGCAACTCCTTCTGAACTGTATCCAGAAACGCATAAGTAGAACCTTGACTTCATCAAGGGCAATACATGATGAAAAATGAGTTTAGTCGGCAAGTTTGTAGTTATTTTGAGTAATTAAAGATTTTTCATGGTAGGCATTAATTGATTCAATACTAGGACTCAAGAATAAGCCACTGCCGTTCGGCGAGCTATGTCCTGAGTAAAATGTAGTTGAGTTACGATAAGTTGTAAACAAAATTGTATATTAACAGTGTTTTAGCGCTTAATGATTATTTTAGAACTAGTCATACTGTTTTATAAATAAAGGCAACAGTAGTATACCGCTGTTCAAAAGTCAGCGATTGAGAGAAAACAAATCTGGTTTACAAACTAAAACCGAGGGAAACACATTAACTATAAAAGGATAACAACGGAACCACAGAAACATAGAAACACTGATGTGCAACAAAAACAAATGCCAAAAACATCGAAACCGGTTGTAAAAAGATTCCTTACATTCTAAGTGTTTTTGCCATTACGAATTTACCACACATTAGCTACATCAGGTAGATTAGCAATATGCTGGTTTAGTAGCCGGCGACCTTAGAATTTTCCGAATAAGGATACTGTAAACCAACTTATTTTCGCGGATACTTTATTTCGCTTTTAGCCCTTATTAGCCCATTTCGCGGCGATTCAATTTCGCGATTTTCAAATTTGATTGATGCAGTTAAATAAGGAAACATCCAAGTTTTACATATTCGCGACGATTTATATTCGCGTTATTTTACTACTCGCGAAAGTCGCGAAAATAAACCGCTCGCAAAAATTAGTTAACAGTATATAAGCCGTTTTAAGGTTCAGCAAATAGTGGTTTATTTAACTTGTTCTTTTGTTAGGGGATACGTGTTATAACCTAATCCACGATAAACCACACACAAATAAAAAGAAAAATTACGATTATGAATTATGATACTTCAAAGCACCAAAGAGCTTTGTAGAAGGCTAGCAGCTTTCCCAAACTTTGGGTTTATCTTATTTCAATGATCTGTTACCTGCAACATGTGCAAAGAGGAATATAAATAGCATATGACTTTTGACACTCGAATAGCAAAATTATAAACCGGTTACTTTAAATGAATTTAAGTCATAAAAGGTCATTTTGATCTTAACATCACCTAAAAAGTCTGTACCATAAATTATTCAGCTATGTTAAGTCTTTTGGTCATTTTTCAAACTTATCCAATGTTGTTAATTCAGTATGATGTTTATGCGAAGAGTTAAATAACAACTACTGAACAATTTGAACATAGATTGAACAGGTCTTAACTGACTGCAATCAAATTGTATGAACAGTACAGTTCAGTCTTTTAAGAGGTGTTTAAACCATAATGACCTTTCAGATCAAAATTTTATACTAATGGGTGTCGTTTGGCATTTGGTTTGTATACATAGACAATAACTGTTTAGTGTCTTTAGATATCAGCTGTATTTGTACGAGGCTAAGAAACATGTGTAATGCGAGCTTCAGCGAGCTATTACTCCTGTTGCGAGCCGAGTACAAATACAGCTGATATTTAAAGACACTAAACAGTTATTGTCTTCATCCTGTAATTAATTTTGTACATTTTTATTCCATCCAAATCGTTGAATTTGTTTATGAAGGGGAATCGACACGACTTAAACGCGGACCGCAATGAGGACCCCAAATTGAACTGTGACGTAAACAGTAATTTGACATAACCGTTCGCTCACAACAGAAGCAAGATACCAGGAGACTATATACGTCTAGTATACGTATATCGCTTCATGTTATCTGTACACCTGTATTAGTATAGAAGAAAGGTCGATTGCAGGATACATTCATATAAAAAAACTTTTTTCAAGTCTACTGATTTCTCATAGTACACAGTTATCAAAAATGTTCGTCACAATATATTTCAAAGACGTTTGCGAGAACAACATTTTATCTCTGTTCATTTTCCTGCTTATCATTAGAATGAGCATATTGTTAGTAAGAAATAGTTCAAAACTCATTGGTACCAATTTGACTGCACCAGATCAGCCTTTCGACAATTATTGTCTCTTCGGTGATACTCGATAATCGAGGCCAAAATATTTGAAAATCTAAAACTTATTCAAAAATTGAAGATCTGAGAAACTAAAAAGGACTAAAATGTAAAGCCAAAGTCGGGCAAGTACACAAATAATTGGCGGTACCTTCCGTCCCAGATAGAATTTGGCACATACAATTATTAAAAAGAACACTCTACACTTTTAACTAACCACGATATTTTTTTTTCTTGCTTCGAAGTCGCAATCCCATGTCATACATATTAGTAGCTAACAATCCACATTCGGCGTTCTACACGATGCTTCACGTAATGACATACTACACGCAGGCAAACTTCAAACAGGTTTAAGATGAATTGAATTACGTAAGTTACAATAACAATGACCAGTCCGTATCATGTTAAGTGGTAAATTGGGTCAAAGCAAAATGGCAGATTTATGAGTTTCGAACAGCGGTATACTACTGTTGCCTTTATTTATAAGATCGTGTCATTTTATTACAACCAAACAGTTATCACATATATAAAAAAATAAAACAAATGTTGTATGATTGCCAATGATTGATCGACGGATTGATTTATGTTTGCTTTACGCCCATCAGCGCAAATAAATGCAATATTGCAGCAAGAACTACTTTAAAAATTATTCGACAAAAGGCAGTGTTAAAAATCAGACAAAAGGTCTATCAATATACTAAAACTTTAGTTTAAAGCAAAATTACTTAATTACAAATAAAATTCATCAATGAGATAAATGAGACAAATTTCCAACAGAAACCTAATGACGAAGAACCTATAGATCACGTTACGAACTAAAACAATGAGAACAATCCGTACCGTTTAGCAGTCTAAATACATGTCTGTAATGGTTAAATATTTTTTTTATCTCTCATAGGATAATTGCAATCAATAGTAAGTGTGGATTTCAAAGGTCTACACATTTTATTTATTTTATTCATCAAATGTGCGAAATACTAGGTATATTTCTTAAAACACGGTAAACAAATCTCATTGTAGTTAATTCAGTAATATTGTCATAAAATCGTAAAAGTGAACCGTGGATCAGCGAACATCCAATTCTATTATAAACCCAATCACATACTATAGTATTGAATGTTATTTGTATATTAGTAATTTTGTTTTAAATGTAAGTAAATGATTTATTGTTGAAGTTTGAATAATAGAAATAATATAGGGCACAATTTGTAATCGCTCGTCCCCTACTCCAGTATCGAAATCAGCGCATTTAACTATAATTAAGAACCCAAACTTACAATTCTATTTTTTTAGGTCTTACTGCTAATGAGATAGGTATCAGACCCGACGCCCTTCGAGAAATGGATAGAATAAGATTTCATCTATTGCTCAGAACTCCCGGTAGATCTCATTCACAGGCAGAGTATATCGTGTCTGTGAATGCTCCACCATATGGTGGTTCCTGTTCCATAACTCCTTCTACAGGTATGAATATATTTGTATAATTTAAAGGTTGCTTGAATTGAAATTTACAATATTCAGATAAAAGGATATGAGAGTTTTGCATGGGAAAATTTGAAAAAAAACACTTTGGTTACTCACCACAGTCGAACCATTGATCACACAAGAATTCATGGTAAAAAAAAAGATAATACTGCTCTCTTGACAATAGAAATATTCAATGTTTCCTTTTTAGGTATTACAGTTAAGACTAAGTTTACTATAGCTTGTAAAAACTGGTTTGATGAAGGAGAAAGATATGTACAAAACAGAGCAGATGATGGAAATGAATTGTTAACATATTCTATCTATCATGTGAGAAACACCACGACTGGTATACTTGAATCTTTGTTGTCCACGACAGGTTTGTACTAGTGTATACGTACTCAGAATATATATTCCTTGAATCATGGAAAAAATAATAATTAAAATTTATAAATTCAGTTATCTCTGATCAGTTTTGACTTTTTGCTGGATCTTGTAAAAGCGAGATTAAAAATAGATTTATCTTCGTCGAACTGTATTTTAGTAATAACAATATTCTTTATTTTAGGAGACAGTAGTATTGTTACAACATTAGCAGTAGGAGATCCAGGAAATAATTTCCATAGCATCATAAGGGTCAACATCATAGATTTCTACAACGGATACACTGAAGTGGATTTACAAGTAACGGTAACTGTCACCTTTTGAAAATGATCTTACCAAATATATAATCAACCTTTTTAAGACTAACTATATAACAGATATTATTTAGAAATGTTGTTCAGTGGAATAATGAATCAGTTCGGAAAAATGACGTTTACCAATCTAGAGTTATATTCTTGTTTTTTTATTTGTGGTGAAAAAAATTTGAAATACCCTGTCTCTTATGATTTTCAGATTAACAATGTAATCAGTACTGATAGAACTACACAATCAGATACAGAACTGATTAAAACTATTACAGAACTGGTTAATGACGGCATGGATGAAGCACGAATCAGCAATGATCCTAAACAGGTCATTCATCAGGCTTCAACTATCGTGGCTTCTATTACATTAACAGTAAGTAGAAGACACACTCACGGTCATCATAACGCTTAACATATGAGCTGCGTCGGATTAATATCAATATATCTGTTAACCTATCTCGGGATGAAAAATCTCTACGGAAAGTCTGTTACTGTTTGAAAATTGAGTTGTTATAAGTACCCTACAAAACAGACTGACATTTATCTTTTATTTCGTATTTGAATGTTTCATAATTAATCAAATGTATCAAATTAATGTACACGTATATGTGTACTTGCATAAGGTCGATTTCTATCCGACGCAGCTCATATATAAAAGACAACTGTCCTTACCGAAATTCAAATATCGAATACCGGATATATTAATGATTTTATGTATTTGGAACATAGAAAAATATTACTAAATAACTAAATTGTAATTGATGGAAAGAAAATGCTGATCATGGTAATAATTTTTGTGGTATCTGAAGATACGGGATGAAACACAACTATAGTTTTCGGCGATAAGACATCTAATTTTGTATCTCATTAACAAAACTATACCAAATCGATTCGAATTCTGTATTTGTAGAATTGTATAATTAAACTAGGTCATAATTTAATTATTATTGGTTGTTTCCTTTGAATTATCCTGGCGATACCAAACTGTCACCTCATAAAATGCATAAACAAACAAGACTAAAACAGAAAGCAAATAACAAACACCCAAACGTTATGAAATGAAATGTAAAAAATCAACTGTATTGAATGAATGTTTTGGGGTTTTTTTTCATCGAGCAATGTCAGAATTTTTCGTGTATATGTACCAAAGCAAGACATTTCGTTTCCACTAATTACTTTAATCCTTTTCTAAATTCTTTCATTAATACAAAAATTGTGTTTGGAAGAAAACTTGTTCCAAACGGGATATTTCATCCTAATTTTTCCGGTAGTTTATATAGTGCCCGTAAATTAAGATACCATTCATGGTAACTTATCGATTCTTTAGATAAACTTATTTCAAAAAGTTATCAATTTAACACTGTTATTATATCTTTGAATAGTTTTTATGGGTACAGACATTGATTTTGTTATCAAATATTTAAAACATTACTAAATATTATTGATGTACAGCTATTACGATCCTGCATTCTGTCGATTCTTATATTTTGGCATTGCAAAAGATCATATATGTTTTTCTCTGACTGTTTATGAAGTCTATAAACTTATTCAATTGGATGTGTACTGATTGATATTTAAGTCTTGGATACATGATATGTTTACTAGTTATTATTGTCTTTGAACTAGCTTTCAGTAACCGCGAGTACTCTTAGATTGATACTTTGTAACTTAAGTCTTTTTTGTTAGTTGTTTTTTTTTTTTGTATCGATCTGATGAGTCAAGTCTTTTTTTGTGTTTTTTTATCGATCAGATGAGTCAAGTCTTTTTCAATTAATTTTTATAAATCGTTCTTATGCTGTGCTATTTCATCACTGTTTCAGGTAAGGTGACCTGAACTCATGTTTAACCCCGCCACATTCTGTACGTGCCTCTCCCAAGTCTGGAGCCTGTTATTCAGTGCTTTTAGTTTATTGCTGTATATCATACATGTTTTCGTTTGTTGTTATGTACATACATTAGTTTTAATTGTTTTACATTTTTGCATGTCGGGGCATTTATAGCGTGTTATGCAATAGTATGGATCTTCTTCATTGTTGAAAGCTGTACGGTGACCTATAGATGTTAACATCTACGACATTTTAAATTTGGTGGATAGTTGTCTCAATGACAATCATACTACATCTCTTTACTTTATATCAGCTCGATTTTGGAATTTATAAATTTCATTTCATAATAAAACGTGATAACTTCTGGTATAGATTTTTAAAACGTTCTGGGCCATAAAATATCCTCTATTCATATAATGCGCCTAGTCTTCCAAAATAATCGTATTTGACGATCACAGGATATTGACCTTAATAAAAAAAAAACGGAAACACTAAAATATTCTGTCAATCTTAAAGTTCAAACAACGGTATGCACCATCTACTTTGTAAACTCAGTCTCATTCATTAGGCTCAGTTATTCTAATTTTGTTCACATCGTTAATACATATCCCTTAATATTTTCTCTTTGCAAACATTTTTTCAGAGCGCATTTTGTAATATCCTTCAAATTAACATTCCAGAAGATCAAAAACATCATTTTTGAAAACTAGTTACGTTAATAAAGGAGTTTATTTTAGCAATCTAGCAAGAACATACATTAAATTTTTGCAATGTTCAAATGAACCCATTTTATGATACTGATATTTTATTTTATCTTTCAACTTCAAAACCTTTGACAAAATATACTTTTAACTGTACATCTTTTATAACCGACGTTTACATTTAAAAAGATATATGTCATTGTTCTTGAGACTGTGATATCATTTCTAGGTTAAGATACGATCCTTGTGGCATATTGTAAAATAAAACCTTATCATTGTTTAATTAGAACAGAGGAAATGAATGAAGAAGAAGAATCGTCTACCTTCTAAATTTATTGGATGGAAAGTCATGAAGTTATCAGCATGTCACTTTCTTTGCACTGGAAATATTCGTGCAGAAAATCAATCAGAGATTATTGCAGCCTTTTCTTTTTCTTTTTGATAATTGCATTAAACATTTTGAAAGTAACATTTTTACAAAATCATTATACAAACACGATATATAGACAATAAAACAAACAAAATACTCGTAGAAACCGTTTTTCTACCTGATGATAAAGCAGTCAATAACGTTGTTGTTTAATTTGAGGAATGGAATATATTGAAATACTTAAAATTGAGAAGATAATAATCGAGTATCGTCATTCCTACAACTTCTGTTGAAGAAAATATCTTGTGTGTCTATTTCCGGAATCTTAAAAAAACTCTGAAATTTTTTGATCAACTAGTTTCCTTCAATGGTTACTTTGTCTTCCTTGACAGATATGATTTTTCTAATCGGTTTACTACCTAACCACACAATCTTATAAAACAGACATTTTACTATTTAGAAAAAAAACACCTTTTGATAAGATTGATTTCAATTAAATTTGTTGCAATCTTTTTCAGTAATTTATCTCACAATAAATATTCAACAGGGAAAGAAATAATTCAATTCTTCAGTGGTTTTCATTTGAAACCTCTTGGCAAATTTAATCTAAATTTCACAGAGGGATGTACGGTGGACTTTTTAAAATAATTCCAATTTTGTTGCAATATGAGATATGACAAAAAAAATAACTTTAGGGAATCTTTGAATCGGATTGGTCAATTGAAAATAAATGAACCTTGAACCTGGAAGCCGTATTGTTTTGACGCTTTACATGATTGATGGTTGGCAGACCACATAAAACGTTCATCAGATTATATAAGGCATTGTAGAACATAGATCCTAAAACAAGTTCTCGTTAAGTTACGATCTAATAAAAGAACACATTGCTAATAGCAGAGAATACAAATTAAAGTAATCATGTCAATACGCATTAAATATATTACTATTAAGATATTTGATATTTTAAAAGATATGAAGTGTTGCTGTAACTGCGTTTATAAGAAAGTAAAACGCACCGTTATAAGACAATAGAAAAACAAAAGAGATGGGGTATCCATCCATGACTCCAAATCAGTACATGCATAGCAAAAAAACACACAAAAAGCAAAGGAACAGCGTTTTTATGGCTGTTTTTCATCTCAAAGTCATAGTGAGGCCTTCAACACGCAACCTAAAAAAACTCTCAGCTCACTGCAAATGTAAGATGTCCTCTATCATCGGTCTTAGCGGAATTCCTTGCAAAAGAATTCGGATAGACTTTGTAAGATGTAACACCACCAAATCGGGCCCGGTCAATAAGATGTACTTATTAATGTTCCAATGATAATATTAATAATAATAATAATAATTATAATAATAATGATTATGATAATGATAATGAATTCTTTATTTCAAGAGGGTAAACACAGTTAGTAACAACAAACTAATCTTCCCTGAGGCCATACAAATTACAATACCATCAAAAACAGATATTTACACATTACAGTTGATTAACAGTCGAGTAGTTCAATGTATTCTTATTTACATGATAAGATATAAAACTGTTCAAGAGGTACATGTAGTATAGAATAAAAAAATAATATAAAATAAAAAGTTAAAAATATACATATCAAAATAATACATTGTAGAAATTATAATCTTATCAGGACTGTGTCAAGTACCTCTTGATACTTTGTTTAAAAGTAAAAGTGTTTTGGGCTTTACGTATTTTGTGTGGTAGTCCATTTCATAACACTGATCCAGAATAAACAAAAGATTTCTTAAACCGCTCAGCTTTTGGCTTAGGAACTATCAGATTACCTTGAGTAACACCTCTCAAGGAGTAAGGATTATTCATGTTATTATCTGATTTCAGTTTAAACTTTTGAAATAGATACATTGGTGCTTCCATACGCACACATTTATATAGAAGTAACATTGAACCAGTAAGATATCAAATGATTAGAATATCACAAAATAGCAGATTATACAAATGTCTTTGAGTATTAATATTTTTCATTATTGCTATATAAAAAAAACATCAAAATTATGAGGTCATAACATGTGTTATCGCTAACACACATACTCATGTTTTAAAAAATGTTGCTTTCTAAATAGTGTGACATTAGATTAGTAGAAATTTATTTGGAAATATTGAAATACTTATTCGAAGTCTGCGATATCCCAAACCGTCTTACGGTGTTTATATATCCCAACTCAAATCAGGGATTACCTCAAATAACTTAAATCCTTTACTAAATTCTTCCATAGATATAAAGATTTGGTTTGCAAGTTTGGCTGTACCTGTAGAAAACTTATTTCAAAGGAATATCACATCTTAATTTTACGTTGCTGTTGTAAGCCGAGCCCGGAAATTTAGATACGATACGGGTAAACTTATCAATCCTTTAAATAAACGTATTATAAAAGGTTACCTATTCAACACTGTAATGAAATCTTTGAATATTGTTTTTATTGGTATAAATATTGATTTTGTTATCAGGAAATTAAAACCATATTAAATATTATTGTACATATATACTTTCACGATACTACAATCTGTCGATACCTATATTTTGGAATTGCACAAGATCATGTTTTTCTCTGACTGTTAATGACGTCTTTACACTAAATCCATTGGATGTTGGTTGTGTACTGATTGATATTTTAGTCTTAGATACATATTTTTTTAGTTATTATTAGTTGTAATTGGTCTTGAACTAGCTGTCAGTAACTGCGATTACTCCCGGATCTGAACTTAGTGTCCTTTTTGTTGTAAGGGATGAGGGATGATATATACCCTACCACGTCCTGTTTGTGTTTTTGTTTGATGTTTTTCTTTGTATCGATCTGATGAGCTAACTCTTTTTCAACTGATTTTTATAGTTTGTTCTTATGTTGAACTGTTACACCACAGTCCCAGGTTAGAAAAGGGATGAGCGCTCACAAACATGTTTAACCCAGCCACATTCTATATGTGCCTGTCCCAAGTCAGAAGCCTGTAGTTCAATGATTGTCGTTGGTTCATGTCTGTCATATTTGTTTTTCGTAAATTGTTTTGTTATAAATTAGGCCCTTAGTTTATTCAACTGAATTGTTTCATACTTTTCATGTCAGGGCCTTTTATAGCCGACTATACTGTATGGGTTTTTCTCATTGTTGAAGGCCATACGGTTCCCTATAACTGCTTACATCCACTTCATTTGAACTTTGGTGGATAGTTGTCTCATTGGCAATCAAACCACATCTCCTAATTTTCATATTGGTACACTAGCAAAAATGGAAACCTAAATAATCCGACAACAGAAACAAATACAACAAAACAGTACAAAGAATAATGATAATAATACAATTAAATAATGCCTTACATTTAAAAAGTTAGAGAAAGAAGATATAATCTTTATGAAAATTAGACGTTATAAAATTGGAGTCACTGGATAAAAATATGCATGTCAACTAGCAATTATTATTTTTATCGGTGTACAAAAAAGTTACTTATAGTGTAACTTATATTTTTTTAGCCTATACAACCAGAGACGTTTAATACCACCGACAACCCGTTAGAATGGGTTTCTGGATTATTGGAAGCCACAAAAAATGGAACGAAACCATATAACGACATATTGAATGATCTGATAAAATATTATCAAGATCCTGTTAAGGTGGTTATTGTACAGGTAGGTATATTTGCTTTGAGCGAGTGAGTATGTTTATGTTAAATACTGATTCAATAATTGTCAACTTTATACAGTTCAAACAAAATCATTATAAGTATGCTGCCTAAACGTATAAAGATCTCCCGTTAATTTGCTTTGATAGGAAAAGCTCACAGTCAAACTTTTGTAAGGAAAAATGTATTTTCAAATACCTAACAGTTATCCGAATCAAGGTCGTCTTATATGCAAATTAGAATTACTAAGTATTTTAAACTTAATCATTTTTTTCAAGGCTGTTGAGAATTTGACAAAAGAAATGGAAGTTAAGTTAATGTCGGATGACTTAACTTTTTACATGACAGAAATGGCAACCAGTGCATTCGCCACTGCACTCAGTAACAATAAACTAGTTAATAACTTTGCCGGGGTAAGTCTTATAAAATGATTTTAATTGCAAAAAATTTAAGAGTTCAAATCAAGAGATGCATGTAGATTTTTATATGTAAGTAAGCATATTTCGCATTCTCCGAAATAAAAAAAAAGAAGAAACATGAAAAGAAATTAGTTCATTCCAAATGAAAGTGTGAATATTGATATTTAGAAATGTTCACCGAAATTATTTTAAAAAAAGCTTTGCATAAACAGCTTAATATCAAATTGTACTTTCATGTTAATTTGACCTATTGACACAATTTGTAATGCATTTCTGTTATTCAATGTTTACTTATTTTGTGTTATATCTCGTCTCACTATGTACCACCTGTATTTAGTATGACGATAAATTTCCACTTCTGTACTCGTACTGTGAACAACAAATTTATTTATTTTGTAAAAAATGTTGCCGTACTCCTAACAACAAAATTATTATATTTGACTTTACCTGTGTACGTTACTTTATTTGACGCCATTTTGTCCCAGGTTAACGTAGTTTTTTTTTTACATTGATCTACATCTTTTTTTATTAATATTGTATTTATATTGTGTCATAGATCAAACTTATTCGTTCAGTGTATATAAATAAGAAAATGTGGTATGAGTGCCAATGAGACAACTATCCATCCAAGTCTCAATGTTGAAAAAGTAATCAAATATAGGTCAAAGTACGGCCTTCAACACGGAGCCTTGACTCACACCGAACAGCAAGCTAAAAAGGGCCCCAATAAGACTAGTGTAAAACAATTCAAACAGGAAAACCAACGGTCTAATCTATATAAAAAATGAGAAACGAGAAACACTTATGAACCACACCAACAACACCTGAACAACAGGCTCCTAACGTAGGACAGGTGCTTAAAAATGCAGCGTTTTTAAACGTTTTAACAGGCGCCAACCTCCACCGATCGAGTTAAGCTATTTAAATTGATATTGTATAGGGTGTCTCTTTATGTTGTAATGTTACACTACTGTTTAAGGTTAGGGCGAAGGTTGGCGCCTGTTAAAACGTTTAAACCCGCTGCATTTGTATGCATCTATCCTAAGTCAGGAGCCTGGTGTTCCGTGGTTGTCGTTTATTGGTATTGTTCATAAGTGTTTCTGGTTTCTCGTTTTTTATATAGATTAGACCGTTGGTTTTCCTTTTTGGATTGTTTTACACTAGTCATTTTGGGGCTCTTTATAGCATGCTGTTCGATGTGAGCTAAGGGTCCGTGTTGAAGGCCGTTCTTTGACCTATAAAAGAGGGACGAAAGATACCAGAGGGACAGTCAAACTCATAGATCGAAAACAAACTGACAACGCCATGGCCAAAAATAAAAAGACTAACAGACAAATAATAGTACAGATGACACAACATAGAAAAACTAAAGACTAAGCAACACGAACCCCACCAAAAACTGGGGGTGATCTCAGGTGCTCCGGAAGGGTAAGCAGATCCTGCTCCACATGTGGCACCCGTCAATTGTTAATTGACACATATTAAACATGGCGGACATTACAACAGTTGTGAAAAAATGTTGAGTGATAAAAAGGCATTAACGCATGATATAAACAGTATTATGAAGCTGATATTGTTGTGGAATAAACCTCATATATTGTGGTGGTAACTGTGTTGTCAAACACCTGAAAATCTAGACCCAACAAATTAGATCCTCAGAAGGTGAGACACCCCGCCCCGATTGTAAACAAACAAAAATGGATAGTACAGACAGCCTTAAAAAAAGTCTACCGCACACGGACGAAGAGAATTTAACGGGTAAAATGAACGAAGTTATACGTAAATTGGGTGGAGATATGTCATCTAGTGTTAACGCGTCTAAAGCAAAGGATACCCAGTAAACCAGGACTTGTGAAAGGCAGTGTTCAAAACGCACAACAAAAAAATAATGATACTACGAAATAAGCACAAGCTGAAAAACGACGAATATTTTAATAACATTTTCATTCAAAGTGCAAAGTCCAGAGTTGAAAAGTTATTGGAAACAAACACGCGTATGATACTTCGAGAACTCTCACAGGGGAAAGCATACAGAATGACGGGAAACGGGTGCTTTACTGCGAAAACGAAATGAGGAAACAAATGACAACGGGGACAACCCAACAGTAAATATGGATGCTCAAAACTCGCAAGGCGGCGCGCACAGATTGTATATTACCCGACGCAATGGCGTTATTAAGGTCAGACATTTGAACGTGAACGCTTGTGGATGGATACAGAACAATAATTTATTAAGAAAAAACATTGTATATAGCATCGATGCTGACATTTTTAGTGTAAGCGAAACACACCTGAAATCAGCTGACAATTTACAAGTAGACGGGTATACATGGAAAGTATTAAAAAGAAATTGCATTCATCGAAATGCTCCAAAGATTCGGGTGGAGTCGAACTCCTACTAAAACAATGGATAATGAACGAATATAACTATGAACTGATTGACGGTAGCTTTGAAGGATTTTTTTGTGTTAATTTTACGTCAAAATCTAGATAAAATTACAAATCAACATGGGAAATCCTTCATAGAATTTTTTAATGAGTCAAAAATGTGTGTTTCGAACGGAAGGTATGACCCTGTACATGATGACTTAACTTGTGTTTCAGGTAGAGGAAAATCAGTAGTGGACTATATTTGCGTTCCGCATGACGCTTTAAAACTATACAGTCATTTAAAGTTATTACAACACGATAAATAGTAAGAAAGTTTAATTTATTGGAGTTTCTTGGAAGAGGAAGTAAAGTCCCTGATCACTCCATTATATTAACAGAATTCAATACTTACGAGGAAGCTAAAGAATCCTGCCAAGCTACATGTTCTTTGCCGAAACGATACAAATTTGACTCGATCCCAAATGATTTCCTAGCGTCGAATATGCGTAAAACTGTCTTGCAAACTTTGATATACAAAATAGAAACCACGAGAGAAACTCAGACTAATATGGATAATATATATTCAGATTTGTTTAATATAATTATTGACGAAATGGCATTTTAAAGTGATGTTAACGACAATAAAGACATTCGTTTTGTGCTGAAGTTGAAAACATGACAACTACATACCCTAATGACTTTTGGGACAAAATAAAAAAAACTTGGACCTCGTAGATGCCAGAAAATCCCGATTGAGGTATACGGCGAAGATGGAACGATTCTCACGGATGATGAAACTATATTGAATAAATAGAAAACGGACTTTCAGAACATATACAATATGAACAATGCTGCTTCAAACTTCGACGATGGATTTCACAGGCAAGCATCAACACATAAATCATCATTGGAGGACAAAATGCTTGACCCGCTTTATAATGAAAAATCTGAAACTAAATACGACCATAACCATCGAAGAAATTAGACGGCTTGTGTACAAAAGAAAAAACCGGCAAAAGTTTCGGTATAGATAGTATTCCGTACGAAGTACTGAAATATGAACCTGTAGTGTCCGTGATTCATTCATTGTTTCAATTGATTTTCGAAACAACTATCATTCCGTCTGTTTGGAGACAGGCTATCCTTTGTCCGATTCTAAAAGACAAATCTTCAGATACACGTGTACTTCTCAATTACCGAGGAATTAGTTTACTTTCTTGTATATCAAAAATTTACAGTGCATTCATCAGCAGTCGAATATCATCCTATATAGAGTCCAACTATATTTTAGCAGACGAACAAAATGGTTTTCGCTCCGATCGATCATGTGAGGATCATGTATTTACTCTTAATGCTGTATCGAGAAACCACAAGACTTCATTCGCAACTTTCATTGATCTTAAGAAAGCGTTCGATTTTATTGACCGAAATTTGTTAAATAACATTGATTGGAAAATGTACAACTCAATTAAAAACATTTACGTTAGTACTTCTGCTTGTGTTCGTGTGAACAATAGACTTTTCGCAGTGGTTTTTATGTAGTTCTGGGGGTAAACAAGGGGATAATTTATCTCCAACGTTATTTTCAATTTTTATCAACGACCTGTTACAGGAAGTGAACAGTCTCGGACTTGGTGTAAATATTGGTGACTCCACGCTTTCGTTATTTTTATATGCGGAGGACATCGTCTTATTGGCATCATCCGAAACTGACATGCAATGTATGCTTGATAAAGTCCACGAGGGGTGCAAGCGATGGCGTGTTTTGATAAATATAGAGAAAACAAAAGTTATGCATTTTCGTCCGTCTCGATCTAAATGAAGTGAATTCCAGTTCAAAATTGGTGACAATCTACTTCAAATTACTAATACATACAAATACCTCGGTGTAACTTTTCACGACCTTTAGGACTTTAAAGATAATGCAAATAGACTATCGGAAGCTGGAGGTAGAGCATTAGGAAGGGTCAGCTCCAAGATTCATCATTTAAAAGACTTCGGAATGAAAACTTTTGAGAAACTTTTTACATCGTGTTTAGTACCAGTGCTGAACTATAGCTTTTCGATCTGGGGATACAAAGACTTCGCTTGTTTGAATCAAATTCAGAACAAAACAATTCGTTATTTTCTTGGCGTCCATAAATTTGTACTGACATTGGCAATAAACGGTGAAGTTGATTGGGTGAACGCAAAGGAACGACGATGATGCAATATTATAAGTTATTGGAACAAACTTGTGTATGTAAAGTCGTCTTTACTTGGGACTACGAAAGGTGTACGAACAATTGGTCATCTGAAGTGAAAAACTTTATGTCATTTATAGGATTGGAGAACAACTTTATTACAAAAAACACATGTGATTTACTTATGTGCAAAACAGTACTAAAAGAAAAATGCTCCGCAGATTTGGGGAAAGGTTTAACGAACTTTCCGTAACTTCGAACATACAGACTTATAAAATCAGAATACAGCTGTGAACATTACATAGAACTTAATCTTAACCGTAACAAATTGTCCATAATACCGCAGCTCAGGTGTGGCATTCTTCCACTCAGGTTAGAAACTGGTCGTTTTGTAAATGAAGCAGAAGATGACAGGTTGTGTAAAATGTGTTATGATAACTGTGTGGAAAACGAATTCTATTTCCTCATAATTTTTACAACAATCTACGAATTCAACATTTCTCACAAATTGAAAATTTATGTATACTCTCAAAAGATGAACAGTTTAAATATTTACTATGTCAACATCCGTGAAAAACTGCTAAATATCTATTGCAAGCTTTCAGTAAAAGAAAAAAGTTTTTATATGAAAATTTTCGATAAAATTGATTTATTTTGTTCGTCATACCATTGCCATTAATGAATAAAGTGACTTATAGACCCAAAGGGTCGGGTGTTCTAATTATTGTTTTTTTATATTTCACTGTATTATATACCCTTTTGTGAAAAACACATGTCACTATAATAAATAATTTAGTTGGTTAGATAGTTAGTGTTTACTTTTTACACATTGTGACTTGGATGGAGAGTTGTCTCATTGGCACTCATATCACATCACCTTATTTATAATATAATTTAATTCGTTGCATTTGTTTACAGACTTCAGGATCCAATGCACTAATAAATCTTGCTACAAGTTTCAAAAACGCAAGTGAAACTGCATTATTAACGAATGGTTTTTATATTTCACTGTATTATATACTATTTTGTGAAAAACACATGTCACTATGATTAATAATTTAGTTGGTTAGTTTGTTAGTGTTTACTTCTTACACGTTGTGACTTGGATGGAGAGTTGTCTCATTGGCAATCATACCACATCATCTTGTTTATAATATAATTTAATTCGTTGCATTTGTTTTACAGACTTCAGGATCCAATGCACTAACAAATCTTGCTACAAGTTTCAAAAACGCAAGTGAAACTGCATTATTAACCAATGGTTTGTTCGATAGTTCAGACCCTCATTTAGACTCGACTTCAGCTGGTGAGAACTATATTTCAAAATGCTAGAAAATTTTATAATAAAAGAATTAAAAGTGATGATACTGAATTATGAGAAGTAACAAACAAGTATTATTCTATTATTTGATAACTTTTGTCTAATATACCGTTATATGAAAGGTTATGTAATATATTGATATTCTATTTATTGAAATGTGAGACGGAATTCACTGTTCAGTTGTATTAAGTAAGACTGAGAAACTTGTTTAAAGAAGTATTTATTAGGAAAGCTCAATTGTGTTCAGCATAAAATTAGAAGATGGGGTAATATTGCCAATTGGACATTTATCCAACAGAGACCAAATGACTTAGATGTAAGCAACTATAATTCATCGTATTGACGTCAACAATTTACAAACCCTATACCGTTTAATAAGCTATAAAAGGTCCTGAAATGATAAAATGTAAAACAATGCAAACGAGAAAACCAACAAATGTACAAAACAATAAATGACCAACAACAACAACTGAATTACAGGTTCCTGACTTGGGACAGGCACATACAGAATCTGGCAGTGTTACACTTTTAGCGAGAGTTCAATCCTCCTAACCTGGGACAGTGGTGTTGCATTTCAACATAAAAACAAACTATTAAATCATGCTGAAAAAAGCTTAACTCTTTATTATTGACAAATAAATACAATATCAAAAACGTTAGGACACAAAGTACATATCTAAGAGTACTTGCAGTTACTAAAAACTAGTTCGAAGCCAAAAACAACTGATAAAAATCAATCAGTGCACATCCAATGGATTTAGTGATAAGACGTTATAAACAGTTTGAGAAATACATGACCTTGTGCAATGCCAAAATATAAGTATCGAGCAGATGTAGAACCATTAGCGTTCATAACTCTATAAGAATATATATTCAGTTATACTATATTTCTTTAATAACAAAATCATTATTAGTAAGGATTAAAAAAATATTCAAAGATCTTATTAATCTTATTACAGTGTTAATTTGCTAATATTTTAGAGAATAAGACTTATTTTGTAAGTCTTGTAGATTATCTTACAGTAACAACTTAGATAAATTGAACAGGGACTATCATATATGTGTGTGTCTTTGTTGGTGAAAGGGATGTTGCGTGCTATACAACCTTGTTCGCCCAATAACTTTTATTTGAAAACTTCTCCTATTATCTCAGTTTATCGCTAATCAGAACCTGTTTTGTTCTTACATTACATATTTAGCTATTATAACAATATGCAATGAATGTTGAAAAAAACATTAATATTTGGAGCTGGTTACTAGTATTAGATTTGATGCTTTTATATTAATGCTAAACTAATGGTTTTTTGCCATCTTGCAATATATTATGAGAAAAGGAAAAACTTGACAATGCACTTCCATAGATAGATATAAAAAGGAGATTTAGTTCATAAAAACAGCTAATTAAACCATAAGACAGGTTCATGCTCTCGTCCCTTATAAGGCATTGTGTCAGTGGTTATCGCTGTTTCCATGTGGGTTTTTTTGTTTGTTTTTTTCTTGTGCCAGTTTTAAAAACTTGTTGTTAATGTCAGATTATTGCGTCTTTTGGTTGACTTTTGTTGTTTCATTAATATAACTATTCTTCAAGTATAGACTCGGGTACTTTAATAAAATTGAGAATGGAAACGGGGAATGCGTTAAAGAGACATCAACCCGACCAAAGAGCAACAAGCAGTCCAAGGCCACCAATGGGTCTTCAACACAGCGTGAAAATACAGCACCCGGAGGCGAGCTTTATCAATACAATAATGTATACTAGTTCAGGGAAAATGGATGTCACACTAAACTCTAAAACATATAAATGAACCAAAAACAAAAAACATATAAGACTAACAAAGACCAGAGTTTCCTAATTTCGTACAGGCGCTAAAATGCAGCGGGATTAAACATGTTTTGTGAGATCTCAACCCTCCTCCTATACCTCTAGCCAATGTGGAATAAACAAACACAGCAATACGCACAGTAAAATTCGGTTTAAAAGAAGTCCGAGTCCGATTTTAGAATAGATAACAGAAGAAACTTAGCAAAATGACAATTATCAACCTAAATTAACAAAGGACTACTAGCAGTTACTTACATACCAGTTTGAACTGAGAGGCCGTTTAAAAAGGTCGTTTGGTCGTCTGTTGATTTCATTTATTTTTAACGTTAGATTGCAATCTTGTCCATGTTGTAGTAAAGTGAATTGGAATCAATTATATTTTCAGCTATTATGACATTGTTGTCTGCTATTGTTGGAGTAACACTGACATCAACTTTTTCGGAAAAGAGTTTGCCATTGATATCTGCAACAACTGCTGACGCAAGAAAACAAGTAGATTTTTTTGCAAACATGTACGGAGATGATGCTTACAAAACAATGGAAGATGGTGAATTAACACCCGAGGAGCGCACTGGACTATATCTATTGAGGGCGAGAATTTCACACGCCGAGTTTGAGGGGAAACAAATATTGGTATTAATTTGTTTTTTAAATATACATCATGAGAAGCAATTATGTTTCGTATTCAAAGAAAAAAATACAGATACATTTACACAATAAAACAATAGCTTTTAATCACGGTTATTATATATACTATGAATTGTTGAAGTCCTGAACATAGATTCTTATTGACTTCATGTTTAACTAATGCTTACATAATTACGGTGTGTGTGACGATTTCTGAATTCTCATATTAAGGTTAACGGTTGCGACTTCCAAAGTTTAAATTCGTGGTCTCTAGAATGTACATTGAAATTTATTCAAAGTCATATGGATCGAGTTTCTGGTTATTATAATGTTAAGGAAGTGATTGAACTAATGCATACATATATATTAAACTAAGTCCTCTGAGCACGTTTTTTTTACATTTATTATGAAACAATATCATATAATCGACAAATAAATATTTCACTCATTTTCGAGCCTTTGTGCCGAAGTTTATCGATCTTTACATATTGATAAACATTCCACATAGAATCATGGAGCATGTAAAAAATAAGTGAGATGATAGAGCGACGTATTTTCTTTTAATTTTTCACGCGTACCCACTTGCTTATTAAATTTGTCATACCAATTATTGAATTGGTGTATTGATTTTTTTTTTGTGTCAGAATCTTTTTTCCACGTTTATTAATTTTCTTTTATCACTGTTTTTTTTTTCCTTTGTACTTACGCTGTGTGGTTGTCGAATTTCTGACGAAAGGTGTCGTGGCTAAGGTCACTGGATACTGAAAAGAATTTGTCGGCGAATAGGACAACGGGAAGACTTTAATTCAATAGCAGTTCATTTCTAAAGATTAGGACAAAAAAGCATAATATTTTAACAGAAAAACTATGTACACATATTTTATAGTAAAACTGGGCCATTCTAGTATATGAAACATATTCAGCTTTTTTGATAAATTTGAAGAGACATATGACTTTAAAGTCGATATCACACACATACACTTTCAATTCGAACAAAACTATATCACATTTTCTGATATATATTTTAATGTTTTAAAAGGAAATTACTAGTAAATAATTCAAAATACAGAAAAAATCAAAGGGACAACCAAAAACTGTTTGTTGAAGAAAGCTAGAAAACACCTTGAAAAAAGACAAACTAAAAAAAAAGCATCATCCATAAGACTCTCCACAGAAAACAAAACTTTGACCAAATCGAAAAGTACCAAAACTTCGTGGTGGACTCTTATGCTGTAGAATGTAGTTCCTGCTCAGTAAGTGGCAGCCAACCTCCGGTGATACGTCACATTCAATGATTTCGAAAATCAAAGAAAAGAGGACGGAATTACTTGTACAAGTGATTATGATACTGATTATCTGTGAAACATATATAATTCATAAGTAAATTTAATGATGTCCGGAAAAACTTTTCAGAATTGACATCAACTTTACAATTAAGAAGACTTGGTTCAGTACATACCTAGAAACCTTTATGACAATCGATAACTATAACCTGAGTCATCAAAATTGTGGTATTGTTACGAAGGTTTCATGACAGAGGTAAACATAAAAAAAAAGAATTGATATGGTATATGTTTCGAATTTTAAAGTGTGCGATCATAAATTAATCAAGGCAACAGTATTTTACCCATATTCAAATCTCGTAGCTGGATTAAGAAGATACAAATTCAGCTAACAAACCAAAAACTGATTGAATCACATCAACTCCAAAAGGAGCGATCCCGGGTGCGTCGACAGGGTAACAATCTCCAGCTATCCATGCCTTAAACCGGTATAAAATCTTAATCTAATTTGTTTGTTTACGAAACTCGAAAAATTTAAAATGAAATTGCTACCGCTTTATTATGTAGATGATGCAATACTATGATAACAATTTTACTTTTCCAATTGTTAACTATTTCATGTTCACTCACATTATGTAGACTTCAAACACAGAAGAGGGACAGTCAAACTCATAGATCGAAAATAAACTGACAACGCCATGGCTAAAATATAAAAAGACAAACAGACAAATAATAGTACACAAGACACAACATAGAAAACTAAAGACTAAGCAACACGAACTCCACCAAAAACTTGGGGTGATCTCAGGTGCTCCGGAAGGGTAAGCAGATCCTGCTCCACATGTGGCCCCAGTCGTTTGCTCATGTTATTACAAATCCGGTAAATAGTCTAAATCGTTAGGTCACATTCGTGGTGAAAAAGAAAGTGGATTGTAATTCCGACATAAGGAACATATCCGATATTATCTGTGAAACGGTTATTCCATAACGGTCACAGGGTGTGCTCCTTACACAAAAACTTCTTAAACAGAATAATGAAGAAGAACATTAGAAATCGGACACTACATAAGTGTAATGACACAATGATCTCTAAAACTCATCAAAGATACCAGGCTTATAATGTTGTACGCCAGACGTACGTTAAGTCTACAGAAGACCCATCAGTTGCGCTCGAATCAAAACAGTTGGAAAGACAAATCGTAAAATTACCGATTGTGCCCTATTCGCAGATTCGACATTTTGACTTAGTATGGATTATCATGGCAGAAAATGCATGCATAGCAGGAGACGCTTACCCATTCAACGCACCAGGTCTCGCTCCTTTTTGAATTCTTGCGATTCCCTCAGTTTTTTTACCTTGATTTGTATCTTCTTAATGGATTTATGAGATTGAACATCGGTGACCTATTGTTGCCTCAAATTTTATTAAATAGGTTTGATGTAATAAGTAATTATTTTGGTCAATATTTTCAGGCATCACTAACAGATACATCAATCGACGCAACGTTGCAAGTGATCAATGACCAAGGATTGAATATGATATGTAAAGGCTGTAAAACAACCTTCAAAACAAAACATGTAAATCTTTACATATTTAAAGCAACACTTCAAGAGAGAGGTGGAAGATACAAATGGGATATTCAAGCCTTTAATGAAGTACCCAATGGTATACTCCAGATTTCGACAATTCCTATGAGACTAGGTGATATGAATGACATAACTTCACTTGGAGTAAGAATACTTAATCTTAACAATTTCCAAATTATTTTTTTATGACAATTGTTTTAAACGCGTTTATCTATTTGGAGTGCTAGTATGCCAAACAACTGAAAATAGCGCTTTTAGTACTGTGTTTATTATTAAACAATTATCATGATTATGTATTTTGGTAAATTGCATGTCAAGTACCAAATATTAATGTATTTTATTTTGTATTGTAGATTGCTAATTTCCCGCAAAATGTGTATATAGCCGGTAGAACAGACACAGCTTTAGTTACGTCAAACGTCCATAAATTGTTTTTAAAAGATAAAAATAAAGAAAATTTTATTCCAACCAAGGTTGCAATTAACCAAACTACTCAAGCTTTGCAATTTTCTCAGAATTTACCTGTCTACACGGAAGGGGATGCTTCTTATCTCTTTTATCACTCTTTTTTCTATCGTGACAATGGGGACTACGTTTGTGTGTCAGTCCATCCAGTACAGGACGTTCCAAATTGTGTTACGTCATATGACGTATATGTCAAATTCGATTCCCAGCCAACTCACTTAAATTATGACGCCAAAGGAAGAACATCACCTGACAATGACAGAATGATATGCTTCCCACCTCAATTGTTTTCTTCTACGGGTGAGATGCATGTTGCCCTTCATGCAAACAGTAAAGTGGGTAAGACATAAGGACAAACATAAATCGTATTATCTATAGAAATTGAGTTAGATGCTTTAACGGTAAAAGAGCTTAAATAAGTGAAACCATTTAATCGTGATGCTACACATGTATTAAGTTGACTTTAAATAGTATTATATAACTAACACATAGTTTAAAGGTTAAAAGAGCATACTGTTGCCCCGAGAAAACAATGTTTTTTCGAGGGGTAACAATCTACTCTATCACCGTCTAAGATATGTGTAATTCAATGTATTATACTGAATGTTCTGTTACCATTGTCTTTTAAATTTTAAATTGAAAGTAAAGGTTCATGACGTCATATGTAACAACGTCATTAAATGAATAACAAAAGAGAAGCAAGATGTATTGTTTTCTTCTGTTGACAGTTTTTGGATCCCTTGGTTATGTTTGGAAGCCAATCACCGGAAGATATGCCAATGGGTCATACAACATATCAGCACCAGCATTGATGCCGTATAATTTGCACATAGTGACGTCAAATTGTAAAGAGTGGGATCCCAAAAGAAAATCATGGGATTCAATCAACTGTGAGGTAATCAATCTAATATCTTTAAATGATTTTTACTGTAACCATAGGATTTAAATGTAGGGATATACTGAAATTACTTAAATCTGGGTTTTTGTCTTTTTTTCGGTGATTGATATTTTTGAAAAAAAACATATACTCGCGACAAGAAAGAGAAATACACATTTTAAGGATTTACAATACTGTTCAGGGCTTCCTAAGGAAAAGTTTCTATTAATGAGTCAGTTTCGACTGTAAAACAAATGTAGTAATATTAAGACTAATTGTAAATATTTCAAAAATTATTAAATGTATATTGATATAAACGAATAAGAATAGACGATATTTGAATTTTGAATTCACAAACATTAAGAAATTGAGAATACAAAAAGCAAATATACACAAAAAAAATCATACTAATATAGTAAGTTAGTGGACATTTATTGAAATTTTACAAATTCATGAATGTCGTTCTAGGTGTAGTATTTGCAAGCATCAAAAATGCCTCTACTGTATATGACTTCTAAGGTCCATTTCATTTTTTTTTTCTATGTTGGTACATCATAATAATTAATCTGTTTACAAGGTCTAAGTTTAAAATGTGCATTTATTAATTTAACGACAATAATGTAATTTTTACTTTCCAGTTAAATATTAGACCAAAGTTTGTTTTTTCTTTGTTTCATTCGCTTGTTGTAGGATTTTTGTGGTCTGTATAAAAAAGTTTACAAAATTCTATACTAAAGTGGTGTCTGTTAAATAAGATAATTGAACAAAATAGATTTTAGTGTTACAATACGACGTAAAACTGTATTTTACACATATGTATGCGTTTTTATTTTTGTGTGTTTTTTAGTTAGCTAATACGTTTTAAAGGTTTGACTGAATATCAATGGCATAAAATAATAGACACAATATACTTGGGAACAATTAAGTCCTTAGGTCGAACGACAACTGACAATATCATGACTAAAATGAAAACAACGAACAGACAAAAAACAGTCTACACCACACCACACACAAAAATAAAGGTGAGAACCTGTCGTGCTGCTCATAACAGTACACATTTGATGATAAGGTGTATTTAGTGATGTCAAGGAAAATGAACGAAATTATGGCGAAAACCTTTGCAATATTTGTAAAGGGATGACTTCAACTTGACCATTAGTAACGCTCTGTTCAATAACTTCAATGTAAACACCATCCTCTATTAAAGGAAAAATAGGTAGAAGATGCAAAGGTAGCAATCGAACATAATAAGTTAAAGTAAAACAGAAAACCCAAGGGTCAAAAGACAATAGGAACATGATGACGTCCGTACATCATTATATAGAACCGGAACAGAGTATTTGGGATATCTGGGAGATACATGTATATTCCATATGCAGGTGCTGATTTTTGCTATATAGCAGTAGGAGGTTCACAAATGGAAAGCTGAGATCATATATTTTCTCGTAAAGTATAATACTCAACTGGTCATTATAGTTAAAGGCTAGATGTTGGTCAAGATATGAAAAAGACTGAGCTCCATCTGTAGTACAGTACTTGCAACCTTAGGCGTTACTATTTAAGTGATCAATCAGCGGTCATCGATCAGCCACCGATCAGTCAAGTTCGCGTCAAACTCACGTCACCAATCCGTCAGACTTATGTTAAAAATATTTGACTGATCGGACGGATCGGACGGATCGGACCGATCTACCTTTCTGACGGATTGAACTCTACTACGTCACATGATGAACTTATACAAATTATGGAATCTTAGTTTCGTTTCATTAATTAAATGGCGCCATGGAAAATACGAAACTTTCATGTACAAAAGCTCAACATATTTTTTAATAATTATTTAGAAAAGGTTTAAGAATTTGAAAAGAAAAGAAATATGCAGATACAACGTAATTTAAATATTATAATAAAAGAATGGTGATTTTCGTTTTTATTTAGGTTATATATTTAAAGCCGAAAAGTGCTAAAACGTTGTTTATCGCGATTGTTATTTTTTCTATTTTCCAAAAATGCTCTGGAAAATGAAATGAAATGATCATTTGTTACAAATTTCGGTGTATTATTTTCAATATTTTAAAGTATTTTTGTCCGTATATTATCTTAAAATTCTTATAAAAAAATTATCGGGATTTAAAATAATTTATTACAAATAACATTGCTGGGTTTGTTTATAAAAAGAAGAAATATTGGTAATTTTTTAATGTTTAAACAATGTAAATGACGTTTAGTATCTTTCCCCCGATATTTATTTAATTTTATGAAAAACAACCCATTATGATGCAAAAAAAGTAAAATAAATCCAATGGTGGTCAATAATTTCCATTAAATTGCAGAAATGATTGCATTCTTATTTAACAAAAACAAAAGTTTATGAATATTTATCCTTAAGTTATTCACACTTCATACAAAATTACTTATCTAAAGTCATTTATAATGACTGATTGCAATTGACATTGCATTATTTCTGATATAGAAGAAGAAACATTTGCATTTTTAAGCAATGTGTACAAAAATTATGTATTTTTTCTCTGACATTCAGTATAATTTATAAAAAACAACTAATCCTGATGTACAAAAATTACTTAAATCAAATGTGGTTCATAATTTCTATCAAAATAAAGAAATAATTGCATTCATATTCAACACAAACAAAAGTTTTTGTATTATTTCCTTATATTATTAAAATTTTCATAAAAAAATCTTATCTTGATGCCTTTAAAAGAAATAGTTACAAAAGACATTGCATTATTTTTTATCAAAAGAAGAAAAAATTGGTAAGTTTTAACAATGCGAACAACATTTTAGTATATTTTTTCTGATATTCTTTTAATTTAAAAAAAAAAACTACCAATCCTAAACTATAAAAAGTCTAAAAATCCAATAGCAGTCAATAATTTCCATTAAAATGAAGAAATGATTGCATTCTTATTCAACAAAAACAAAAGTTTATGCATATTTATCCTTGAACTATTCACATTCTATACAAACATACTTATCTGAAGGCATTTATTGCAAAACAACGAATCCTGATGTACAAAAAGTACTAAAATTAAATGGCGGTTCATAATTTCTATCAAAATAAAGAAATGTTTCCATTCATATTCAACACAAACAAAAGTTTAAGTATTTTTTTCCTTATATTATCAAAATTCTTATAAAAAAATCTTATCATGAGGCCTTTGAAATAACTAGTTACAAATAACATTGCATTATTTTTTATCAAAAGAAGAATAATTGGCTAGTGTTAACAATGCGAACAACATTTTAGTATATTTTCTCTGATATTCTTTTATTTTTTTTAAAAAAAAATATCAATCCCAAACTATAAAAAGTACAAAAATCCAATGGCAGTCAATAATTTCCATTAAAATGAAGAAATGATTGCATTCTTATTCAACAAAAAAAAAAGTTTATGAATATTTATCCTTAAGTTATTCACACTTCATACAAAATTACTTATCTAAAGTCATTTATAATGACTGATTGCAATTGACATTGCATTATTTCTGATATAGAAGAAGAAATATTTGCACATTTAATTAACACGTTCAAAAATGATGTATCTTTTCCCTGAAATTCAGTATAATTTATGAAAAACAACCAATCCGCATGTACAAAAAGTACTGAAATCAAATGGCGGTTCATAATTTCTATTAAAATAAAGAAATGTTTCCATTCATATTCAACACAAACAAAAGTTTAAGTATTTTTTTCCTTACATTATCAAAATTCTTATAAAAAATCTTATCATGAGGCCTTTGAAATAACTAGTTACAAATAACATTGCATTATTTTTTATCAAAAGAAGAAAAATTGGTAATTTTAAACAATGCGAACAACATTTTAGTATATTTTCTCTGATATTCTTTTAATTTTATGAAAAGCAACAAATTCTCAACTTTACAAAGTACAAAAATCGAATGGCGGTCAATAATTTCCACTAAAATAAAGGGTGATTGCATTTTTATTCAAAACAAACAAAAGTTTATGCATATTTATCCTTCAACTATTCACATTTTATACAAACATACTTATCTAAAGGCATTTATAATGACTGATTGCAATTGACGTTGCATTTTTTCTGATATCAAAGAAGAAATATTTACATTATTAACCAATGTGTACAAAAATTTAGTATCTTTTCCATGAAATTCAGCATATCTTATGAAAAACAACCAATCCTCATGTACAAAAAGTACTGAAATCAAATGGCGGTTCATAATTTCTATCAAAATAAAGAAAAGTTTCCATTCATATTCAACACAAAGTTTAAGTATTTTTTTCCTTACATTATCAAAATTCTTATAAAAAATCTTATCATGAGGCCTTTGAAATAACTAGTTACAAATAACATTGCATTATTTTTTATCAAAAGAAGAGAAAATGGGAATTTTAAACAATGCGAACAACATTTTAGTGTCTTTTCTTTAACATTCAGATAAAATAACACAAGATATAAAATCTATGTAATAATTTTATTTAAAAAATTTACTTAAGTTTTCACTTTAAAAGTTCGTGTAGTCTTAATAAACTGCAATAGCAAGGAGCCAGCTAAAAAATGTAACGGATTAATTAGAGCAATGCAATTTTAATATGTGATATTGATATAACTTTGTGTTGGTTATTTTCAGATGGATTGGTTTCCAAGGCAACATATCATAGAATGTACATGTCGTCCAGCTTTTGGTTTAACATTTGGTAACACTTTTTATGTGGCGCCAAATAGAATCGACTTCTCCACAGTTTTCTTACGTTTTGATATAACCAATCAAGGCCCTGTGATCGGGACTCTTATAACGATATTAGTGATTTACGTACTACTACTAATTTGGGCGAGACATCAAGATAAGAGAGATATTGCAAGGGTAAAATTCTTTTCACTGACTTATTTTTTTTAGTGTTAATCTATTGAAAAACATAAATCTTTTTAAAAGTATCAAAACTAAATGCATTAAAGAACAAACACCTGTGTCTTTTTATGCTTTTAAGTTAAGTTTTTCGTTAACCTTTTACAAAAATTGACTGTAGGAAAACACAGTGAAGAATCAATGTGCACGGAATATTTTAGAAATATTTTGATCATGTTGTCTATCCTTCAGTATGAATTTAAAATTATTTTAAGTCTTCAGTGATACAAATGATACAATCTAATTAACAATATCAAAAAATTGGAATGTTACTTAAATTTAAAAACAACTCTTTTTTAGTGGGGAGTTACACCATTAATTGACAACTTCGTGGACGACACATATTATTATCTTGTAACAGTTTATACAGGAATGAGAAGAGGGGCAGGTACCAGGTCCAGAATAGGCTTGATAGTTCATGGAAAAGATGGAGGTACAGGGATACGGGAATTATCTGATGGCGTCAGATCGGTAAGCCTGTATTCTTTTTTCTAAGTTCAAAAAAGTAAAATCTTCACACAACACATTTTTGTCATATAACTTTTTTTGTTTTGATAATGATTAAATGTAATTCAGTTTTCTTGATATCTAAGTTTATAGTACCCGAACACGACGGCTGCGATCTAGATCCTAATTTGTGAAGTGTTAATTTCGGTTCTTGAAAAGAAAACAAATACAATCATATGATATCTTAATCGGTATAATACTTTTCGTGAATTTCATATTTGTTACGTTTTTCAACATACAATCGGCATTCCCATGAAAACCAACTGTGCCCCTCTTCTTGCCGACTTGTTCCTGTATTCATAAGAGGCTGAGTTCATAAGAACTTTTTAGGAAGAAAGAAAACAAGTTAGCAGTATCCTTTAACTTTACTTTCCGCTATTTAGATGATGTTCTTTCACTAAATAATTCAAAAATTTGGTGACTATGTTGAACGCAAATATACCATCGAACTTGAGGTAAAGGATACAAAAAATACAGTTAAGCCTGCCTCATATCTTGACTTAAATCTAGAAATTGACAATGAGGGTCGGTTGAAAACAAAACTTTACCAAAATAGAGATGATTTCAGCTACCCAATTGTGAACTTTCCATTTCTGAGTAGCAACATTACAGCAGCGCCTGCATACGGAGTATATATCTACCAGTTGATACGATATTCCAGGGCTTGTATTTCCTGTCACGATTTCCTTGATAGAGGGTTGCTGCTCACAAGGAAGCTATTAAACCAAGAGTTCTAAGTGGTGAAGTTGAAATCATTCCTTCGTAAATTTTACGGACGCCATCACGAGTCGGTTGACCGTTATGTAATATCCGTTTCACAGGTGATAGCGGATATGTTCCAAATGTCGTAACTACAATCCCGTCCCCTTTTTCCCGAATGTGACCTACCGAATGAGACTTATTACCGGGTTTGTACTAACATGAGCAACACGACGGGTGCCACATGTGGAGTAGGATCTGCTGACCCTTCCGGAACACCTGAGATTACCCCAGTTTTTGGTGGGGTTCGTGTTGCTCAGTCTTTAGTTTTCTCTTTTGTGTTTTGTGTACTATTGTTTGTCTGTTTGTCTTTTTCTTTTTTATCCATGGCGTTGTCAGTTTATTTTCGACTAATGAGTTTGAATGTCCCTTTGGTATCTTTCGCCTCTCTCTTAGGTTCGTTTATTCGTTAGAGTTGAAATGAGGAGTTTCAGTCGTGGCTTATACAATTAGATAATTACAAGAGAGTATTTATTATCAGTTTATCTATAATCTGCCTCATAAACTTTTTTTTTAATATTAAAGGTTATAGTCCCTTTTTAGATTTGCATCAAGCTACAATTCAAAGTGCTAAGAATTAAATGATTCATTGAGGAATCATAAAATATTTTGACTATCCGACATATAGAAAGAGGAACCATGATGATTAATTAAACTATTAAGTGACTGTAACATTTGTAATTGTTGCAGTCCTGTTTTTGCGTTTTATATATGATTAAGTAATTAGTAAAATTTCAGTGTGTTACCTGTACTCAAACTGAACAATTGGTTATAATATTATACAACTACGGACCAAGACTGCACAAAAAACAAGACAAAGCATATACCAAGAGGGCCGTCAAAAATCATATCAAAAGTAAGAAGACGTGGTATAAACGCCAACTAGATCACTTTCATCAAGAGACCCAATGCCATAAAAGTTAACAAATCCAATACTGCAAAGCAAGCCATAAAGGTCCTCAACATGACAAATCTTAAGCAATTCAAACGAGAAAAATAACGGCCTGATATATGTAAAAATATATAAACGGAAAACAAATATGATAAACAGCAACAAACGACAAGCACTGAATTACAGGTTTCTGACAGACATAAACAGAATGTGGCGAGGTTAAACATGTTTGCCCGCGCCCAACCCTCCTTTAAAATATGACATTGGTGTAACATCACAACATAAGAAGAAACTAAAATAACCAGTTAAGAAAGGCTTGACTTGTCAGAGAGACACAGCATACCGGAGTACTCGCAGTTATTAATAACTAGTTCAAAGCCAATAACAACTAATGATAACAATCATGTATCCTAGACTTAAAGTCCGATAAAAACAGACAACCGACAAAAAGATAAACAACAATGTCAAAACACTACATATAAAAACCATAGCTGAGCAGTATTAACCCAACCAGATACCGTGATAAAATCAGCTGCTCCAATTATTGTTGCCATTTAATATCCGAATTGGTTTGAGTATAAAACACTTATATAGATTTTTATAAGGGCGAAATGAAATTACGTCAGGAATAAAGGTTGTCGTTTGTGATCTTGAGTTATGTTATAAGGCGTTGGTGATCATTATCGAAATTGATATTGTTGGTAATAGAATTTATAAACTGACTTAAATATTATAAATAAGAAGATGTGGTATGAGTGCCAATGAGACAACTCTCCGTCCAAGTCACAATGTGTAAAAAGTAAACAATTATTGGTCAAAGTAAGGCCTTCAACACGGGGTCTTGGTTATAAAGGGCCCCAAGATGATTAGTGTAAAACAATTCAAACAGGAAAATCAACGGTCTAATCTATATAAAAATTGAAAAACAAGAAACAATTATAACCACACCAACAAACGACAACCACTGAACAACAGGCTCCTGCCTTAGGACAGGTGCATACAAATGCAGCGGGTTTAAACGTTTAACAGGCGATCCCTTCACCCTAACTTGAATAGTAGTGTAACATTACAACATAAAAAGACACACTATAAAATATCAATTGAAATGGCTTAACTCGATCAAAAAGACATATAAACAAAAACAAGTAAACATACATGGAACGAATAAGTTTGATCTATGACACAATATAAATACAATATTAATAAAAATGATGTAGAACAATGTAAAAAGACAAATTTAACCTTATTCAAAAAGGTGTTAAATAAAGTAACGTACACAGGTAAATTTAAATATAATAATTTTGTTGTTCGGAGGACGGACATTTTTTTACAAAATAAATAAATTTGTTGTTCACAGTACGAGTACAGATAAATGTTCGATTAATAAGACCAAAATAAAATTACAGGTAAAGAACATTGTGTCATCTCAAAATCTTGCAAAATTTAGAGTTTAATGCCAAAATATCGGAATCTATTGAGGAATGTTGATTTTAAGTCTTGTGTGGAGGACTTCAAACTAGATTTTGTTACGAAAGTGATACTTTTCAATTGTCAACTTCCCATTTCCCAGCAGTAGTATACTATATGTGCGTAAATAAAGAAATAGGAAGATGTGGTATGACTGCCAATCTGTTTACACTATACAAACTTCATTGAAACGGATGTTCTACTTACAATAAAGTTTGAGAAGACAGAGTCATGAGGAAGAACGACTGAAATCGACACTACATAATTTTTACGGTCACCATCACCAATTTGTTGATCAATACGATCGTCTGTGTTTCAACTCATTAGCAACATGTTTTCGTGGTCTTAGATTGTAAGATACCAGAATATTATAATCTGTAAATTTACCGAGGGTTCAAAAATTGTAACATTGCAGTCATCCCTTTGTACGTCTGATCTGTTGATTAACCAAATGTGTTCTACTCCTGATTATGACATTTTGACGAGTGCGGATTTGCATGGCGATTGATGTACGCATAGCAGGAGACGCTTACCCTGTTCACGCACCTAATCTGGCTCTTTCAGGAGTTGATGCGAATCACACATATTTTACTTGTTACCTTGATATAAATGTTCGTAGCCTATAGGTAAGATCTGAACATAGGGGAACTTCTATTCCTTTAATTAACCGTCATCATTTGAAAATAACCAATTAAAATTATGCTTAATATTACAGTTTCACCGATTGTTGTATCATATTTTGCCAGAAATTTATATTCAACGTTTACAAAGCTATTCGCCTTCTTCCACTAAATTCCAAACTCGATGCAAGTATAGTTCTTGCCAATACAACTTATCGTCTTCTAATTTTTTTTTAAATGACAACACATTATGTTGATAACTCATTTTGAGACAATTTTAGCAAAAAAAAGTTCAAAATTTAAAGTCTTGGGATTTGATTTCGTTACTAACATCAAAAATCACAACTTGTATCAACGGGACGTTCAACGTTTATTATTGTGCAAATAGTTATTTCTTGTGAAATTTTCTTAAGTTATGATTTAATACATTGTTCACAACAATACAAATTCAGTGATTAGTCTTCTTCGGTTTAGTTCTCAACCTATACTCATTGTCAATTTCTAGATTAAAGTAAAGATCTATATGAAGCAGACTTAACTGTATCTGTGGTATCATTTATTTCAAGTTCGATAGGATAGATGCGTTCAAAAAGGACACCGACCATTGGAATTGATCATGCCAATTTAAAAATGAAAATGATTTACCATTTGCAGAAAAATAAATAACTTTTTAAAACATCTTATCATCTTTTCAGGTTCTTAGAAAAATGTCACCAGGTGAAGGGCAAGAATTGTGTATAAATTGAAATTGCAATCTAACGGTTTCTCACTTGAAGAACCACTTTCTGTTTTCCCCATGTCACAGTTACATGAAATTGTAATATACATTAAAACAGAAATTATGTCCCTTTACGGACTCAATAGGCATTTTGAATTGTTATTACGGTTTTGCTGCGGAAATAAAGAAAGACAATTCCGTCGTTTCTCCATGTATCTTTGTTTTATATTCAGACATTTGATTTTTTTTCAGGAAATACCAGCTGCAAGTGTTGTACATTTCCTGATGTCAACTACATATCCGTTAGGAGACTTGAGCTATGTTTACATATGGCATGACAGTTCTGGTGAAGGCGAGTCTTCATCATGGTATTTAAACCGTGTTGATGTCGAAGACATTCAAAAGAGGGAAAGGTAGTGTGATTTTTAAAATCAAGGTAGTTTATATTAATAAACTGCATTTATTTAAGTTCAGATAATCGATATTGTATCGTTTTTTTATCTTCAATGTGGGATTTTTATGGGCGTAAAGGGCGCATCAAGGAAAATGTTGTACAATTTAGTTTCTTTATATGACGTTTCCTTAAAATAATGCGTGTCGTCTAACAAACACTCGGAAATCTATTTCAAAACCTCCTAATTCAACAAATATGAATAATCTGGTACTTTGTTTTGCAAAAAATATGCATCAGAAAAATACCTTTTATATGATTTATTGTAAGATAAATTATCTCGGTAATTTAATGAATACGGTTATTTTTCATTCAAATTTGTAAATAAGTAAATATACTGTATGAATTCCATTGAACTTTGATATGTACATTTCAGGTTTATTTTCCTATGTGGTAAATGGCTATGCTTAGATACAGTTGATAGCAGTGTAGATGCCGTCCTACCAGTTTGTGGGAAAGAAAATGTCACGACGTTCTCAAATATGTTTTACCTAAATATAAAAGAAAACTTAGCTGATAACCATATGTGGATTTCAATATTCTTCCGGCCGACAAGCAGCCATTATACAAGATGCCAGAGACTAACCTGTTTCCTGTTATTTATTGTTTTAACAATGGTAGGAAACGCAATATATTTTCGCGACGAAGACGAGTATTCAAATGGAGGATCAGATATTCGTGTTGGGCCCTTTTCATTCTCATTGAAAGGAATTTACATTGCATTTATATCAGCATTAATTTCAACACCTACCACCGTATTAGTAATTTTGATGTTCAATAAAAGTAAACACAGGAAAAACACTACAAAAGATTATTCACGAAGATATAGAATACCGGTATTGGATTGTTGGTTTGATAGATTAATGACAGATAGTCATAAGTTAGAGAAAGCTCTCGTTTCAAAGGGACTTTTCAAGACTGAAAGTACTAATTTCCCATATTGGTTTCAATATATAGCATGGCTTTTGGCACTTGCAGGTATAGGAGCATGTTCCGTCTTCTTGACTCTTTACAGCGTCGAATGGGGGGAAAAGAAGTCCGAAAAATGGCTGGTACAGTTTTTCTTGTCTTTCTGTAGCTCGATTTGTTTACTGGATCCATTGAAAGTAAGTAACACATAGTTTCACAAATTTTGAAATGCATTTCATTGTTGGAACCAATTTATTAGATGGATTATCAGTTAAAAGTAGACGGATTTGGATGTTCAATTTGTGTTTTGTTCTCTTCAACGTTCTATATTTTTTGATTTTCGACATTTGTGGTCAAGGAACGTGGTAATGTTTTTTTTTTCAAATATTTTTCGACAGTTTGATATATATTTCGGCCTCGAGCAACATTAAGAAAACATCCGCATGTGTTGCAGTAAAATTGTAACCGTTTTATTACAACCAATGGGTCGATACCTCTGCTGGTGGACTGTTAGTCCCCGAGAGTACCACCAGCCCAGTAGCCAGTACGTTTGTAATGGAATGAAAATATTGAAATTGTTTGATTGAAATTTGCTGCTTTGAAAGGTATTTTAACTTAAAGAATAGATCTCCCTCATATCAGCCTCTGATTAATTGTCCGGATTTGAATATATTTTAGGTATTTTACTTTGATCAGCTCTTCAACATTTGTATTAGCTTTTAAATTTTCAATTATTTTGGCCTCAAGCATCCCTGACGAGACTTTACATGCCGAAATCCGCACCTGATGCAGTAAAATTGGTATCGTTTACGTTAATATGACCCGTTTCCATTCCCTGTCTACGTGCACTTTATTGAGAACTACTGGTTACATAGTTGATAACTTGTGTTTTATTGAATAGGTCATATTTATGTCTGCAATATTCGCAATGTTAGTAAAGCAAACCGACAAGTTCAGACCTACAGGACTGGAAAGGTCACTCATTCTCAAGAACTACAAGCACACTTTTGGGTACGAAAAAAGTAAGTGATTAATGTATGTGAGATGTTTTTGCATTATTTGTGAGCAATATAAACAATTAAAATGTAAAATTTTCTGTCATCACCATTGCCTACGTTTGGTACGTTAATGGGATTCTAAAATCGTGGATAAATTTGAATATAGCCTGTTAGATACTCTCTGCTTACAACTATTCAAAATGTTTTAGATTTGGGTCGATTTAGAAGTAGGCATAATGTATCGACATATACCTATTGTTCTAGACTTTTTGTTGATCTTTAATCGTTATATTTGTTATTAGAGAAAATGAGTTTCGAATTTTTTGCCTGAGACAAAACAATCTCTGAAGAATGAATGTAGGGCGTGGATGTATACGTCTTTCTAAAATGACTTGCCTTACATAAACCTCTTTTCACTGCTTTTTAACAAACGTTTTGCCCACTATACCAGGTTTCTCATTTACTTTGTAGGTTGCACATGTCAATCTGACATGAGTAATCTGACCTTGAACTCGTTTAATGTTTCATGATCAAATTTATTAAACTATAGATGGTCTAAAGAATTAATGGTGATATGATTGTGATATGATTTTTTCATGGTTCAATCATAAATGTTAAGTTTTCGTCTATAGGCAAGTTTCGCTATTATAAAGAAGAAAAGGTCAGCTGTATTTGCTGTTACAAAAAAGGAGAAGATACTTCGTGTGAATAACAAAAAAAATATAAGTACAAGACAATACAGGCAAAATAGAAAACACAATTGTCGCTGCAACAAGTGGATTATTTCGGTGGTCATCTGTACAGGTGTAATACCACCAAATCATAGTACGTCACATCCGGTTGCATACGAAAAAGGGTCGAAAAAAATATTCCCTTAAATTTGACAGTTGTAGGAAATTAATCCTACATTTCATTGCAGTAAAAAAAATCTGAATCATAAACATATATCTTGGGTGTTTCAAAGCACCCTTATTTTTTTATTTGGTGTTTCTATAGAATATTTTGGAAACTTGAGGTTACATGGTTACTTAAGCTTGTACACAGGAAAAAAAGGGGTGAAAATTTGATTGGTTAACTTCCAGTGATGGTTATTTTCTTACATGCAATAAAATGTTATGTGAAATTTTATCTATAGTACTGGACAGGATAAAATTTACTCATGCCAAGTATTTCTTTATTTGAAACAAAGATAAATTATGCACAATTTTTTGAAAAGTGCAAATTTAACAAAGATTTATAGGGGAAAATCAATGGTGGTATTACACCTACATGTGACCCTGATATTCAAAAAGGATCAAACTGGTCCGTCTGTTAATTCGAGTACTTAACCGATGATTACTTTCATAAATCTACAACGAAGAAACAAATCAATAAAACAAACTGAGGGAATCGCATGAATGACAAATTACAATACCGGATAATTCCGCTTTGTAAGCGTCTGCTATTATGAATGCATCACCCGCCATACAAAGCCACGAAGAGACAAAATGTCACAATCGGTAATAATACACAATCGATTAATTTAACAGATCCGACTTGAAACGTTCTAAGGTAAGACGACAACTTGACAATTTCGAACCCGTAGGTCATTTACTTTCTTGTAAGAAAAAACGAGAGATAAGAATTCAAAGGTGTAAATTAACACCCATGAGTAAAAAAACAACCAGACAATTCGAATCCTATCGAACAACATATGGTGAACTCAGATTGTTCTAAAGGGTCGACAGTTCCTGATTCACTAGTGAAAACAGCCGTGTTACTATTGTTAAAAATATTGATGAGTCTTATCCAGTTATTAGGTTTAATAACGGATTGGTAAATGTCTAGTATGTTAGTAAAGCTAGTAAGGTTTCTCATGAAAAAATAAACAACACTTTTACTGGTAGATAATCAGAGTAATCAAAGATACATATGTGATAGGAAACGTTAGCCCTGAAATATTTTTCAACTTGAAGACATTAACAGATAAAGCTGGACTTTTTAGCTTAAATAGTCATTCATGACATTGAGCATGGATCTTAATTCAAAGACAACTGAATGATACATGTTCCGGTTTGCAAATTTCACTTCATGATGCATGCATGGCTACGATACAGACTTTTACGTCTTATATAGGTTTATAAGGACAAGATGATCAATTAATCTAAACAAATTCCCACTTTCTCCATTTAACCGCCATGGAAAACATATCCTATTTCTCCGAAAATTGTGAAGCAATATTGTGACGTTGTCTTATTTGGTACTTGATATATTTCACAAAATGGATTTCTTGATAGCTATGCATACATGTTTGTATCCAAATTCAACGATATAAAAAATAAAAAAAAAACACTTATAAACCAGTTTTGAACTGAAACGATCATTTTGATCTGAACACCCCTTTAAAGACTGAACAACAGATTATTAAGTCAAGTTCAGTGTTTCAGTCAATTGTCAAACTTATTTACTTCGGTAAATTCAGTACTGTTCAGAATCTTGTAGTCAATAAAGATATAAACAGTCTATGTTCAGACTGTTCAGTATTTGTTAATTAAGTGTACAAAACAAAAACATTCTGAATTGTCTAAACAGCAACTGAACAGAACTGGATTGACTGCAAGTCATATGTCTGAACGGTTTTTGAATTTCAAACAACAAAATATCTGAAAATTATCTCAAACTCTTATCAAGTCTTATCGTTTTTAGTTTCAGACTTATAAGATTTTTTTAAAGATTAAAATGAATATTTAAGACTAAAATCTGTTTACTAGTGAAAGGAAAAATATTTATCTTAAAGTTAACATTGTATTGCAGACATACGACTGCCTGCGTCCCCACTCAACCATTCGTCAATGGAAAAAGCTCGCAACGAAAGGCAGAAAGAAATTAAAATGATGGAAAGTATCAAACAAGTCCTCATTACGTGTTTCTGTTTATGGATTATATATAGCATAAGCTACAGTTATAAAGATGACAGATCTTATAATTTTCATCAAAATATAGCCACCAAGCTACTGACTCCTCAAAATAAAACACTGCAGCAATTTGGCAAGGTAAGGTATGCTTCACGGTCAAATTACAAGAAAATTCCAAAAACGTTTATTGAGCAAGGTAAAACATTTAAACAAATCACAATACCTTGTTCAATAACCCTGGAAAGACAAATATGAACTATGACACATTCAAACTAGATATGCGAGTATTGGGTCCTTGACATATTTCCAAGTTTCAAATGATTTGGTGGATGCTTGCCAAAGTCATCGTCCGGAAATTAATTTTCTACTTTCAAGAGCAGAACTCTGGAAATTTTTTTGAAACGAAATATTGCGTGCATAGTTATAAAATAAGGATCTTCATTTTATATTTCATCCCATATATATTTGATAAAATAATTAATATCAATTGAATTAAATATTAAAAAAAAATACTCCAAATTAGACATTTTTACAATCAAAGAATGTGTGTGTCTCTTTACGTGTTATATCTTACAAACTAACTCTGATATTTCTAAATTCATTTGAATAACTGTGTGGTGTTGTAAGAAAACTAGACTAAGTGTCTCGATTTCTTTCTTTTTTAAAGTAATTAAAAGAAAATAAGTTATGTGATAACTCTATCAAATATAAATGCAATTAAGCTCATTTTTTAATTAAAAAACAGGAGCCAGGACATACATTTTTTTAAATGGAACTAATACAGGAACAAGTTTTAGCATGCTCTGGGAGAAAACATATTATCTCTATCTATATTTTCTATTTACATCATATAACAAGGATCTATGACAAACGTGACGATTTCCCGTCAACTTCCCATACTCTACAGAGACTTGCCCTCTTTCCTATCGTTTGGCGTTTACATATCTCATAACGCGCATGCGTGTTTACCTTATACTGGCTTTCTTTGACAATGGTGTGCTCCTGACGGAAAACAACTCCAGTAGGGTTATTAGGAAGAACGACTGGAATTATGTTTTACGGTCACCATCACGAACTGTTGTGTCTGCGTCTCAACTCACAAGAGCCCTGTTATTGCGGTCTGAGATCTTTATATGCAAGAGTTGCGTCTGATCTGTCAATTTACCAATGTAGTCCTGCTTCCTATTATGACAATCAAACTGAATGTAGATTGGCATGGCGGATGATGTATGGACTCATCTGGTCTCTCTCGGTTTGTAGTTTTTTCGAGTCCCTCAGGTTCTGTTTGTTTTTATCTAGATTTGTACATTCCAAAAGGATTTACGAGATTTGAACATCGATAAACTACTGTTGCTTTAAAGTGACCACTGACGTAATTTCTTAATAAGTATAGTTATATTGAGAACAATGATATCAACATGTAATATAAATATTTGGTTTATAAGAAGTTAGAGACAGATTTAAGGTTGGACGATATTGACTGAAGTGTGAGCAAACAATACGGGTTGTTCTTTTTTATGATTATGTCGTGTCTTAATGGTATAGTTTCTATAAAACGCTTGTCATTAGTATTCGTGAATATCAGTATAAATGCGGTAGCCACGATGCAAATATGAGTCTGATATTTTGTGTGATTTAAGTGTAATTACGGGGATCCCTTAAACAAATAAGTGCATAAATGAAGAAACACATGAATTAATATAATTTTTTTTTAGATAACGCACGTCAAGGATTATATGAAATGGCTGCAATATACAGCGTTTCCAGAGCTATATCCTGAAACTGATTATACTGGAGAACGTTTACATTGGAGACTTAGACAAAATTTTCATGATTTGACCAGTTTCAGAGTTGGACCACCACGACTGAGACAACTTCGGGTCACAGAATGTAAGGGCAATCCCTTTATCTTATTTTATTACGTTTATATGAAATTCAAATTACATTGGGACTTAAGGTGCGGTTATATTCATAAATTATAGTAACAAAATAAAAATTAAAAAAAGAATATTTAAACATTTTTGCTAGAAATAATCATTTTTAACAGATTGTTATTTTTTTTTTATTTGCAGCATCTGAAGTCCTTCCATTTTTTGGTAAAATTCGAACGAGACCAAAATACTACTTACCGATGGAAGAAGACAGAGATTTTTGTTTTGGTTGGGCTAGTGGTATATGTGACAAAGAAAGAGAGGCACGTTCATTTTCGTATGCTGGGTGGAAATTCACGAGTGCCGTTGATATATGGGGTATTCCCATACCTGGACATTATAGCACATACGGAGGTGGCGGATATATTACCGAACTAGCTGTAAACTTTGATTTTTCAAACAGAACTTTAAACGAATTAACAGACTATTTATGGATTGATAGAAATACACGAGCCGTTTATCTAGAGTTCAACTTATATGCACCGGATCTCAACCTATTCGCAAACAGCATGTTTTTAGCAGAATTTCCTGAGACAGGAGGAATAGTCACTTCGTATTCTATTTATCCATTCCGAATTTATTTTCACCTTGGTACGAATGGTATCTACACATTAATTTGTGAAATAATATTTTTATCAATTGTAATCGCTTTAACAGGCAAGGTCGTGTCAGGTGTTATGAAGAAGAGGAAAACTTTTTTCAAAAGTGTCTGGAACATTCTTGACTTTTCTTGCATATCCCTGAGTTTTGTGTGCATCTCAATGTATGCTGGGCGTCATATTCTTGCATCACAAACCATGGAAAAATTCAAGGAAGATCCGAAGCAATTTATAAATTTTCAGCATATTGCAATATGGGACTTGTTGTTTAATTTGCTGCATGCTACTTTGTTATCATTTTCAACATTGAGATTAGTCGGTATTCTAGGCTATGATAAACGAGTTGGTAAGATTTTCTTGGTTTTTAATAATTGTGCAAAGGATTTATTCTGGTCTGGTATTTTCATTCTTTACGTATTTCTGTGTTATGCCGCTCTAGGATATTTGCTCTTCGGAAAATATATTGAATCTTATTGTGATATATTTGAATCTATGGGAACATTATTCATCAGCATGATGGGAAAGAGCAAATTCACAGAATTAAATGCGAAGGATCCAATTATAGCACAATTTTATTTCTTTACTTTCATCCTGGTGACAGTATTCACACTGCTGACCATGTTTATGGCCATCCTTGGTGAGAGTATCAGTGCAGTACATACCATTACTAAACGAAGAATGGAGGAAGAATTGATTGAATCTTTGTGGAATAAATTTAAGAATCTGTTCGTAAGAAAGTCAGAACCTACGAAAAATTCCAAAAAGCAACGTAAGTGTTTTTTCATTAACAAAATAATGGCTTGTCTTTCTAGGAATATAATAACGAATTTTAAAAGTATAGGATATTAAAGTATGCAATTACAGAGGGCCCGCCGCATGTTAATAGGTAGATTGTGGTGCGATTTAAAAAAAAATATATGCCATTTAAATATCTGTGATGATTTTATTTATACCAACGGAAGGGATATATTTTTTATTGTCATTTAATTATAAGTAATATAGATTTTTTAGCTGACATAAAGTAAATATGTTCACTATACTTCACTAGATTATGTTACCTTAAACAACAACTTTTGATTATTTGATTTAACTATGTTGAATATCTATATATATATATATATATATACGAAATACATTTACACAGTTTTGGCTGCTGGATCCCAATTTATTTCATGTTAAGTAATTATGTCTGGTTGGTTGCTCTCACAGTTTTGCCAATACGACGGAACTCCATACAACTGTCTTACAAGCGGGAGGTTTAGCTAGCTACAAAACAATAATTAACCCACCATGTTTATCGGAAGTGTCTGTACCTAATCAGGAATATGAGGTTTTTTTTCCAGTCGTTCCGTTGGTTGTTATAGTTGATCGTTTGGTTTTGTCAATTTTTATTGACTTCCTGTTTTGAATTTACCTTGGGGTTCGGTATTTTTGTTATTACATTTTTTATTCACATCAAACTATCAAAAAGATACTAACATTATGTAAATTAAAGTAATATGGACTGAATAAAATGTTTAGAAGTTTGTATCATGCAGTTTTCTTGAATCGTGTCATCCCATTAAGTTTGACAAAAGTATGGGATTTACTTTAATCTTCGATATAAAAATATGAAGATGTGGTTTAATTACCAATGAGACAACTTTCCATAGACCCCGTAACGTAAAAGTTAGCGACTAGTATAGATCACCGTACAGACTTCAAGTTTTTTATATATTCAACTATCTGAATCGTCATTTTATTCTCTAAAACAGAGCCAAAACGATTTGGAGCGTTTTTAACAATGATTTTCAATGAAACATTTTTGTACATGTTATTCACGGAGATCACTTTTTTACCATGACCATCAACGTACCGTTTTTGTCTGCGACACTCATTCTAGAAGTGATGAATTATAATGCCATGTTTCATCCAGAACTTCAAAATAGAAATTTTGTACATATGTGGAGGGTGGTTTGTTGAACTAATCTCAATCATGATTTTTGTGTAAGTGTCACACTTTCTAGTAGAAGTGAATAATGATGCCAATTCATCGCTTAGCGCCAAGGATTTTAATTTGATAGAGCGGAAACGATTTGTAACGAAAGGATTGACGCACACACTCGTGGTCAGACAGACAAATGTATTACTATGCTGATATAGTCGAGCGTTTAACTTTATCAAGTTTTATGGTTTTCCATTTTTTCATTTACCTTGGAGTTCGGTATTCTTCATAATGCTTTTTTACTATAGGCCTCCCGACCACCGATTAATAGGACAATCGATATCCATAACATGGAGAAAACAAAACAAAACCATAGCCAAAAAATTAAGAAAAACGACGAAAAGACAAACAAGTACACAAACACAACAAGTACAATTAAAGACTATGAACACGAATCCCATAAAAAACAGGGTGAAAAAGTATAACCAAGATACCGAACTCCATGGCATATTCAAAAAGGGGAAGTCCATAAAATCTGTTAAAATCAAACGCTATCAATAAACGGAACTAGTGAAAACAACTGCCATATTCTTGACTTGATATAGGCATTTTACGCAGAAAATGGTGGGTTAAACCTAGTTTTATAGCTAGCTAAACCTCCCACTTGTACGACAGTTGATTATAGTCACGTTATAGTTACGTTATATTGAGAGAAAAAAAGAGTGATAACCAAAATAGACATAACAGGTTAATGTGACAATAATTCGGATACAGAAGCCAAAACTTTGTAAACATACATACATCACAGACATACAACACAACTAACTAAATAAATTAAACAAACATCTTTATTGATCTAACAAAGACGCCAACAAAAAAGGTGTAGTAGATAGTAAGTTTGACAATGATGTATGACGTAAAAAAAGTGTTGTCGTTGATAGTACATACCGTATATAGTATAGACTTTCTCAATAAAATGAAAATTAAGTAAATATAAATACAAGGGTAAGCAAAAAAGAAACAACCCTGTAAAACCTTTATGTCCAATCGCAAGGCAGGACCCACCTGGCCTAGGAATGCACAAAGTTAAAAAGTAAAACACCTGATGGCGGGATGCATAAATACCGAGTCACGTCAAAATTAACATAATGGCACGAAGACAAATAACGGGGAAACTAAAGTAAAATAAAAAGATCCACAGCTTTAGCAACTAGATCATCTGCGACATAGATATTCCAAAACAGTCTACCCCTTTTAGAGTCGGTACAACTTTCAAAGGGATTACTTCGACTTTACAGCTTGAAACCCTGGGTCAAAAGCTTCCTTGTAAGCAAGAAGTCTCTGTTAAGGAAACCGTGATAGAAAACTCAAGCCAGGGAATACCGTATCAACATGAGAGATATCTATTCCATATACAAGCAATGCTGGAATGTTGCTTCAGAAAAAATTGAAAGTTCATATTTGAAAAATGAATTCGGCTCTTTTGTCGGAGAGCTTAGTTCTCAACATCTCCTCATTGTCGATTTTTAGACGTGAGCCTAGATTTGAAGGTGAATTAGTTGTATTTGTGGTTCACTTCTATCAAGTTCCATTAGATAAATCAACATACTAGTAGTCACCAAACTTTGAGTTTTTTTAAGAGAGAGGAAATTATTTATAAAGCGGATCGTTAGGTTAAAGGATGATTCAAGGTTCTTATAGTTTTTCGTTAGAAGCTCCTATATGAAGAGTGTCTAATACTAATAAAAAGAAAAACAATCCGGCAAGAAGAGTACAGATGATTCAAATAGGATTGCCGAGTGTTTATTGAAAAATACGTCCTTGAAACGAAACAATGATAATGTTGTTATTTCAAAAAATCAACTATACTGATCAAATCAGTTTCAGAGAATATTTCAGTCCATTTTTTTTTACAATATTTAATTTGCTCCTGCCCAAACAAGATATGTGTATCTGCATTAGCCGTCTTTTTTATGGAATATATTTAGTTTAATTCTTTCAATCTAAGTTTACAATAAGGATACTAGTGTAAAGGGTAGAGAAGTCAACATTGTATGTATCTAACAGATATTTGACATATTTTAGTATCCACATCTTAATCACACATCCACTAGATTAGGTAGATTCGCAGTAACTATAAAACCCAACGGTTTGTATTATTGATATGAACTTTTTGCGATTAATCGATTATCTTTAAATTTTCCATTCAAATAACTTATGAAAAACGTGAGAGGAAATACCAATGGGCAATCAAATACCATACGCCGTAGATAAACAAGGAGGGTAATGACCAAAAGGAAAACTCCGAAAAAAACCCAAAATAAAACACATAACCGACACATCAAGCAACAAAAAACCTTGTCAAAACATAAGTATTGTATATTAGATAGAAATATTTTTTCTCGTATAACCAGGAAAACTTAAAAACGAGTATTTCACGAATAGGAAATAATATAATGTTTTAATTGTTTTAATTATTTGTAGCTTTTCAGAATACATCTATTGGTCTCCTGTACGACATAAGAAAGGCCTTTAATGATGATGATGATGATAAAAAGTTTCCACGAGTAACTACAAAATTCGAAAAGAGAGCAAAACGTATTTTTGATAACAATAAGTAAGCATGATTTTTTTTTTGTGTACACAATGAGTGCTTATTTCTTAAAGGAAGGAAATATTTTAAGAAAAAAATTTTATGTCTTGAATTTGACAAAACCGAAGTAATATAAAGTTTAACACAGCACAGATCTATCATTTAGTAATTTGTTAATATAAAGTATACTGTCTCACCATATTTAAACGATCGAGTTCCTTATTTGTTCCGAAAAAGCAAATAATTCTCTTTCATTCCGTCACACGAGTCACCGTTCGGTCAGAGTGATAAAAGGATGTTTAGAGGGAAAATATTCAATGAAGTCGGATAAACAATTAGTTGAAAGATTCATTGATTAAATTATTAAAAGGTTAAATTCCTATCGATATATACCATTTGAAAACAGACGCACGCCAATATTTCTTTTTTTTTTATCACGTCATAAACAAAGCGAGAAATTTTTTATTGTATTACAATATGTATTTGTGTCACGAGATGTGAGTGTAGAACTGCAAAGTTCTTGAGTATGAACAACATTCCATGAAATATCACGTAACCAGAACGAGTGCGGTCCAATTACCATCTTTGACATTTTATAAACGATAGAATTATTACTTTTATCGTGTTTCCGACTAACAAAGAACAAGTCTTTTTGAAATAAAAGATGTTTCTAACAATTCAAAAAATATCCAACAAAATAAGTTCAAAAGCTTGGCAATATCACAGAAACTCCAAAAATAACGTTTCTTACTATTAATGACCTGGGAATTACAAATATTTTAAATGCTGCAAATGAAAATGCTATAATTGCTTACGTCTATATCCTGATTGGCAATCATATCATATCTTCTTATTTGGATATTTCCCTCGTTTTTCTTCATCGGTAAATGAACAAAAACTTAAAACTATGCAAATTTCAAAAGTATTTTCTACAAAGAAAATGAAATCAACGAGCTGTATCATTATCTGTTTGTGTCAATTAGATGCTGATTTAGTTTTGGGTTATATTGAAGCACCTTTCTTTGAAGCGACAAAAATAGAAAGGTAGCTTACACTCATTTATCGATACGTTGTGTAATAATTGATGACACTCAATTGAAAGAAAAGTTGATTTATTTTACGACATGATAAAAATTGATATGGATAAAATACTTTACCATAATAGAGAATACACACAGGTTAAGTAATAACATGTATTAGAAATGTATTCGAATATGCCTGATACGAAGGGGAAGGAAATTTATCTTTCTTTCTACGAAGGATCGATTGACACAGTCTTTATTTAACATTAGTGTATTATCAAGATTATGAGATGTCAAGATTTTAAGAATAGTGTTAAATATTAATGTAAAGGTAGCGTATACTTTAGCGTACCATAACGTAAGTCAAATATCTAAATTTTTATAAAACGTATCACAAATCAATGTAAAGATAATGTATAACATTACCTACGTCGATATTAAGATTTAAATAAAAAATTATTGTCAATTTCAAATGTAGAGATAGCGTATAACATTGCGTGAAATATCTAGAATTATAGACTATAATACTGTTATTTGTAAATGTAAAACCTACTGTCAATTGTCAATTTGAGATTCAAGTTAGAAGGAGAAATAAAGATGAATATTTAGACTTTCCTATTATTTTATTGCAGATAAACAAAATATCAGCTGCTCTGTCGTCATTTCAATGTGCATGCATGTTAAGATTTACAGAAGAATGATACGTGTATTAACAACTTAGCGTGCTAAAATGACAGTCGAATGTAATGTACAAGGATCTCTCAACGGACAAGTTGTTTTAATATCTCATCAAAAGATTCCACCAATGCAGTTACTGCAGCTGTAACAGAACACATATTATCACTATTTACTTTCCCTTACATTGTAGTTATTTGGCTTTTTTCCCTTATCATTATTAACATGTTGACCTCTAAGACTTGTTCTCTTTTCTGTCACCTGAAATTCCCCATGTCAGTTTGTTTTCAAGATTTTGCAGTATAGTGAATACATTTTTTTGCTGTACTTTGGGGTCTGTTAAAGGGTACTTTGATGGGCCAAAAATAAAGGTGGGTCTAATTATAATATCCTATGTGAATTTTTTGTTTAATAATTATGTTAATGCTGACAACAATATAATGATAAATAAGGCTAAATTTCCATAAGTCAATATATACAACCTTTAAAGACATTTTCAAATGGGTTCCAGAAGAAAAATTGTTGTATCTTTTAGACTCAAAAGGAAATAAAGTCGATTATGTGGGGATCAAAAGGGTTGAAATCATTTATTGGGGTCATTTAATCCCACAAGAGGTTCATGACTTTTGTGTTCCACATTGTTACTTATCTACAATAGTCCTTAATGTCGTCGGTTTTTAATATATATCTAGTGATGATCGTTTATTAATCTTTTCTGTTTTATTGTAAAGCTGTTGCTACCGCTATTTTTGCTATTACATTACAAGTTTGCTACATTAGAAACCAGAGATATTCCCATATTTGTTACTGCTAAGCAATCTATAGTGTCATTATCTTAAACTAAATATAAATACCTAAGCATTTATTACAAAATATGATATTTTTAGCTCACCTGGCCCGAAGGGCCAAGTGAGCTTTTCTCATCACTTGGCGTCCGACGTCCGTCGTCCGTCGTCCCTCGTCGTCGTTAACTTTTACAAAAATTTTCTCCTCTGAAACTACTGGGCCAAATTTAACCAAACTTGACCACAATCATCATTAGGGTATCTAGTTTTAAAAAATGTGTCCGGTGACCCCGCCTGCCAACCAACATGGCCGACATGGCTAAAAATAGAACATAGGGGTAAATGCAGTTTTTGGCTTATATCTCTGAAGCTAAAGCATTCAACAGGTAAAGATCTATCTACCCTGAAATTTTCAGACGAATCAGACAACCCGTTGTTGGGTTGCTGCCCCTGAATTGGTAATTTTAAGGAAATTTTGCAGTTTTTGGTTTTTATCTTGAATATTATTATAGATAGAGATAAACTGTCAACATCAATAATGTTCAACAAAGTAAGATCTACAAATAAGTTAATATGACCATAATGGTCAGTTGACCCCTTAAGGAGTTATTGCCCTTTATAGTCAATTTTTTATCAATTTTTCGTAAATTTTTGTAATCTTTTACAAATCTTATCCTCTGAAACTACTGAGACAAATGTAACCAAACTTAGTCACACTCGTTATTAGGGTATCTAGTTTAAAAAATGTGTCCGATGACCCCGCTTGCCAACCAACATGGCCGACACGGCTAAAAATAGAACAAAGGGGTAAATGCAGTTTTTGGTTTATATCTCTGAAACTAAAGCATTAAGAGCAAATTTGATTCTGTAAAAATGTTCATCAGGTTAAGATCTATCTGTCCTGAAATTTTCAGACAAATCAGGCAACCCGTTGTTGGGTTGCTGCCCCTGAATTGGTTATTTTAAGGAAATTTTGCAGTTTTTGGTTCTTATCTTGAATATTATTATAGATAGAGATAAACTGTAAACAGCAATAATGTTCAGCAAAGTAAAATCTACAAATAAGTTAACATGACAAAAATGGTCAGTTGATCCCATAAGGAGTTATTGGCCTTTAAAGTAAATTTTTAACAATTTTTCGTAAATTTTTGTAATCTTTTACAAAAATCTTCTCCTCTGAAACAACTGAGACAAATTTAACCAAACTTGGTCACACTCGTTATGAGGGTATCTAGTTTTAAAAAATGTGTCCGACGACCGCGCTTGCCAACCAACATGGCCGACATGGCTAAAAATAGAATATAGGGGTCAAATGCAGTTTTTGGCTTATATCTCTGAAACAAAAGCATTTAGAGCAAATTTGACATCAATAAAAATGTTCATCAGGTTAAGATCTATCTGTCCTGAAATTTTCAGACGAATCAGACAACCCGTTGTTGGGTTGCTGCCCCTGAATTGGTAATTTTAAGGAAATTTTGCAGTTTTTGGTTCTTATCTTGAATATTATTATAGATAGAGATAAACTGTAAACAGCAATAATGTTCAGCAAAGTAAGATCTACAAATAAGTCAACATGACCAAAATGGTCAATTGATCCCAAAAGGAGTTATTGCCCTTTAAAGTCAATTTTTAACAGTTTTTCTTAATTTTTTGTAACCTTTTACAAAAGTTTTTTCCTCTGAAACAACTGAGACAAATCTAACCAAACTTGGCCACAATCATCATTAGGGTATCTAGTTTAAAAAATGTGTCCGATGACCCTGCTTGCTAACCAACATGGCAGATACGGCAAAAAATAGAACATAGGTGTAAAATGCAGTTTTTGGCTTATATCTCTGAAACTAAAGCAAAAGTTTAACGGTTGCATTGATTTATGCATCAATGGTAAATAAAAATATCAGGTGAGCGACACAGACTCCTTGGAGCGTCTAGTTCTCCGTTGTGGTTATCTTTAGTGTTTGGGTTTTTTTTTGCTTCAAATAGTACAATTTTTCCTTTATTGATATTTGCTTTACTAGTATTTGATAATTTTTCCGAAATAAAACATAAAAATGTTATAGACAATCATCATTTTTTTTTATTTGAGAAATATAATGTGAACTTTAAATTCTGAACAAAAACTGTTGTGTTTGTATCTCAGATATAAACTATTATAAAGATTGAGGAGATACAAAGGAGCCATATGTCGAAGAAAACCGGCAACATCATGACCTAAAACAAACAACGAAAATACAAATAAAAATTCACAAATTACTACATAGAAAACAAAAAATCAAGCAACAAGTATTCCACTAAGTACTGAGTGTGATGTTTTGGATTTGTAATCTGTTCCTGCTCCACTTGTGGCACCTGCTGTATTGATCATTGCAAGAAAATGTCAGTCATAAAGATTCGGGAGTCTAAGGCGAGATCGATGCAATATGTCATCACAAGATGCCATTATAAAACAGAAGACAAAAAGGTGAATTGTAGGACTTTAAAAAAGGAGAAAGTTCTAGGACTAAGAAAACTGAATGAATTCAGCAGTTTATTCAGTTTTAATTAAAAAGGTTTGCATATCGTGATGTAATTGAGGGTCACAGCATAGAAAATCATCTGTAATTCATTCATATTTCTTGACAGTATACATTATAATGTGTGTTTATTTGAAATAGTTCTCAAACACTTTTTTGAGGGGACTAAAAACGGGCCTAAATGTAATTAATTTAATAGTTTCATTCAGTTTCTGTCAGTCATGATTAATTTTTTTCATTAACATGAAACGGTTTATTCTCGGTTCTCCAACATTTGATTACTTCAACACGTCATCACATAATAATTCTGTGACGGAATAAGAAAAGGTTAATTATTAAAAGAGTTTAATTGGACTTTATATTACACAGATTCCTGACCTAAATCATATTTGCGTTAGATGGCGTAACAGGTCTTTGATGAAGCGTCGTTTTACGGGCCATTCGTGCATCTAGGTAACATTTGAAAGAATAGTCGTAGTTTTTCATTAGTATAAAAGTAGCTCTCAGACTGTTGTAGTAATTTCTGGTTTTGATATATCCATTAACTGAAACTCGAGGCTTTCACCAATTTCCTATTTTTGATTATATATTTTTAAATTTCCTATTACTGTTCCTAATGATGGTAAATCCAGAAAAGCACTTCGGACTCACCAAATTGATAAAGTGTTACTTTTACATACTATTATCACTTGGTCGATGCCTCTGCTTGTAAATTGTTAGTCCATGAGGGTGTCATAGGCCTAAGAAGTCAATGGTTTGTCTTACACATAAAATACAACATACATTTTTTTTTAATACCGTCGATAAAAATTGCAATTATTAAGAAATGAAGTTCTAATTCCCTCAGGAAAAGTAAACAAATGAGACAATTATTTATCGGAAATAAAAGAAATTGAATGCAATCAACTATAATAGGTCAACGATCGGCATTACAAAATAGGCTTGACCCATACCGTATATATTGTGACAAAGGTCAAACAACACAATATAAGTTAGAATTGTAAAAATCAGTTTAAAACGTCTGGAATCATCAGATCGACCTAAAGCATAGAAAAAAAAAATTAACAAAAAAGATAGGTTTGGCTAACCGTTTTGGTATTCCTTTTAGTCTTTTGAAATTTGTATATATATATCATGGTCTTTCAAATGTTTTGATCTGAGTGCTCCTAATAAAGGTGAATCCAGACGCGCAAAATTTATAAGGTTTTATTTTTGATTATTTGACGTAATAGCTAAAATGTAGATGAAGACCACAGGGCGAATTAACTGTATTGCATGTAGCAATAGTTTTAATAGACCTGCAATACAAAATATTATCTGCATAATCATTATCAAAATCATCGATTGTGAGTACTGAAAATCTAAAAAGTTAGAAAGGTTCTTAAATTCTTGCCATATTCGTTTCAATATCATGAATGCTATAAGAGAAATTAGGAAAACACAAGGTTTTTTTTCTCAGGAATCGATCTATTTGTACTTTCATCATCAAAGTAACCATACTTGTTACGTAACGTTATATATTATGTATGTTAAAAAGACAGTCTTCTTGTGGGACACTAGTAAATGTATTGTTTCGCATTAGATGAGGCTTATGACCTACTTACGATATTGACTGTCCATTTGATTTAACAGTCCTATAGTAATAAAAGTTAAGACATGCTTGAAACAGACTTGATATGACAGTTGTTTTTCATTCGTTTGATGTGTATGAGCTTTTGATTTTGCCATTTTATAAGGGACTTTCCGATTTGAATTTTCCTTGGAGTTCGGTATTTTTGTTATTTTACTTTTTGGTACATAATTTTAACAATGTATTTGCCTTAACATGTCCTCTAAAGGAATTTAACATTCAATTTTGCTGAGATTTTAGTTATTTTAATTGTTTTATTCAATAATTATCATCTGTTTTGAGTATGTTTAAACAAATTTTAAATGAACACAAATAAATGTATTTGAATTTGGGAAAATTTTAAATGTTAGAATTTACGCCACTTAATAAAATATGCGACTGTTGTATTTTTTCACTGTAAAAGGAAAGTACATCATTAAAAATTCACAATTGGTATTAGATTTCGAACGAAGTTAAACTTTATGCTTTCAATAAAAATGTAAATGAAATTTGAAAATTTAATTCCATCGAAATGTCAATCAACGAGTTATAAATTAACATTTTTGATAGACATCAAAGGTGATGTTCGCTGTGTCTCTAGAGGCATGGTAAAAAAATATGAATATCAAATATGAGGGTAATATATCAATGAGACAGCAAACTAACGACACAAACAATCAAAAGATACATATATGTTCGTTGTGACACTAAAGGCAAGGTGATGAATGTATGTATAAAGAGAGATGTGGGTATTGTATTAGTGATACAGCAAACCAACGACAAAAGCAACCAAAGGACACATAGATGTTTGTTGTAACTCTAAAGGGAGGGTAATACATATATAAATAACAAGAGATGTGGGTAATATATCAACGAGACAGCAAACTAACGACACAAACAACAAAAAGACACATAGATGTACGTTGTGACTCTAAAGGCGGCAAGGAAATAAATATATCAATAACAAGAGATGTGGGTAATGTATCGGTGAGACAGCAAACCAACGACATAATCAACCAAATCACACATAGAGGTCAACGCACAGTGTCCAAAGGTAGACAAGTGCCAATACAATATGCCAAGCTTTGCAGCACTCAGTTTAAAAAGCTGTAAATAATCTGTATAGAAACTAATTTTATCACCTAATAACCCCACTGAACATAGTCTCTAAATGAAAAGAATTGTTCTCTTTAATTACGCTATAGTAAATAAAATAAGTACAAAGAAAACAATATTAAACAAAATCCCATTAAAGATCGAAGTAATTAAAAACAAGCTAAAAAATCAACTTGTTCATATGAACTCAAATCTTCATACACTGAAATAACGGTTGGTATGCTTCACAGTAGATATTGTACAGCAAAGGTTTATACAGTATAAGAAGATATAATTGTGTGCCAGACCTATAACAAACACAGAGAGTCCTAAACTTCATGTGCATTCTTTTTCGAATCGTCCAGCATAATTCACATCTATGTAATGTGTCCCTGAAATTTTCCTTGTAAAGTGTTCCTGACGTGACAGGTATGTTCGACGCTTAAAGTGTTAGAGTCTGCTCTATCGCAGACAGCTCATACCTTCATCGTAGCCTTGTAAGTAAGTAAGAACTCAACATTCCAGTCCTTTTGACTGAACAAAACCTTTCATGAGGCTCCTACCTTAACATAATGATCATAATCCATACGTCAACCTATACATGTACCCCACCCCCTCACACTCCCCTACACCTCAAGTATATACATCCCACACAGTAAGTTGCAGAATCATTATTTGCTATTTGTTATGGAAACTGAAAATTATTCAATTCCCGAATGTGACCTACTGAATTTGACTTATGACCGGGTTTGTACTTACATTAGCAACACAACGGGTGTCGCATGTGGAGCAGGATCTGTTTACCCTTCCGGAGCACCTGAGATCACCTCCGGTTTTTGGTGGGGTTCGTTTTTTAACTTTTGGTTTTCAATGCACTTCCTACTATTTTGATCCGATCGCCACTGATGAGTCTTGTGTACACAAGACGCTCCTCTGGCTTACTAACTAATAAGCCTGGTATCTTTGATGAGCAATTTTCATGTAAATCTCCACAGATATATATATTTTATCGTTATCCTTTCTACTTTATTGACTTATCGTCAGATTTGTTTTAATAAAAGAGCTAATTCCACTGGTACATAGCCATTACTGGAACATGTACATATAGGAATTTCCGCGGTGACGTCATCATATCACATGATTTTTCGACTGGTTTGACAATATAGCGTGAATGTTATGTTAAGAGAGGTCAGGACCAAAACAAGACAAACAAGGAGCGCAATTCAGATGACATATACAAAAGCGTACTTTGGAGAGACATGTACTAAATACTAAAAAAAATGGCTTGTTTTTAAGGGTAAAAGGTTAGGTATTATCAAAAGATGAAGCATGCGAGATAGATGTCGAAGAGACAACAAGCTTACCATACAAATAATCAAAATATACATCAAGATGAATAATAGGATATGTGCTGAATGTAAGTCAATGAGGCGGAAACTGAAAACACAAAGAATCAAAAAGCGTATAAAAACCCACATGCAATTTTCAGCATGTTGCAAGTTTCAAAGAAGTTGTGATAAAAAGAAACATTGTTTTAAAACCAATTGCGAAGGTATTCTATTTTGCTTTAGAAGATGTTCTTCACATTCTTTCCAAACAACAGGGAAAATATCAATTTATTGATTTATTGTGCTAGAAATTAAAGAAACAACAGACACGGCTTCCTCCGCCTCATTTTTAGACTTATATCTCGAATTTGACATACACAGTCATCTCAGTACCAGAATCTATGACAAACGAGACGATTTTAATTTTAAAATTATAAATTTCCCCCACCTTAGTAGCAATATACCAACTTCACCTGCATATGGGATATACATTTCCCAACTTATTCGATATTCAAGAGCTTG